CCGTCACTGAGAGAGCCATTCCCTTGGCTATTTTCCAATCGGAGCCGAGTGTGAGGCGACATCACTTGCGCCGCTGGCTCAAGGACAACACCATGGGCGATGCCGACATTCGGGACGTGCTCGATTGGAATTACTATATCGAGAGATTGGGTGGCACCATCCAAAAGATCATCACCATTCCGGCGGCCCTGCAGGGTCTGGCTAATCCTGTGCCCAGGGTACAGCATCCGGATTGGTTGCACAAGAAGATGCTGGAGAAGAACGATGTGCTGAAGCAGCGCCGGATCAACGAGATTTTCACCAGCAGGCCCAAGCCGAAACCCATGGTGACTGAAGAGGATAAGCTGGCGGATATGGAAGATTTGGCTGGCCGAGATGGCGGTGAGGAGGCTTCAGGTCGTCCCATGGTAACCAAGAGGAAGCGCGTTCAGTTGGAGGATGGAGATGAGGAGGAGCAAGAGCAACCGCAACCCACCACTTGGCGACAAGCCTTGGGAGCACCACCACCGATCGGGGAAACGAGGAAAACCATTGTTGAATGGGTGCGCTTCCAGAAGAAGAAGTGGAAGTGGCAATACGATCAACGCCAGCGGAATCGCCAGGCCAGTAAGCGATCTCGCGGCGAGGATGCTCCCGTGGTGCGGCCAACAGGATCAACAGCTACCTTGGGAGGATTCCTGAGACGAGCCCAGCGCACGCTGTTGGACCAACCCTGGCAAATCCTGCAACTGGTGCCCATTGATGATCTTGGCCACTTTACCGTGTGGGCTTTGATAGGCGAAGAACTGCACAGGATAAAGTTGACGGTGCCCAGGATCTTCTATGTGAATCAGCGAAGTGCAGCTCCCCCGGAGGAGGGTCAATTGTGGCGCAAGGTCAACAGAGTTCTACCCCGATCCAGGCCTGTTTTCAATCTCTACCGGTATAGCGTCCCCGAGCAGCTCTTCCGGGACAACTCCCTGGGAATGCTGGCGGATCTGGCCACGCCCGATATCGAGGGCATCTACGAGACTCAGATGACACTAGAGTTTCGGGCCCTCATGGACATGGGCTGCATTTGTGGCGTACAACGGGAGGAGGCACGACGATTGGCCCAACTGGCCACCAAAGATCTGGAGACATTCAGCATCGAGCAGTTGGAGCAGCGCCCCCAGACACAGGTCAAGTACCTGGCGAGTGCCAACCACAGGATACGCAAGATCTACTTGTACCAGCACAACACACCGACGGCCAAGAAGGAGATCTGGTCCCTGATCCTGATGCCCAGCAAGAAGGGTTACATCTTCGCATTGGACACGGTGCGAGCCAATCAGATGCCCAACATGAAGCAGATGTACACGGCGGAGCGTTTGGCCTTGCTCAAGAATCTCACAGGCGCCGCTGAGCAGGAGAAGATTCCCGTGGAGGATTACACCTTTGAGGTTCTGATAGAAGTGGATGTTAAGCAGATTTATCGGCACATTCAGAGGGCTCTGACCACCTACAAGCAGGAACACCAGGGACCCACGATGCTGTGCCTGCAAACGGCGCTGGAGGCGCGCAAACTAAGCCTGGCCATGCCCATCCTACTGGAGTTTCCCCAGGCACAGATCCACATCTCCGATGATGCCAGCTTGCTGTCCGGCCTGGACTGGCAGCGCCAGGGCTCGAGGGCAGTGATCCGTCACTTCCTCAATCTGAATAATGTGCTCGATCTGATGCTAGATCAGTGCCGCTATTTCCACGTACCCATTGGGAACATGCCGCCAGACACGGTGCTGTTCGGAGCGGATCTCTTCTTCGCCCGGCTGCTGCAGCGTCATAACTTTGTGCTCTGGTGGTCGGCGAGTACCAGGCCGGATCTGGGTGGCCGGGAGGCGGATGACAGTCGTCTGTTGGCGGAATTTGAGGAGAGCATCAGTGTAGTGCAGAACAAGGCCGGGTTTTATCCGGATGTGTGCGTAGAGTTGGCCCTGGACAGTCTGGCTGTGAGTGCTCTCCTCCAGTCGACCAAGATCCAGGAGATGGAGGGTGCCTCCTCGGCGATTACCTTTGATGTGATGCCACAAGCCTCACTTGAGGAGATGATTGGCACTGTTCCGGCTGCCACACTTCCGAGCTACGATGAAACGGCCCTCTGCTCGGCTGCCTTTCGCGTGATGCGCTCCATGGTGAATGGCTGGTTGAGAGAGGTGTCCATCAATAGAAATATCTTCTCGGACTTTCAGATCGTCCACTTCTACCGCTGGGTGCGCTCCAGCAACGCCCTGCTGTACGATCCGGCGCTAAGGAGATCCCTGAACAATCTGATGAGAAAGATGTTCCTGCGCATTATTGCCGAGTTCAAGAGACTGGGCGCTACCATTGTCTATGCGGACTTCAACAGGATCATTCTCAGCTCCGGCAAGAAGTCCGTCTCGGATGCCCTCGGGTATGTGGACTACATTGTGCAGAGCCTGAGGAACAAGGAGATGTTCCACTCCATTCAGCTGAGCTTCGAACAGTGCTGGAACTTCATGCTCTGGATGGACCAAGCCAATTTCTCAGGAATCAGAGGAAAGCTGCCCAAGGGAATCGATGAGACAGTTTCCTCCATTGTGTCCACGACAATTCGTCCTGATCAGGATCGAAACGAGGACGATGAGGAGGATGATGATGAAGATGCGGAAAACAGGGATCCGGTGGAGATAATCGAAACCGAACAGGATCAGGAGGAGGAGCTCTCCCTGGAGCTGAACTGGACCATTGGCGAGCATTTGCCCGATGAAAACGAGTGCCGCGAGAAGTTCGAGTCGCTCATTACGCTCTTTATGCAGTCCCTGGCCGAGAGGAAGACCACTGAGCAGTCCATCCGTGACCTGTCCCACTGCGCCTTTGACTTCATCCTAAAGCTGCACAAAAACTACGGCAAGGGCAAGCCCAGTCCGGGCCTGGAGCTCATCCGCACGCTGATCAAGGTGCTCAGTGTGGACAAGACCCTGGCGGAGCAGATTAACGAGTTGCGCCGGAATATGCTGAGGCTGGTCGGTATCGGCGAGTTTTCGGACATGGCCGAGTGGACGGATCCCTGCGACAGTCACATCATCAACGAGGTCATCTGCAAGGCCTGCAATCATTGCAGGGATCTAGATCTCTGCAAGGACAAGCATCGGGCCATGAAGGATGGAGTGTGAGTAGCAATTACAGCGACAAAAGTTAATTGAAAATAAAACTTTAAATTCATTTCAGACCCGTCTGGCTTTGTGCCCAATGCTATGTGGCCTATGACAACGAGGAGATCGAGATGCGTATGTTGGACGCCCTGCAGCGCAAGATGATGTCCTATGTGCTCCAGGATCTGCGGTGCGCCCGCTGCAGTGAGATTAAACGCGAAAATCTGGCCGAGTTTTGCACCTGTGCCGGCAATTTTGTGCCCCTTATTAGCGGCAAGGACATACAGACCCTGCTGAGTACATTCAGCAAGGTGGCCACCAATCACAAGATGCAGCTGCTCCAGCAGACAGTTCAACAGGCACTGAACACGCCGCGCTAGAACTTGATTTTGGCTCTTGAAAGCGATTCATAATTGTTAACTCGTAAATATATGTTAAGCGTTAAAACATTGATTTCGCGATGAATGGAAGAGGTTTGGTGAAGATGACTCTGCAACACACACACACTTTTCCTTGTTTCACAGACATTTCGCTTGTTTTCCGATTTTATTGATTGGATTTTTAACGTTTTTATCCCGTGGTTTTTAGTGGGCATTCGGAGAGGACATCAGCAGCAGAACTTAAAGCAATTAAACTAAGTCATACGCAAGATCTTTAAGAGGCGGACTGCGTGATGGGGTCGACCTTGACGTCTGGGAACGAGAACTCGGGGAACTTGAGCATGTCGGTCTTGCCGTCGCTGCCAAACTGCTTGGCCACACGGTCCAGCTCGTTCTTCATCTCGCGCTCGATCTCGGGATTGGAGTCGACAAGCTTGCCACCGCTGTGGAAGAGGAGACACTGGTTACTACTCGGAACTAATCCTAGTTCGGAGGCATCCACTCACGAGCTCTTCTGCTTGTACTCGCGCACTTTGTCCAGGAACAGCTGCTGGATGGGATCGGAGGCCTTGTTCATGGCGGGGGCCATGAGGGCGATGTTACGACGGGCCTCGGTGCGCAGCACACGCATGCCACTCAGCAGGGATTGCGACAGCATCTGGAATTTGGATTAAAACATTTAGAATTGCGGATTTCGGCTTCCCTCATATGTAACCTTAAAAAGGTTATGTAATACGATTTGTTGTTGCCGTGATTCCTGGAGTATCCGGGAGCTGATATTGCTAGTAGTCCCGGCAGGTTGTCAGTTCACTCTCAAAGAAGTATTTAAATCCCATTTCAAATCCTATTTTTACCTTAATTTCCTTGGCAAATGCAAACTTTCGTGCGGAAAAGTCTCAATTGTCGGTTCACAATGGCAGTATAGTGTTGCCAGACTTTCGTTCATAAGCGACCAGTGATGCCAGTGGAATACAAAAAATACCAAAAGCTAAGCGATACCCAGAAAGCAATATGAGCGTTTTCTGACGTTCTTTCGGACACCCTCCAAATGAATGTCTGAAAACCCTTAGAAGTAGCCTTTTCAGGCTCTTAAATCACTACTAAAAGGTTATTTTTTGACTCTTCGGATTGTAAAATTAGATTGAAAAAATGTTTATATATATATATATTTTATTTGACCTAAGATAAAAAATATATAAAAAATGTTAAAAAATTAAACATTGATTATTGGCAGTTTTCTACATTCCGTTATTTTAAGCGAGCTCTTTACTATTTTCTTACTAATCCTAACTCCGAATATGCTTAGACAACAGTGCTTTTTATGAGCCTATGTTTTTAAAACACTGATTGTCCCCCAAAAACGCTCTTTCTTATGTGTTTAATCAGAAATCGCTTTGAAGCTCTTTTCAGACACATATTTCGGAGCCCAGCATGCTGGGTAGTGCCCTAATAATCGATATTGCACAAACAATCGATGTTCGGCCAAAACAAATAATCGACGTGACCATCGAATGACTCCCACCTCTATCTAGTCGGCCATCTTTTGACAGAAAAAAATCAAACGAATTTCAGCTCGCGAATCAATTGTACGCCTGATTAAATTATTAAAATGGGTTCACGCAACGAGTGCCGCATCTACGTGGGTAACCTGCCGCCAGATATCCGCACCAAGGACATCCAGGATCTGTTCCACAAGTTCGGCAAAGTGACGTTCGTCGACCTAAAGAATCGGCGTGGGCCGCCATTTGCTTTTGTCGAGTTCGAAGATGCGCGGTGAGTAATGGGAATACACACACGCACAGCAGGCTGTCCGCCGGAGGCAGACACCCCCAACTAATCCGAGCTTATTTGTCTTCCTCCCTCTGACCTTGCCCTCTCTGCGCCCGTGCTATAAAAACAGCGATGCCGACGACGCAGTTAAGGCGCGCGATGGATACGACTACGACGGTTACCGCCTCCGTGTAGAGTTCCCTCGGGGCGGCGGGCCCGGTAGCTACCGCGGCAACCGCGACGGCGGACGCAGCCGTGACGGCGGTCGCATGGGCGGACGCGGACCTCCGGCCAAGCGCTCACAGTACCGCGTCATGGTCACCGGGCTGCCGGCCTCTGGCTCCTGGCAGGATCTTAAGGATCACATGCGCGAGGCCGGCGACGTGTGCTTCGCAGACACTTACAAAGACGGCTCCGGCGTGGTGGAGTTCCTGCGTCACGAGGACATGAAATACGCCATTAAGAAGCTGGACGACTCGCGCTTTCGTTCGCATGAGGTATGCAAATTAATTATTTCTTATTCCAAAAGGTCGATTTCTAGGTAGGCAATTGTTGCCATTGAAATGTTTAATTTATTGTGTCCGAATACATTATTCATTTCGAATAATTGACTACAATTAGTCGGGGCTGAGCCCTTACTGCATATCGTTGCAGAATATATTTATAGCATAAAATGTATCTATACATAGCATTTGAAGAGGAATTTTGTAGCGTATTTGTCATAAGGTTTTTTTGCAGAGTTTATAAATTATTTGAAATTATCCTTTACTTACCGCCTACTTTGTTCATTTTTACTCCCCAGGGCGAGGTTGCCTACATACGGGTGCGCGAGGATAGCGGTGATGGCGAACGCAGTGGCGGAGGCGGAGGAGGAGGTGGCGGCGGCGGCGGTGGTGGTGGTGGAGGCCGTGACTACCGCGATAGGTAAGCATTAGCCTTCAGTTCAGCGTATTGAGTATGATTTATTCTTTGTTCCCACTCGGCAGGTCGCGTTCGCGCTCTTTTTCGTCTAGGCCGCGGCGTCGGGGAACACCCACCTACTCGCCAGTGCGACGTCAATCCTATTCCAGGTCTCGCTCTCGCTCTAATTACTAAACACTACCAAGCATTATCCATTAATATATAATATTTCTTACGAGCAGGAATTTTTAGGGAAAGCAAGCTAAATTAAGAAACCACATTCAATATTTGTTCAAGCCACATTGTAAATTGACTAACCAACCAAGAGATCAGCCAAGAAATCAAGTTTGATCAGCCAACTTTCAAGCTCTCATCAAAGCAAAACTAAATTCAAAACCTCAAGACTTGCTTTTCCAGCTGAGCCAAAAGTTCAGAAAAGCAGAGAAGAGTTCCCCTGAACTAGAATCGGAATCATTCATACTTAATTTTTGACAAAAACAGTTCGAAAAAGACAAATGTAATCCAGGGAATTGGACGCTTGGACGCATTTCCTGTATTGCCTTTGTTGTATTTTGAGCCTTTGCTCAGCACACACAACCAATTATAATAGAAACCTCATTTATGGCTGCATAATTTATTAGCTTTTACCTTAACAAAAGCAAGAAACAAACATCGATACAGAATAAATATGTTTATAATGAAAGAGATAAAACAAGATACCAGAACACAAATCGCAATGTCAACCACATTGATCAGCAAACTATTAATACTTACATTTTTATTTTCTTCTCTTCCCCTTTTGCGCGTTTATGTTTGGAGAGTGGATGAAGAGGATGAGGATTAATGGAGGAGGATGAGGAGGATATTTTTTGGATGTAATGGAGTGGAGTGGATAAATTTGGATTTAAATTAGTGTGGAGGCAGGACCTGTCTGTATAGATCTCGATAAATATGTGTATATTTATGAGATTGTGATCAGGAATGGATTTGGATTTGGATGTAGGATTTTTCTGAGCCCTTCGCTAGGACAACGTGGGATGCAGAGTCCCCACGGCTTACTCACACCTCGGAGGAGGAGGAGGATTTTCGCATTTTTCGGCTCTGTTATGGATTTTCTGTATCCTTTGGTCGTGTAATGGGTAACGGATGTGTGAAGGATGAGGAGGAAGAGGATGTTAAAACCATGTCGAGTTGCCCATGGACAGGACTAGAGCGAACAGTTTCGGACTCGGCCGCCATTTCTTCGAGCCTCGCCATTTCTTCGGCATCTGCCTAACGGTCTCGGGATTAGGATTCACTTGGAACAGGCTCACGCGCGTTGTTGTCGCCTTTGGATCTTTGGATCGCACCCCCACCACTTGCAATCGCACACTTCAGGGAACCGCGAATTTCAGGGCCTTCGCGCCCCAGTCGTTATCATTTCACGGATTTGCTGTGCATCATCCAACGTTGCCTTGCGCCCAACGCTGGATAGTGGATAGTGATCCCTGGTCTGGTGTGGTCCGGTCTCCCTCTGTCTCGTCTCTTAGCGGTATGTTCGATTGCCACATCTTTTTTAACTTACTTTTAATTTGCGTTTATAAGTTTTATCATTTTTATAAAATCTCAGCACGGTTCCCAATTCCAAATTCAACCCAACTACATGGAATTTGAATTGATTAATCTGAGAAAAAAATCAAAGATGCAATATTTGATCCTATTTGCAGAGATTTAAATAAGAAATTTAAAGAATTTATCAATTCAGATTCCAAAAAATAAATAGAAATGGAATTGGGAACCCGGCCGAATACTCTTTACCCAACTCTTTCGTCTCCATTGGTGTTGTTGCCTCCGAAATGTGACGAATACGTCGTGTGTGTTTTGGTTTTCCATGTTTTGACTAGAAAAAACGTTAAACCGCAAGCCCAAACTATTATCCATCATTATTTGCATGATCTTTCTTTTCCCCCCAAGTACTATGTATTTAATTAATTACCATAAAAAGAAGCGATTTTAGACCTGAGAACCCATTAATGACGAGTTCTTATTGCTTATCGATCGAGTTATAGTCTTAAATATTTTTGAAATATAATCCACCTTTACAATAAATATATACCTATATATATACCGATGAAATAAGAGCGTTTCTGTTTTTTGTTTTTGGGGGTTTAGGAAGGCTGGAACCGGTAACTATTGTCGGTACATATTACCTCTATTCCAATTCCTATTTAAAAGGCTATAAAGAAGAGGCTGAGGGAGGCTTACAGTATAATATAATACTGATTTATTATTATTTAGAATTACTGAAGGCAGCTGCTACATTTGGAGGTTCTATCTAGAGCCCTCCACCGATATCCATTTCGTTTCGCTTCATTTTTGCAAGATGTATGGCGGCAAAAATTCAAAAGAATTGGAACCAGTACGAGTGACCAGCGGTTCGAGTATCAAGTGTGGTTCGAGTATCAGGTGTTGTTCGAATTTTGTAGCAATGATGTCATATCCGCTTTTTTTTCCGTCAAATTAGGCTTTTTTTCATGTGTGAAAAACATCGACCAGCGGAAATTCCAACTTTGTAAGATAATTTAACTTATATTTGAAAATAAAAGTTATTTCATCAATTTTTATCAGTTTTAATTTTACTCATAACTCTTCTTTGCAATCCCTGGAATTGGCCAGAGTGCCGTGCTGTTATTGCAAAAGCACCATAACTGATTCGATTTAATATTTTATACTTAAAATTAAAAAAAAAATTATTTTCTAAAAATCAGTTTTTTTGTCAGCTTTTTTTCCTTGGAATTCGGCACATCACTGACATCACTGCTGGGAATTCAGTTTCAAAATAAATCCCGTGGCGTGCGGTTGTTATCCAAGCTAAACTGGCAACACTGACACGCGCGCAGTTCAAATAATGTCAGTTCAAAAAAATTGTTCAGCGAGGACGGTTGTGCTGTGCTAGTGTGTACCTTAATTTCCCCATTCATCATCGGCGGCCGGCCGGCGACTCCCGCGCTCTAACAACAACTCGCATGTGCCGTGGCCTGCGGGCGAAAAGTGCGTCAAAGGCCTGGGAAACTCTGCTGGAGAGATCGCTGTGCAGAAACCAAGTGTATGCCCACGTCGGGAGTGTCCGTAAATAATAAATAATTCGGAATAGTTGACAAACCTCTGAGCAAATCCGTGGGCCGATGGTCTTTTGTTAGTGAGGCGCGGAGCACGACTCGTGGGATCCAGACGAGCTGGTTGGCCGGCCCTACGTTCATTGACGGCGGTGCGTTGGTTGTCCATCGGCTTATCAGCGGCGGCTACACCCCGCCCTCAGTCTCATCAAACTACTACGGATCGACTCTGGGGCTATCCTACTACGGATCGACTCTGGGGCTATCCGCGGTTAGTCAGCCCCACCCCGTAATCGCGATTGTACAACCAATTACCGGGTTTATCATCTAATTCGAGAGGCACTTTGCGCGACACAAACTATAAATAGAAGGTGAAGTGTCGAAATTAAACGCCGGCGAGCAGTACTCGAGGAAACTCATGTGTTGAAGTTACAATTACTTGGAACGAATATATAAAACAAGAGGTATGTGAGTGTTCTGCATTTTATTGATGTTTTTGCATGCTCACGGAATTGCTGCGAACGTTAAAATTAACAACATACATAGAACGCCATCTCAGCGAATCTCCCCTTGGAGTCATTGTTCTCGTTCCGAACTTGAAAGGTTTTTTTATTGATCATAAGTTAAAATTAGCCCGAGGGCTTTAGGCTGATCCAATCGAATCATGCGATATCGGGGTGTTGCTTACGAGCCTCATTAACTATTCCCGTCCTGTTGAATCGTTGTTCTACGGATTCATTATCACTTCCGCCTCATTCGCCAGTGAAAGTAACACGGAATGCATTTCGATCTCTCGGTAATGTGACCCACTTTGGATCGGCATTGCGTCCCGACACTTGGCAGCTTCCTAGGGTGCCGCTTCTTCGGTAATTCGATCTGTCAACCCAAAGGTGTTGCCTCCTGTGGCAACTACCTAAATGCATACAATACCTGCCTACCTGGTGGCCTTCAAGGCCTCGCCTGTCTGGCGGTTCCGGTTGATCTGTGGCTACACTGGTATTAAATTCTGTTAACTAGAAAGTGTCATATACATATACGCACAAGTAACTGTGGCTAATATTTATATTCTTAACTTATCTTATCGTATTTTGCTTGACAGAAATTAGAACACGGGACACTAGTTTTGAATCAAAACATTTATCTAATAAAATCTATAGTTCATTTATTTTTGTATCCCCCATGATTTTTCTCTCTGCTTATTGTGTGCAGGCAGGTTGTCTTGAGACCCTGCCGCCGCCTGCTCGTCTCTAATCGGAGGCCTGTCCATCTGGCCATCCTCTGATCTTTGTCCCTTCCCGGCGTGTTAATCTTTTGTTGTGATGAGATGCTTATCGCACAAGCCGGCGTAGTGCGACAGGTGGGCTCTGTAGTTTCCAGCGGGGCTGGAAAATCGGCAATAGGCAAGCTGGCAAGCGTGGAAATTGAAAACCCTTGCCGCCTAGTCGCAGTTCGTTTGCGCGAATGATTGACGGGCGGCAACTGTGACCCCTTAACCCCTTCTCCGGACTCAATGGGCCGCATCGCGTAAGCAATTTATGTTAATTGTTGTTTGCCTGATGTACACTTTCCTCCTCGATCGGGTACATTGACTAAGTTCAGAACTTTGGGAAGCAAACATTGAACACTCTCGGTGAATAAAATCACCTTTAATTTTAGCTGAATGACAAATGGGATGCGAATGGGAATTTTCCAACGATTCTAAACTCACTTACCTCGCCAACACTCATACGTCGCTTGTAAATAAAACGTTTTGAAGCTGTTAGTTCTGAATAATTTGTGTTAAATGAAGGCCAAGTTTTCAAAATTACCAGCTATGACTTTTGGCTACTGATATTTGAGCTAGAAGAGCAAGAATTTCAAATATTTCGTAAACAGAAAGGGGATATTGTATTATTTTAAGAATTTACCTTTCTGACTGAACATGTAGGCTTTGATTTATATATTTTAAACATTTTATTTACTTTTATAATTTGGTTAGAGTATACCAACTTCGTTTAGTTGATTCCTTCTTCGGATTTCCCGCGGCCTGAGCGGCCAAGCATTTAATTAGACACTTTTTACTTTTCCCAGCGCAAGACTCTGCGTTTTTTGTCCGCGGCGGCAACAAGTTGTAGCCGCTAGCCTGGTCGGGCTGTCTAATTGTTTCGACTGCGGCAATTTCTCCTGGCCTTTTTTGGCCTGGCGAGGAGTTGCTGTTGGAGTAGGAGCTGATGCTGGAACGGCGACGGCTGGCGGAAACTGGTTTGCTCGCTCCACGCAATCCGAGAGCTATAATTCGGTCAGCCGCAGGTTAAGGCTCTGGAGGAGAGGCGACGGAGGAGGAGCTGGCGACAATGACGATGACTAACGCTGGCCCCGAGGCATCGACCAGGCCAGGGCAACGAGAACGGTCCGTTTTGGCCTTTTACCGTAATCAGGTTTCGGTCCGCTCGAGTCCCAAAAAGCCCGATGAATGAATGAATGAATGGCCGGCTGAATGAGCGATCGGGGCCCGAGTTATTCAGCTGGCCGGCAATCCATCATGCTGTCCTCGGAACTGGTTGCCTAACACCACTTAATGAGTGGACAAGGCGTCTCCGACTCCCATTTGCATCCGCTCCCCGCTCTCCAGGCGGAGTCATTAGCCGCAAACTATGTATATATGGGCTGATGCCACGCCAGAGACATGGCACGCATAAAATACAGTCATAAAATCGTCCGGGAGGCGGGCTCTATCCGAGCACGCGTTTCGGGGCGCCGTTTAATTGCGGCGAGCGATTTGTGCGCGTTTTTAAACGCCACAATTTGCATTTCCCCCCTTTAAGTTGTGGGGTCCGGCCCAGTATAGAAATGGATCGAACTGAAACGCCCAATGGATGGGCAGCTGCTTGCTTCTATGCATGTCATTTAGAGGCAAGTGTAAATTAACACATGTAGCCGGACATCAAATTCAACGCGCCTCTGCCTCTCCGCCTTTACTCCACTGAAAGCCGATAAGGACAATGGACCGCGCCCTCGCACTATCTGGGGTTAATTGGGAATTGAATGAATTTTAATTGAAATGTTTAGGAAACTATTATATATAGTATTCCAGATAGAGCCGCTGTCTGGGATCGAAGCTCAGTGGAGGAGACACCCGATCAGTGCTTGTATGACCATAGTTCAGCATTTCGAAGAAGATTGAGTGAAATTTAATCTAGCTAATACTAAAAACTATTAACATATATAGTGGTTTTTGTTTATAAATAAAATTTAATGACCATGCTTATTGTTTATTTGTTTAAACAAACAAAGATTGTCAACGTCGTCATTAGACGAGAATCTTTTCAAGTTTTTGTCGGAGAAACAAAAAGTTTGCCCGTATAAACTATATTTTTTTGTAAACCAAAAATATTTTGTAAACAATCTACAATTTATTGTATCGAACTTGCAACGTAGTTCGTTTCTTACATCAATTGTTCAGTGTACTTTGGACCTTATATACATAAGTATATCTATATCTCGGAGTCTTCGACTGAATTTATTTTTAGCTCTGCTCTCCTCCACGAGCAGCTAGGTATCCATTGTGCATCCTCACACCGTTGGCAGTCCTATTTTAATGTCCGGCCTGTCTGGCCGCAAGGCGCGTTTTAAATCGCGTCAAACATTGAAGACATTAAAAACATTACCCCGTCCAAGGGTTGGTCCTGGTAATTGTAAGCGGCTATTAAATTAATTCAGCTGGCTGCCGGAGCTCGGCTGAAGCATTACCGCCCCAAAGGGGATTAACATAATTTTTGCTAATATTTTGAGCGGGGCTCGGGGTATAATGCGCTTAGAAAAATAGTATGAATAAAGGCTGCATTAACCTGAATGCTGCCGCAGCTGCAGCGGCGGTGGCGGCGGCTTCGGAAGGATTGCGGACACGCAGGCTCAACTTTAGCAAGGGGTGAAGGAGAAGCAGAAGAAGCAGAAGGGTGAGGCGCCCCGGGAGCTGGCTGTTCTGATCCATGATGAGTTGTGCGGCAGAAAACGCGCCAAAAAGCAGCGACGTCGACTGCATTAAAGTGGAAAATCCTGTCTGACAACATTTAAACCAAAATATACATATACACAGACCTATAGTAAATATGTGCACAACAAACCAACATCAGCCGCAACTACAACAAACCACACATAATAAGCGTGAAAAAAGGCAAAATGAGAGCAAACCTACCCATTCCCATTCCCATTCCCATTCTCAGTCACAGTCTCAGTTCCAGACATAGTTTCAGGCCAGGATGAAGCGGGCAATGAAAAGCGAGTGCGCCTAGTAGAAAAAAAATCGAAAAATAAACAAAAGAATGGAAGTAAAATGAGAAAATAGTAAGACTTTGCTTGCCGAAGTTCTTAATTCCTTAGGGAAAAAAATTAATTAAATCTCATAATTAAATCGGGGTAATAACTGCTAACAGCATTGATAATTTCATAAGATTTATTATTTTTTTTTCGACAAATCAAATGGAAAGTTGGAAACTTCCTCGAATATTCATACTGCTCATAAGAGTGTACTTTAAAGTCTGTGAAATATCATATTTATGGACATAAACACTAACATATATTTATGTCTTAATATAATTTATGATGCGCCATCATATGATTCAATAACAACTTGTAGAAAATATTTGGGATACCTGATCCCATGGCTAACTAAGCACTAAATTTATCCCACGTTGCACATTTTCCTCGTTCGCGGTCTGCAACAGATAAACAAACAAGGGGCAATCAGAATCGCATTCATAACATCAATAAAAGTTCGTGATTGTTTATGGGCAAAAACAAATTAATGATGGAAAACCTCATGTGGTTTTTCCCCAAAGCAAACATGAACCGAAAATTCCCTCACTTTTATAGACGATGCGGACGCGTTTGAAACCGAAAATGTGCAAATTGAGCGCCAGCTTTGGGTGTCGAAATACAACAAAACTTTTGACGGCCGATATGTAGAATCTCGTGCTAAATGATCTTGAAATGGCCGGAGCCAGGTGATTAATGATGCATTCTGTATACATATATATATTTTGATGTTCGTTTCGTTTATGAATATCTTTGGCATATTGAACGGCAGAGTTCAGAGAGCGCGTGCTGCTTAATAATTCCCCATAATGCTTGCCAGTGCTAATTGAAAATCTTTCCCAGAATCCCAAGTGTGTGCTTGCTTGCCAAAGCCATTTGTTTGGCTGTCAACAGATGCGAGTGCGATTTATCAGGTAGTTTTCTGAGCATTCATAAGATCAGCTACGGATATTAATTTTACAAAAAAAAAACCAACTGGCTTTCGGGTCGCCTCCAAGCCGGTGCAAGTGACTTCTGTCGAACCAATTGTTTGATGATACAAGGAATCCAGGGATCCGTTCGGTCCATTGTGGCATTTCCGTTCGGAGTCGTCCGAATTCTTGAACCAAATTCCTGCACTGACAAATCGACACAAATATCTCAAACGCACTCTCAATGCGCTTTGTTTCCCGAGAATGTTGAGTAAATATGGACTTCATTTTGTCAAAGTCAGCGGCAGGCCGAAAGGTAAGAAATGAGCCGACCTCGAAGCCCTTTTTCTTGCACAGGTCGAATGCCCTTGCCCTGCCTCACACCTTGGCTGTATTAAATGTATTAACCATAACTGACAGGCACAGGACAAAAGGACAAAGGAGCCCACCGGAAACCGAACCAATTCACTCGCAAGAGCTGCCTGCGACAACGTCCATAAATAATCGCTGTGCCCAGAGCGCTCAATCAATTGTTCAATTGCTGAATAATTAATTCGGCAACAGTGCCTCGCCGCGTTGGCAATCAATTAACAAGCGTTTTACGATTGCAATGGCTGGCTATTACAGCTATAAAAATAAAATAGTTACGGCAATAATAACATTCCTAATTGTGATTTGCATGCGCCATTTTCCAACTCAATCAAAACTCAACTCTGGCCGAGGGCGTTTATTACATTTTCTGTGTCTCTCGTCTTGATGTGAATGCCTGTCAGTAGTTGGCTGGCGGCATTGATTATTGACCGATTTGAGTTATTTTTGCCATAAATATGATTTTTTATTCGATTCGTGACAGATTTATGGGCAGGCCATTTGAGGCGGAGAGACTTTTAATGCGGCATGTAAATCCCCCTAATTATAGCGGATTATAACTATTCATTTGAGATTAATACTGAAGGTATGGATAGCATGGGAATAGTATTTCCCAGCTCAGGTGGAATGCCGTCTCACACTCTCCTCTCAACTGGCGGTAATTGGTGCGTAACATTTCCCTTCTGGTGGTCAATGAAGCATATCCAAAAGCATTATTGCCATTCGAATTGTTTGTCTTTGTTCCATGAAATCATCGCCATGCAACAACTACCTGTTTCCCCTGGATTTGTTTATGCACGTGGAAAAATATATGGCTGAAATTGCGCATTAGTTTGGTTCTTTTAATTGCCAAAAAAATTCTTTCCATTTCAATTAATGTGTAACCTTTAAGAAAGAGTATTCATAAAAACTAATAAAACATTGTGACTAATTTGGATAGTTGTACAAAATATTTTTGCCACACTGTTTCCCTTTTATTTTCAATAAATAAATTAAATATTCCTTTAATATATTCACATATAATTGATATGCTTTTTTTAAAGTGTCTCCTATTTTATAGTCAGATGCGCAATAGTCCGGCACAAGTGCCGTCAGTGCCAAGCTGGGCCCAAGATCAATGACTCCACAAAGGGGAGTTTGGGGCGGGATTCCGGTTCTGGGCGCTTATCAAAAGTTCTGGCCTGTTGATAAACAAGCGGCATGATAAATGGACAGCAATCAATAACGAAGAGTTGTCGGCTGCCTCCGCGGCCAGTCGCTTAGTCAGTTAGTCAGTCGGTTTGTTTACCTGCAATCAAAACAGTTTATGTTTTTCCTTTTCATTCTGTTTGCCTGCCTGCCTCTGCCGCTGCCCCTGCCTTGTATGTAAATACAACCGAACAGCCGTACAATCGGCGGACAAACAAGCCGGAGAGGGGCAGCGACAGCCATTCACTTCTTGTTTGCCTTCCTATTTGCGCACGCTGCGTATACGCAATGGGTGCAGTTTCGATTCGAATTTGGTTTGTTGAATCGTTCAAGGTTGCCGGGGCTGCGATTTCTGGCGTTCGCATGTCAAGTGAACACTTCCCAAGAGGTGATGGCGATGATAAGGAACACAGAAAGCAGAAAGGTAACAAACTTGCAGGCCAAACTGGGTTAAAAGCGACTTTCCGCCCCCCGTAGGTGGGTGGTGTACATTGCGCATACGCAGCGTTGCAGTCGAGCCATAAAAACGTGAAAGCAATGGCTCACTCTGCCAGAAGGCAGTTAAGCAGCAGCTGTTTGTTCAATAAAAGCCAAACAAGACGGCCTTAACTGGCAAGCAGAACGAAGTAAGAATACCCTAGCTGACAGGTGCGGAGGAGAGCTCCACTCCAGCTCCTCACAAGTGGCAGCCGGCAAATCCCATTAATTCGCATTCACATTCGCATTGCAGTCATTTCCCTGAGCTTTTTTTTTTGCACTCAATTAAAATGCCAAGTTCAGCGGCTGCCAACATTCAAAACTGACAGCTGACAGATGGAAACTTACCCCGGCTAAGGAAACTCCGGAGTGCCGACCGGGTCACGGACGGACTCGCTGGCTCACTCCCTCCCCGGATCCAACTATCAATCATTCAGCGCTCACTCCGCTGTGAGGCAGGTGCAAATGTGTCAGTTGTAAATGAGCAGAAAGTTCACGGGAAAGTGTCACCGTCTTGAGTCGGCAGCATGGACTGTTTTAATTGAGATGAATTAATGATATTGCTGCTTGATTAAGGATTTCCAGCTGTCTATCTTATCTGGCATTCTTTATTTCCTTCCCCAGTCTGAGATGTTAATCATAGAATAATTCTTCTTGTTTGAATTGCAGATTTGTCGGGACCAAGCGGAAGTCTAATATATATTGTAATTAAAGGTGAGTTGTATCATCACAATACCATACTGCACCTTAATTCCCATTTAACGACTCACCTTAATTCGTGCTTCCAAGTGAACTGCATACATTTTGGCGCTGCCTGCAGATTTACCTTTGAGCAGTTAATTAGCCCAAGCTCCGGTCCATAAAATCCCATTTTCGCACTTTGGTTCTCGTAGATGCAGTTGCTTTGCCGCTCGCCCGTGGCAAGGCAATTAAATGCACTGCTTTGGGGCTTGAACTCTCACCCTCCGTGGACCATGGAAACCTGGATGAAGGTGCTCGCAATCAGTGTGCAAAATCACGCGTCTGCATTTAATTCACTTTGGGGCCTGGGAAATCGCCGAGTCGAGGAAAGCCACTCGAGGGATGTGGCAAACATTTCTGCACGCATTTGGCGGTTCCCATATCTTGGCCAGCTTCTTCGTCTCTATTTCTATTTAAGGGCATTGCCTGCCGCCTGCCTGTGCTTTTCCAGCTGCCAGCTCCCAGCTCTCTCATGGAGCCCATCGTTCGTCGCTGCTGCTGCTGGCAATTGTCCTTTATTGCCATTCCTTCATTAGGCCCCGCGTCTGGGATGGCATTTTAATGCAATTTTTATGCGCATTTTTGTGCGCTGTAATGGACCGGCCCCGCATCCCTGTTGTCGATGTGTCACTTGTAAGATAATTTCAATTGTAATTCATATAATTCGCCTTATTGTTGCCTCAATGGGCCTTTGTTGTTGGCTGGGCTTCGTTTCTGGGGAATGCCACGTTGCCTTACTTCAGTGCGGAGAAAAATCAGAATATATACATATGTATCTATACTGATTCAGTGATCTCGGCAAGGTGCCTATTGGCATCAGCTTGTTAATGAAATTATTGACTAACTTAGATCAGTGATGACTCTGACACTGCCTATAAACTTTTCACAAACTGAACGCTTTGAAGATAGCAGCTGCCGCCTTAGGAAAAAAAATGTTTAATTGGTCGTGGAAATGATTCGATGCATAAAAGTGCATTAAAAACGCATAAACCGCCGGCGGAAAGCTAAACAAACATGCGAACACCACAAAAGCGCCATCAAAGTGTCAAAAATGGAGCTAGGCACTGCATCCACATGTGTCCGCTGATCCGGCGGGGAGATTAGGTTTGAACTCCGGAGAGCAGAGCCGGCGGAGACATAAATTAGTCCGTAATAAAGTTCAAAATAAACCGGGCAGAGCCCGCAGCCCTATAAAAATAGTCTCCAGTGGCTCGCCCAGAGAGGGGGAATTAGCTGCATTAAATATTTGAGAAGACATAAATACATATATGCGTACGAGTAGAGGCAGCTGGCCTGGCTGCTTTTTCGGCCACGCGGAAGTCAACATGGCGAATGAGTAATGCACCGAACACTTGCCACATTTACCTACTTTGTGTACAGTATATTTTTGATTTTTGCACTTTTTCCTTTTTATTTTTTTTGTATGAAATAAAACTGATCCAGAAGACAAATGGCCAATGTAGACTACACAGTAGATTCTCAAGAGGCGCAGCTGCCTTTAAGAATAAGAATCGTAAATCAATACACAGGTTGCCTTTAATTACTTTTTCTGTGAATTTAGGAAAATACTTTTTCGGGTAAATTCCCTTAGATTAAATATATTTTAATTAATTTGCATAAAAGACAGTAGCAGAGTTATTCGCAGAAGGCAATAGTTTACTAAACAAATGCAAGTACCAGCGATTACAAATATTAGAAATATAAGGAAATTAGTAAGCCATCACATCGTGAACCCGTCGGAAGCGCTCGCCCGCCTGGCGCAGCGTCATGCCGCGGGTCTCAGGCATAACGACCGCAAAGGTCACCAGACCCACCACCAGGATAATGCCCACGGCAACGAAGTAACCATAGAAGTAGTTGGCGCCCAAATTGAATGAAACGATGACGATAATGTGAATAACCTGCTCCAGACACACGATCAGGCCAATCAGGAAGGGCTTAACGCGCATGGGGAAGGCCTCTCCCAGATAAACTGAGCTGCTGCAGATGAAGAGTCCGGCGAAGAACTGGAAGGCCATGCCCAGGCGGCACACCTGCCACATATAGTAAGGGTCGGCGATGTTCGAGTAGTCTCCGTAAACTCCAGCCATGCCAAGCATCAGTCCGGCCATGCACATGAGTCCAAGCAGCGAGACGAACTTCCTGCCCACCGGGTCGAGTAATCCAATGGTGATTAGGGCTCCGATGAGGCGAAGGATACCGAATATAACCGGAGGCCAGGCGATGGTGGTGTTCTCCACCTCGTAGGTACTGCTCAGCATGGACAAGGAGAGCGGTAACGAAAAGGAGAAGGCGACAAAGCAACGGAAGAGCAGCAGCTTGATGAACGGCATCAGAGACTCGCCCAGCTGCTCGCCCACTCCCTGACTGCTGCCCTCCACCACGTACAGTTTCGCTTCGTTGTAGGCCCGCTCGCCGTTCTCCTGCGTCCAGTAGCCGGCCATCAGTCGCTTCAGGCTGGCCCGCGCCTTCTGCTCCTGGTTCTGGCGGATGTAGAAGATCGGCGACTCCGTCGAGACCGCCAAGCTGCCCAAAGCCACCGCCGTAAAGACAATGCCAAAGATGCCGTGCACCCGATTGATGGTCATGTCCAGGCTCTGTGTCCACTGTGAGTCATAGATTACCTGAATAGCGACGCCCAGGGCGAGACCGTACTGCTCCATTGCACTGCAGGAGCCACGATTGCTGCTCGATGAAATCTCGGCGCTGTGGATAAGGAAGGGTACGGTGATAAGGCCAATGCCCACTCCGCCTACATAACGGGCAGCCAATATGGACTCATACTCGTAGGGAGCGCTCACAAAAATAATGGCGTCGATCAGGTTCATCACTCCACCGAGACCCTGTAAAGGCGGAGGTTAGTTAGTTCAGGGAATTTCTGGAAGTAATATTTTCTATGTATAAATACTAACATAGAAGACCATTTTGGGTAGAAAGGATGAGGTTACGGCGGAGACCACAGCTCCGATAATGACGCCAATAAACCAACTGTACTGAAACTCAAGAGTGGTGGTTGTGAACAGAGAGCTCCAGCCCAGACTCTGGGCCATGTCCATGCCAGCGTATACAAAAAGGAAACAGGCTAAGGGAGAAACAAGGGATTGAATAAGTATTGTTGGAGCAATGGGGAAGGTCTAGGCTTTGGGATTTTAAATAGCCTTATGCTATTCATTATTGTTATATATTATAATTTTACTCAGAAGTTTGTAAATCAGTGAAAGAGCCATTTTCGACCCTATACATCATATGTATCAGCACTAAAAGGCGATTCTTTCGAATCCTGTTAGGAAGAACAAACATTTTACCCCGAATCTGAACTATTACAGTTCTTTAATTTATGTTAATATGTAGTATTTTATGAAACCTAGTTATTTTCTAGTAGTTTTTATTTATTTCTTAAATACCCCTTTCAAATATCTGCTTTTATTTATTATCGCGATTGTCATAGATAGTACAACAAAGAGAGCTTTTAAATAATATGATATTATTCTTATCAGGTGTTCAGGAATTCTCAAGAAAATGGTTTGTCATCAATTTGTAGAATCTCTTTCTTACATACTTCTAAAAACCCACTCTCATTACATTTAAAAATGTTCAGAAAACAAATATTTTTAATTAATTTCAACTAAGAGAATTCCCAATATCTATAGAACCGCATGTCCTCTGCAAGGTTCCGCTAATCTTACCAGCTGTTCCGGACTGGGTTTGGGCGCCAGTCGCCCAGCGTCCAGTGGTGGGTGCGGTGACCACCACCGTGGTGGTCGGAGGCGGCGGTGGCTGTGGTCGACCCGTGGTGATGTACGTAGTCTGGATTTGCTGGGGACCCGTTGTAATGAAGGTGGTCTGCTGGACGGGCACCTGGCCCGTGGTGACATACGTAGTCGTCATGGTAGTTGTCCAACTTATGTAACCTGAAGGCGAGTTAAATTCGATTCCACTTCTAAGGAGCGCGTGCGATTCGATTCGTTCGTTTTGGTAGCTACTGGCGGACTGGGCGGGCTTTTATAAAATGTGGCTGCGTAAGTGGTAGCTATCAGCATAATTGATATCTAGCCAGCAGATAATTGATATACACAAATGTTTTATCAGCTGGTAGATACTCGCGTTCCCCGATTTACGGTAGGCCCGACGCCCGCTGCCTGCCGCCGTGATTCATTCGGAGTAAGCCCGTGATTAGTTGCAGAAACATTTGAGGGCCATGGGGGCAACCGAGTTACTCACTCTCTCCTCAGGAGGTGTTCTGTCCAACTTACTAAAATTGATCGGATTCAGGAGTACAAAGTTCAGCGTGAGCCATCGTTTTCTACTAAATCGGGGTATACCCCCAGCGACTGAGGGAAAGCCTCTCTACCATCCTATGACGTTCTGTCAATAGTTGGAAAACTCTTATCAATCCCAAATAATTAATTCGATTAACAAATGTCACAGATAACCGATTCGGGGTCATAGATAATCGTTATCTCTGTAGGAGAACTGGAATTTGTACTGTACATTAATTAATAGTTCATTTGCTTTTCAGAAATAGTTTGTTATTAATTCATTTATTTCGCCAACAATGGTAGTTTACTTAAAAAAACCGTATATTTAATAGTCGCTGGAACCGCCTGCCAGCCTCCCGGAGGGTGAGTTTCTTCGTCTCCGGCATGACAACAGCAAAGAATATCACGCCCAGCATAAGGATGATTCCCACAGTCAAGTAATAGCGGTAGAAGAAGTCCACGGAACCCTTGTTGTACCCCACTATGTTGAGGATATGAATCGTCTGCTCAAAGCCCACAATATAGCCAACGAGGAAGGGCTTGAAGCGCAGGGGGAAGGCCTCGCCCAGATAGACCGACGAGCTGCAAACGAAGACCCCGGCAAAGGCCTGAAAGGCAACGCCCAGCCTCCACACTTGGTACATATAGAAGGTGACCAAGATGTTGGCAGGGTCGTCGTAAGACACAGCCATGCACAGCATCAGGATGGACATACAGAGCAGTCCTATCAGCGAGAAAAGCTTCCTCCCCACCTTGTCGAGGAATCCCTGGGCGACGAGAGCGCCGAGGAGACGTACCAGACCCCACACGGTGACTGGCCAGCAGGAAATTTGGCCCTCGGTAAGCTTGGCACTCGAGATGAGGGACGCGGACAGGGGCAGGGAGAAGGAGAAGGCAACGAAGCCACGGTAGAAGAGCATCTTGATGAAGGGCAGCACGGAGGAGACTAGTTCCTGCAAGAAGGTCCTCTCCCGACTCTCTGCAACGTAAAGTCTGGCTTCCTCAAAGGCCTGGTCGACAAAGGGATTGAAGCTTCCCAAGAGTTTCTCATGGCATTCGCGGGCCTTCCCCTCCTGCTTGCGGCGCAAGTGGAAGATGGGCGACTCGATCGAGAGGGCTGTCATGCCCAGACCCAACAGGGAAAATACGATGCCAATGATTCCGTGGACCTCGTTGACGGACGCCTCCTTGTCATCCACCCACTGAGTGTCGTAGATCACCTGAATGGCGATGCCCAGGGCCAGACCACACTGCTCCATTGCCCCACTAACTCCGCGATATTTATCCGCCGCCACCTCAGCGCTGTGAATGAGGAACGGGACAGTGATTAGGCCGATTCCCGCTCCAGCCACGTAGCGGGCAGCCAGGAGCAGTCCGTAATCGAAGGGAGCACAGGTGAAGATAATGGCGCCAGTGAGCTGCATAAGTCCTCCAAGGATCTTGAAGAATATGTGGAAAATAAGATTATCTCTATAACTCTATATATACAGTATAGATATGATTTACATAGAAGGGCAACTTGGGCAGGAAGCTCATGAGCAGCGACGAGAGCATGGAACCACCGAGAACTCCGATAAACCAACTGCACTTGAACTGCTGGGAGGCCGTCGTGTTCAGGGTCTGATTCCAGCCCGCACTGTGGGCCAGGTCCATGCCTCCATAGACAAACAGAAAGAACACTGCGGGAAGAAAGGATAATAGAAAATGATATTTCCTCCTAAGAAATAGATAGAAGTAGTTCTCTTGACACACCTGCAGAGGCCACATTGAGTTGCTTGTTGAAATGGCGACTGGAAACCGGATTGCTCATGGGTAAATTTACATTTTGCATTGTTGGCTGAGCTTTGCGAATATATTCTCCTTGAAAATCCTTGATGTTAAAGTTATTTTGTTGATCGTCCTCAGGACCACGAGTAATATAAGTGATTGTCATACTTTTCAGTGCAGTTAACTTCGATCGGTCCGTTCTTTTTGATGGACAAGGGACAACTGTACAAGCCAAAAGAACCAATCGAGGTCTAAGTAATATAAACCTATTGGGAGATTAGTTCAATATGTCATAAGCTTTAGATAAAGTTTCCCTTATGGAAGTATCGCCAGTGAAAGTAAGCCTCAAAAAGACCCGATAAAATGTGTTCTTTATGGGTGTCTAGTCATCTTTAAGTTCAATATCGTTGACATATTGACAATGTTAAATAATTTTCCTTATATAATAAAAACAAACTCTTTTCTGGTAATGTTTAAAAATTCATTTACAAACTAGTTTTATTTTCAAAAAGCAAACATAAATATGAAACAAGTTGGTATGAGTGTTTTTTCCAGATTCTCAAGCCTAATATATAGTCACATCGTACCACTTCTGGAACTTGTGGCCGGCCTCCCGCAGTGTCATTCTCTTCGTTTCCGGCATGGAGACGGCGAAGAAGATAACGCACAGGAGCATGATAATGCCCACGGACAGGAAGTACGCGAAGAAGTTGACTCCTACTTCAGAGCCAATGCATGCAATCACGATAACGTGGATCACCTGCTCCACGATCACGATCAGTCCAACGAGGTAGGGCTTTAGCCGCAGAGGAAAGGCCTCACCCAGGTAGACTGAGGAGCTGCAGATGAAGAGTCCGGCAAAGGCCTGGAAGGCCATCCCAATGTTGCATATCTGGGCCATAGAATAAAAGCTCAACAAGTCGTTGTACAGACCCGCCATGCCGAGCATCAGTCCGGCCATGCAGAGCAGACCGACGAGCGACACAGCCTTGCGGCCGATCGTGTCCAGGAAAAAGAGGGCAACCAGTGTGCCGATCAGCCGGAGCACACCCCACACGTACAGCTCCCAGGGGAGGGAGATGCCCTCAACCAATTGGCTGCTGTATATAATAGAGCTGGTCAGCGGCAGGGAAAAGGAGAAGGCGACGCAGCAGCGGAATAAGAGCAGCTTGACGAAGGGCATTGCGGAGGCGACCAGCTCTTCGCCGAGGCTCCTGCTACTGCTCTCCACCACGTAGATCCGGGCCTCCTCAAAGTACTTGTTGGCGGCTCCGGTATTGTGGCCCACGAGCTGCAGTTGGCAGCTGCGCGCCTTCTGCTCCTGATTGCGCTGCAGAAAGAAGACCGGTGACTCCATGGCCATACCACTCATTGCTAGGCCCAGCAAGGAGAAGATAATTCCGAGAATTCCGTGTATCAAGTTCGAGTTGCTATCGTTAAGGGTGAGCCACTCCGTAGTATACACCACCTGGGCGGCTATACCCATGGCCAGGCCACATTGCTCAAGTCCTGAGGTAACGCCGCGCTGGTTGGTGGCCGCCACCTCTGCGTTGTGGATAATGAACGGGACGGTGATCAGGCCGATACCAACACCAGCCACGTAGCGGGCCGCCAGGCAGCACGAGTAGTCGCCCGGCGCAGCAGTAAAAATAATGGAACCAGTAAGCTGCATTAGACCTCCAAAAACCTGGGATTTTAAAGGAGAACATATTACTTATTAAATCTAGAATATAATATAACTTTGAATCACTCACATAGTAGACCTGCTTGGGCATAAATGCCATGGTGGCCATAGCTGCCAGTGCTCCTATTATCACGCCAATAAACCAGGAATAGGAGAACTCGGTGGACAAGAGCACATTGAAGGTTGGATCCCAGCCCAAGCTGGCGGCAAAGTCCATGCCGCCATAGACAAGGAAAAAGAAAACTGTTGCAGAGAATATATATAGATCGATTAGTCAAGTCACGAGCTCCATCCCTGGAAGTTTCCAATTTGCTCACCCGCGCTAGACGTCGCTGACTGTCTGTTAGTTCTGGCCCAGTAGCCATTCTTGGTAACGGTCACGTTAACAGGTGTCGGTCTCGCAGGTTCCGGTGGAGGCGCAGTGCTAATGTAGATTGTCTCCTTTACAGGAAGGGGACCTGCACTCATGTTAGAGCCCTGAAATCCGCTCATTTCCAGTAAGTCAAAGGGTTTCGTTCGGTAGTTCGTTCGTTACTGGGGCCCCAGCCGCGGCCCGCAATCGCATTTAAATTGGAAATCGGAAAAAAATGTGGTCTGAACTTAGCGATACTGATATCTAGCTGATAAGTAATGACACTATAATCAGTTTATAGATACAAGTGTCTTCGCGATTCCCATAGATTCGAGTCAATTGGCCGCTTGGCCTTGGCTGTGAATCATGATCAGTCATATTGGGGACTTTTTCGGGTGACCAAACAGGCGGGGCAGAACAAAAATAGATTTATTTTGTTATCTTTAATTATTCCTTAAGTATAATTACAAAGCAAGGAATAGTATTTAAATGTGTGCTATCAGTCTTAAAGTATTTGACACGCTTTTGAGGTAGCCAAGACCTAGAAATTTTTTTCAAAAAGAAAGTGTTTTAAATAGCCTTGTTTACAGACCCAACTATCTATGGGCCAAAGGTTGAGGAGGGTATGGGTAATGAAGAAGCCTTCTCTTGACGTAGCCAAGTGGTGTGTGACGAGTCCAGAGCGCCTGTCTAGCGTCTGCATTATGTTATGGCAGCATCAGCGGCAACAAACTCATCGGGCTCGCAATCATAATCATCCCGGCGGCGGGCCACACTCGAGTGTTTGCTTGAGTTGTCTCAAATTGCGTAATGTCTGCACTGACACTGCCATTTCCATCCACTCCACTTCACTGCCCTCCAACCGCTGCTCGACTCGACTTCATCCAACCGATCCAAAGGCCCCAGCATCTTTGCGAGCCAATCTATCTTGTAGCGCCTCAAACTGTCAAATCGCGCCACATGTCTATGGGTTCTGGGGAGGATGAAGAGTGCGATGTGTGAAGCGGGAGACTGCCGCTGCTGCTGCCTGTTCCTTGTCATTTGACGCCGCTCGACAAATTAGCCAAGTGCGATGCCATAGCGGCTCCAGCTCCAGCTCCAGAACCAGCCACATCAGCAGCAGTGCCATCTCCATTTCGTTTCGAGAGACTCGAGTACATTTTAATGAGTTTATGCACAAAGTTGTCTAATGGCGTAAAAATTATGAGCGCCAACATGTGGCCATGGATATGGGCATGGCTGCAGATTGAGATAGATCTGGAGACGGGCACATGGCGCAAATGGCACATGGGCTCATTGCATGGGTTTCTGCGGTGATGCTGCCTTCGGGACAAGCGCGGCGACGTCTGGCAGGCCACTAATGGAGTCTAATTACTCTGGCCGACAGCCGACGCGAATATCTTGGCCAATAAAAGCATATTAAGACAGCGTGCACAGACATTCCTCAACTGTCGTTTATTTCCGCCAAATGGGACATTCAGAAATCAAGTGAGTGCTGCTGCTCCTACAGCCCACCCCGGTAAACCCCTTCGATGCTTGTGGGACAGGCTGCTCTTCACGGCCATCGCCGCGCTCTTCCTGCTTAATGTTGTCACCATCAGGAGGTAGACGCACTTCAGCGAAAGTAGCAGCGTCCGCTTCCAGTGGAGCCGAGTACGCCAGGACGGGGAAGTCGGCATCCTGCTACTGATACTTTTGACTTCTTTTTGGGTAGGGTGAATATGGAAACTACTACAACATTTGAGAAACTAAGAAACTTCTACAAAATTTAAGAAACTAAGGTGAAAAATGACACTAGTGTCGGGGTCATACAAAAATTACCTTTATTTATTTAAGATTGAGCTTAAGTTTACTAAATAAAAAAATCCATTAACAATGGATTTAGGACTAAATTTGTTTCCGCCCGGGATTGAACCGGGGGCCTTCCGCGTGTTAGGCGGATGTGATAACCACTACACCACGGAAACATTTTCAAGGGCTTCTTTTAATCCTTAAGAATTTTAAAAGGGTGAAAAAGATACTAATCTGTCTGATATAATCGATCTGAAGTTTATTATTACAAAATAAATACAAGCGGCACTAAAAAAATTAATGCCGAAACCCGGGATTGAACCGGGGACCTTTAGATCTTCAGTCTAACGCTCTCCCAACTGAGCTATTTCGGCTGCTGAAGTTATTAAAATATTATTAATTAATAAATTTTAAAAAAAAGGCATCAAGCAACTGATAATGAGAGTCTTTAACGTTTCTTAAAAAATATACCAAAATTATAGTAATATTTAGTAAAGCAAATCGAAAAAGTTAACAAACATAAACTAAGATTAAAAAATTATTGAAAAAAGTACTTAAAAAAAGTTATTAAAAAGATATGTGCCGAAACCCGGGATTGAACCGGGGACCTTTAGATCTTCAGTCTAACGCTCTCCCAACTGAGCTATTTCGGCGTGCGGATTCCTTGCGGCGAATAGGAGATTACGGGCTGTGGGTCTATATATAAACTTACCTGCAAATAAGTTCACCGCAAAGTTCAATTGTGTCCTCTATTTTTAAAATTCGTACTATATATAAGTACATTTTGGCTTCGCCTCTTTTGCCTGTCACAATTCCTGACAGTCGCAAAAATGTATGTTGACATTTGCGTGTCTTAATAGGTCCACATCAATTTCACAAAGACACTTTCCTTGCAGCCCCACATTTTGACTGACGGAAAATGCACTCTAAAAGTGCGATAAATGAAAAGAAAATTTGCTAGCAAGTCGGGCCAACAAAAAAAAAAAAATACATTTTGCCATATCGTTTGTAATAATTTGGTTAATTACAAAATTATGAATTTTTACGATGCCCGGGTAAAATAATAAATAAATTCTATAGTGTAATTCCTGGCAACCAGGCGCATCTGACATATGGCAAGGTTACATTAATTTGCTTTTTATATTTGGCAAACTTTCAGAATGCATTTTAAGATATATGAACTTTGCCGAAATCTGAAATGAAAAATGTGGGAGGATAATAAACATTTTACTGCATATAAGTAGCATGGAACTAACAAGACAAGGTTAATGGCTTTAAACTATCTTTATAGCGAAATTGAGAGCTTAATAAAACTATTCTCCATATTCCCACACTAATTAAGTGTATTTTGTTTGAACACAGTTTCGTCTAAATCATAAATTTATGTGTTTATTTATGACTGAATTTATTTTGATTAACTAATATGATCGTTTGATTCAAAGAAGAGTGTACAATGATGAACTTGATTTCCCCATTCAGGCTGAGCCCTTCCTCAGCAACCTGGTGAATTCTGACGAAATTGAATCCACTACCCGCTGCCTGAAAGCGGTTGCCTTGCCCCGGAGGCCAGACAACCTGATCTGATCCATTATAAACGCTGTATCGTGGGTTAGAGCACCTTCCCAGTTCCAACTTCCAACTAATGCGGCTTCCGTTTGACGCCCGGCGCTGAAAGCTGAGCTGCAATAATGGGAGCTGGGAACTGGGAAGCCTAAGACATTTTATTTCTTGTTAAATTCGACCAAATTGAAATAGCCAAGTAGCAGCCAGCACTCAATGCGCCATAGTTTTTGGGGGGTCTTAGTTGTACCTGGGTCTATGAACTGATAAGGGTCTTTCAAGTGTACAAATATAGCGATAAGAAAGTTCAATTGGGCACAGAAATACCCACAGAGGCAGTTTGAATCGATTTCCAGGAAAAAATTATACACATTAAGCAGAACTTCTGTAGTCAGCAAAAGAAATATGCAAATCCCAAGCAACAACTCAGGGCTCCTTTTCCTTTTTGCGAGTGTGGAGTGGAGGACACTTTTTGCCGGCTGGCTAAGTGGGTCACAATTGGATTTGAATTGTTTATGCCACAACAACAGCAAATATGTACGAGTATAATAGAAGTTCTTACGGTCCGACCTGGCTTTTTATAAATAATATCGCAGTTTGTGTGACAGCCCTAATAGAGCAATTGCAGGATACCCACTAGACCCTCACTTTTAACCTTTGGCTACGCTATACGAGTTGTTCGGGCCACAACTTGTAATTGAGTTAATTGCTAAAATTCTTGTTTTTTCGCCAGCAGCAGCAGCAGCTGCAAAATAAATTACTGAAATCTGTGTAAAACAAATTGCCATCGACGTGATTACAAAATAACTGCAGTCATAAGCGAATTCGGCATACTTGGCTTTATTAAAAACGAATAAATATTCATTTGGCAATGTGGCGCGGACACTTTAAACCAAAAGTCACGGGCCGATCCCAGGGCGTTGGCCTCCGGAAAATCGGCCATAAATTGAGCTAAACGTGAATCTCACTGGTCACTCTCCCTGTGTTATAATTCTGACAAAATACAACGAACTCGCAAAAAACCGCAAGATTTATTGGCAACCGTTTCACGAACAATTTGTTGCCATTGAAATTTATTGGGGCGACTTTTGAATATGTGTTCCGCTACGCCACACTCATTCACTCACGACATTTGGCGTTTTATTTCCATTAACAAATCGTACTCAACCCACTCCCCGCTCTGCCCACCAGACTTTTGTTTATTTTCTGCGGCTTCCTTTGGCCTCGTCCAGCACTTGTCGCGTCTGAGTGATTTCGGAACGTGAACGTGTCGCCAAGTCGTTCACATTGTCGAATATCGCTCATTCCGCCCTCGAAACGATGCCTATATATTAATGTATCAAATGCGTGTTTATAGATTTTCTCATAACTCGTCGGCTTACGACTTTGTCAAACAGATTCAAGAAGCACTTTAATGTGGCTAAGTTAAATCATAAAACCTCGATTCCCCTTGATTCATCTTTCATAATCCGTTAACCTGGTAAACTTTTGCAGGTGTTGGGATCGGGTGGAGGGGTGGCTGAAGCTCCAAAGTGAACTTAAATATTTCAAGTCCATTACAAACTGTCACAACATGTTCGGGGTTTTGTGAGTTGAGTGAGCCGAACGCAAATTGGCTTGCCACAAGTCGACCCCTGTCACTGCCCGCCCGCTTGACACTTGCCACATGCTTTCCCGCTCTGGAAATACTGGAGGCGTCTCGGTTTTGGTTTCGGTGTCGGTGTCGGTTTTGGGATTGAGACTGGGGCCGTTGCTGGAGCTAGAGCTGGGGTCCCATTAAATATGCATAAATCGAACTGGAAAGGCAGCAGAGCCAGCAATGAAGATGTGGCACTCTCATGCGAGTGGGCTTGGGAGTGGGAGTTGCATTCGCCACGGGATGGCTTTTAAATAGTTAGTTGAGCGTTAAATTGACTCGGCGAAGCCATCAACTGGTCACATGTCAGACCCAATCCCTAGCCGGCTGGCTGCCTTGTTAATTGCATAATTAAGCGCAAAGTTGGACTTGGCAGCCTACGCAGACTTTGCTCCAGATCCGTTGCGATCTGCAGACTGCAGCAGCAGCAGCTCCTCCCGTTCCCCATCCCTCCACTCTTTGCAGCTCTAATCCACTTGGAGCCGTCGACATGTCCGCTAATGAGCAGCACCGAGTTCCTCCTGCCAATGCGATGCAGTGCTGATAAGGCGGAATTTATCATCTGGATGCCTGGCAACTGTCGGATTAGCCGACATCGCTCTATTTGCATATTCATAAATCTCGGAAGCCTGCACTCTCGAGCAGACTAATTGAAATACGTATTTACACTTAATTGAGTGCCTGCCTCTATCTGTCCTATCTGGTAAGCCGTCTTTCCAGAGCCAGGCCAGAGCTTTCCCTTTCAGGTTTTCCTCCTGGCCTGACTTCTGTTCCGTGTCCAAGTCTATTTGCTGTGTAATCACTTTGTCCACTGGATAAGGCAGATCGCCTTATTTGATATGCAGTTGGATTGTCACGTCGTAAGCTATATAAATATAAACCCTATATGCATCAAATTTGCAGAGTCAACCAAGTCTGAACAGCGATTGCAGAATAAAATGGAGAGCAAGGATCAGTTTACCAATTGCATAATCTTTTGTTTAATAATTCATCATTTTTATTTTAGGAAAATATATATAAAATCAACCTTTAAATAAAATAAGCGCAGACTTTATAAGTCTGGTATTTATGGTTTTTGTACATTAAAGACATCTTTAGGTTTCATTTCTAATCCGGCCAAGATTTGTTCACTCAATGTCTTAAATGGAGCCGATTTCAAAATTTCAGACGGCAGCTGGGTGACGATCTGCTGGTAGACCTCTTTCATTTCACGCCGGGAAATATTTATTTCAAATTTCATTTTCTCTTCGGCGAGCTTAGATTCTATACTCTTTTCCATTTCGCTCTGGTAAGCTGCCTCATGACACTGCAGCAAATGTCTCTCCATATTCGTTGTGTAGGATCCCTTGAAACAGTTCCGGCAAAGTTTGCATTCCTCTTCGTTCTTATTGGGATGGAAAACGAAAAAGTTCCGAACTATAGTACTCTTTAAATTCATCTTTTCTCCTAAAGAAATTGTAAATAAGAGTGGTTTTAATATATATTAAATATAGTAGAGGTGTTTAATTATACCAACTTACGTATCAGCAGCTGGTTTATTTTTGGTTTATTTAACAAAGTTATTTCTTACGTGAAAATCTGAGCCAGTTATTCCTGGATATTTCCAAAAACGAACTTATTTACTATGAAATATTTTCACAATTGCCACTAGTTTAAAGGATTTTCATGGCCAACTGATTTTCTCAAATAACTTGTTTTTGGGTTTTAATTTATAAAGAGAATTCATCTGTTTTTTTTTATCCACTCATAAAAAGCGAAACCATAACTAACTTTGAAACTTCGCAAAAACCAAAAGGCTTCTTCCTTCAAGAAAATTTCTGTAATAAAATTTTACGATCGCCTAGCAACAAGCACGACTTTTGGTCGTCAGAAGATGGAATTGCCTGGGATCGGACCACTGGGAACCAGAGAGAGAATTGGGGAATGCAGGAAGGAGAAGGACACAAAACAAAAGTCATGAAATTCATGAATGAATCAGGAAATCGTGTTGGCTTTCATCCTCACCCCAAGCCGCCAATCTGTGCGGCTGCCGCAGCTGAGTTTGGTAAGACAAGTTTGCCCGATGTTGCCAAGTCGGGAACACGTTCACTGTGGTCCAGGTCGGGATAGCCGCCGTCGCCTGCTCCTTCCTCCTCCTGTTCCTTCTGCTGCCAGTGCCGTCTGCGCATGCGTGACGTCTGTCAGCAGGCGACAGGAAGGTGCCGCACAAAAAGAGGCACCCGGGATCCAGGCTCCCTTCAGCCGGCTTTGTTTGGTCTGTTTGGCCACAAACATGTTTTCCTTTTAGGGCCGGCGGCGACTGTTGGGTCATGCTGGGCCCAAACCCGTTCCCAGTCCGGGCCCGTCTATCGAAACGGGCCAAAATCAGCCTTGGGGGAAACAAGGAAGTTTCGCTAGTCAAGTGGCTGAGGGCCTCCAGCTGCTCCGCCAATGGAGCACCCACTTCAGCCGGCTTTGCTCTGCTCAAGTTGGCATTTCTATTTCGATTGCGATTGGTATTGGAGGAAAAGAAAAGGAATGCAGCATAATTGAGCATAAATAAATAAAATGCCTGGCGAAATATTGCATTTGCCATTGGTGGGCGGCAATCTCTATTGTGCCGAGCTCAAGTGGCCTATTGAGTTGGCTCCCATCCGTCCATCCATCTAGTGGGATGCCCGCCTATTCGTCTTGGCCCACCGCCGGATGTTGGGCATCTCCAGCTATAAGATATTTCTGTTGCAACCTGCAGTGGCCCGTTTCTTTTTTCTGTTTTTGCATTATTTGTTCTGCATATTTAAATACAATTTGGCCTCCGTTTGGGCATGTCAAATTCGAACTCCACTCCAAAAACTTTTGGCAGGAAGTACTCTTTCTGATTATGCAACAGCTGAACTGAGGGATTGCAGAATGGGCTGGGCAACTGTGGGTTTTAAGAGCAACTACTCTATGAATTTAAGAGTTTAAAGATACTTCGTGTTTTGAAAAAGAGCTCCGAGAAGTCACCTTCTCGTACTTTAACTTTTTGAACAGCGCAGAGAGCGGCCACTGGGTGAGTTCGCTTCTATGGGAAGCTCAGAGATCGGCGACATTCGGCGAGATCTTTGAGTTTCAGCCTCGAAATGTGAGACTTACGCAAAGAGCAATAATTAGTGAGTGGAGCCGAGCGCCCCGCGATAATTCTTCTCGGCGTGCCGAATCGCTGAACACACTTCATCAAGCCCAAGTCGAATCGTCAAGTGCCCTGCCGTATGCAGAAGGTCGCGACCCAGTGGAGCTTCCATGGTGTTCGACTCTCGAACAAACTTCTCGAAGAAGTGGCCAGAACTGACTGTTACCTGGCAATTACAATGCAACAAACAGCGGCATTGCGACCACATAAATCACACTTAAACGGGCCGCAGTAAGCCGTAAACCTCCCTGTTCCGCCCCTTTATTACTGTGTCCCGCCGCAGGAAATGCAGGTTGCGTGGGTGGCTGGCAGCTCAATGCCAGGCGAGGGCATAAGCTGCACAAGGAAATTTACGTGGATCCGCCGCAGGATAAGGGAAAGCCACTGCTTGTGCAGTGTTCACTTAACGGCAAGTGGCACATAAATTTCAGCAAGGACGCAAATACACTTGACGGGGGCGGACTCGGGACTGGGTCTAAGAGCTTGGCTGACAGTCGCCGGCATTTGCTGATAAGTGGACAAAATGTGCATCGCTCTGATTTAGCTTTTGGCCAAGCTGTCTTGGCAAATATTTGGTGGCAAGGGCACTCGAGTCGAGGCACCGTCGAGGTCAACTGGTGCATGAAATTTGGAGGCAGGCAAAGCAGCAGCTGCAAAACAGGCAGCTGCAGCCGAAATCAGGTCCAAGAAGATGCTTGAGTTAAAGGGAAAATCATTTACAGTCTTTAAAAATAAATACGAGCCACCTTTAACGCTTTAACTCCATATTTTTCTTTTCCAGGCCAGCAAAACACAAAATGCTATTTCTCTGCGTTTCGAGCGCTCTTTGAGGGCGACTTTGGTCTTAAATCCTAGCTGTAGTAGTTACCCCCAAAGCAATGATGATGATGCAGCCCTCCAGCCTGCGCCTGGCCATTAGCAGCCTGATTCTGCTCCTCTTTGTGCTGCACGTCCTCGGCAGGGAGCAGGGAACCGGAGCTGGAGCACAGCACCACCGGCAGCACCACCAGCGCAGTCACGCGGCCAAGCGCTTTTCACGTGACTCCAATGCCGCCCGTGAGCGCCGACCGAACATTATCCTGATCCTCACCGACGACCAGGACGTGGAGCTAGGCTCGCTGAACTTTATGCCGCGCACCCTGCGCTTATTAAGGGACGGCGGCGCCGAGTTCCGGCACGCGTATACTACCACGCCCATGTGCTGCCCGGCGCGCTCCTCACTGCTTACTGGGATGTACGTGCATAACCACCAGGTGTTCACCAACAATGACAACTGCTCCAGTCCCCAGTGGCAGGCCACGCACGAGACGCGTTCCTACGCCACGTATTTGTCGAATGCCGGCTACCGGACTGGCTACTTCGGCAAGTACCTGAACAAGTACAATGGCTCCTACATCCCGCCCGGCTGGCGGGAGTGGGGCGGCCTGATCATGAACTCGAAGTACTACAACTATAGTATCAACCTCAACGGTCAGAAGATCAAGCATGGCTTCGACTACGCCAAGGACTATTATCCGGATCTCATTGCCAATGATTCCATCGCCTTTCTGCGCTCCTCCAAGCAGCAGAACCAGCGCAAGCCCGTCCTCCTCACAATGAGCTTTCCGGCTCCCCACGGTCCAGAGGATTCGGCGCCCCAGTACAGTCATTTGTTCTTCAATGTGACCACCCACCAGTGAGTATACCTACTTTCTGAATTGAATATTGATTATTCTTTCCGTTACCTTCAGCACTCCATCCTACGATCATGCTCCGAATCCAGACAAGCAGTGGATCCTGCGGGTCACCGAGCCCATGCAACCTGTGCACAAGCGCTTCACTAATCTGCTGATGACCAAGCGACTGCAGACGCTCCAGAGCGTGGATGTGGCCGTGGAGCGGGTCTACAACGAACTGAAGGATCTCGGGGAGCTGGACAACACGTATATTGTGTACACCTCGGATCACGGTTACCACCTGGGACAGTTTGGCCTGATCAAGGGCAAGAGCTTCCCCTTCGAGTTCGACGTGCGGGTGCCGTTCCTCATCCGAGGTCCCGGCATTCAGGCCTCTAAAGTGTAAGTGGCTTGAACTTTTCTCGATGGTTTGACTAAAAGAAGTCCTATTCCTCAGGGTCAATGAGATTGTGCTGAATGTAGACCTGGCTCCCACTTTCCTGGACATGGGTGGAGTGCCCACGCCGCAGCACATGGACGGCAGGAGCATCATGCCCTTACTGCTGAGCAGGAACCGCGCTGTGCGGGACAACTGGCCCGACAGCTTCCTCATCGAAAGTTCCGGCCGGAGGGAAACTGCAGAGCAGATAGCCGAGTCTAGGGCACGGCTACAGGCCGAACGACGCAGCATGAAGTTGGTCAACAGTTCGCTGCTGGAGGATTTCCTGGACTCTGGAACAGAGAGCACAACCACGGTCTCAAGCAGAAGCAGCAGCAGCAGCAGCACTGCTGCCACCTTGCTGAGCTCCACCACCCAGCAGTTTGAGGATGGCGAGGAGGATGTGGACACAGACAACGAAGAGGACGATGTAGACGGAGCCATGGACAGCTCTGCCGCGGCCCTGGAAGAGGAAGATCTCGAGGACGCGGCCATTGAGGAGGCCGACGAGGAGCTGGACGATCAGGAGTTCCCTCAGCCGCAGGACAATGATCTTCCCCTAGCTCCCTACATAACCAAGATGATGCGCCTGAATTCAGAGTGCTCGGATCCTGCCCTGCTAAAGAACTGCCTGCCTGGACAGAAGTGGAAGTGTGTTAACGAGGATGGACGTTGGCGCAAGCACAAGTGCAAGTTCCATGTAAGCATCATTACCATACATTTTATTTATGAGTTCCATTAATCATTCCCAATCCAACTCAGCTCCAGTTAGAGCATCAGCTGGCTGCCATGCCCCGGAAGCAGTATCAACGCAACTGTGCCTGTTTCACCTCCGACGGGGTGGTCTACACCAAGATTCGAGCGCCATCCGCAGGATTACATCGCGTCAACAAGCGCACCCATCACGGTGGCCACACCAGGCGGCGTAACAAGCGCGAATTGTTCCACACAGAGCTGCCCTACGAGATGGAAGAGTTGCTGGACCTCCACCAGGCGGTCGATATGCTCACCGAGCACTCGCACCGCACTAAGCGGGAGTTGTCTGCGAATAGCAACGAGATGATCGCCCAGGTCATCCAGCAGATACAGTCCACGCTGGAGACCCTGGAGCATAAGTTCAACGAGCACGAGCTGCACGGTCCCGGACTGCTGACCAACTCCAGCTCTTATCCCAACAGTCGGGGCGAGAAGTTCCCTAAGACCGAAGGTCATCGCTGCTTTGTGGACGCCACCTCGGGCAAGGTAAACTGCTCGAACGTAATATACGACGACGAGAAGACGTGGCGCACCTCTCGCATGCAGATCGACATGCTGATCAAGGTGCTGAAGGACAAGATCGGCAAGCTGAAGGAGATGAAGAAGCAGCTGCGGGAGAGCAACAAGCAGGCGGGATCATCCGGCAGAAGGCAGGAGAACCGCCGGCGAAACGAGGAGAACGTGGTTGATGGTGGAGCCGGGCCGGAGTTCAATATGAGCTACTTCACAGAGATCAGCAGCAGCACGGCAAAGCCGAATGTCGGTGTTGGCCAGAAGGAGATCTACCGGGGCTATGGCAACGCTGGCCTGCTGGATTCATTGGAGCCTCAGACGCCTCGTTTTTCTCCGCGGGCAGAGTGCTATTGCGAGCCGGATGTGGGCGAGAGGTAAGTGTTTCTACTTCCCCTGCAGGTGCAAAATTAATAGGCCATATTCTCATATGTTTCAGCTATGCGGATTCCAAGGAAATGGCCCGCGAGGCGCGTAGGAAACTGAAGGAGGAGCGGCAGCGCAAGAAGGAGCGCAAGCGCATCAAGAAGGCTCGCCTGGAGAAAGAGTGCCTGTCGGAGAAGATGAACTGCTTCTCGCATGACAACCAGCACTGGCGCACGGCCCCGCTGTGGAACGACAGTCCCTTCTGCTTCTGCATGAACGCCAACAACAACACCTACTCCTGCCTAAGGACCATCAATGCCACCCACAACTATCTCTACTGCGAGTTCACCACGGGCCTAATCACCTTTTACAACCTGACGATAGGTAAGTTAGACAAGGCTTAAAGTCTGAATAAATATTGAATAAATATTCGTACTTTTTCTCAGATCGCTTTGAGACCACAAATCGTGCTGCCGGCTTGACGCCCGGGGAGAGAGCCCACATGCACGATGCGCTGGATCAGCTTAAGGGCTGTAGAGGCCGCAGCTGCAGCATCCGGCGACACCAGGCCCAGTTGGATAGCGGAACCAGTGCCCCGCAGCTGCCCAGTGCCATCAATCAGGTGCATCGCAACAACAAGCGCAAGCACTGTAAGCCTCTCTTCACCTGCCACCCAGTTGATGTGTGACTTGAGCTGTTTCCTGTTCTCTTTCCTCCGTTTCAGCTCCCCTCTCGGGAAGCGTGGGTAACTACGCCTTCGTGGGACCACGACTGGACATGGAAGGGCTGCCGGCAATGAAGCGACGCAAGCTGTCCAAGTACAACAGGTAAGCAAAGTACAAGAGCAACTGAACTCCAAGTGATGGGTCTAACTCGTTCACACTCTTGCAGATTGACTGGCTCGCAGCAGACGCACCTGAAGCGGCGTCCCTGGAAGCAGCAGCCCCACCAGCAGCAGACGCCGAGATTCTTGCCCACGCACTCAGTGAGTCCCGCAGCAGCGGCCTAAAGATGATGCCGCAGGAAGGGAACTCTCCACATACATATCCTATGCGTACCTTGCTTGCCTGCTCCAGCTCTAGCCCCAGTCCCTGCTACTTGATTTGTCCCAATTGGATTTCTTCATACATAAATAAGACTGTGTTTTAATCTATTATCTACTTACGTTTAGACTCTTGTAACCAAACTGTGTGTGTGTGAAGTTCAATTATTTGGCTTGCAATATTTATACATTATAGTAACCGCCACACATTTTAATTAATTAGCTCGTAGGTCACCTAATTTGTACATAAATTGATAAGCTAAACCCAGCAGCAGCCAGTACAGAATGCTACGGAAACTAAATAAATTATTTAGCGAAATTGGTTAAAAGTTAAATTAGTTGAGTATAAATCTAGCAAAGAATTCGATTAATTGTAGCCAATCCAAGTGAAATTGTATTTATTGGCCATTCTCATTGCTAAAGGAACAAACGCAAAGCATGCATAACAATTTGTTGTCACTGTGTATTTATTAGAGAACTAAACCATATTTATGCCGTACTAGATACGTTACAGTTGCTAAGAGATCCCCCAGCCCCGCCCAAGCCTAAAATACCCCAAGACGTTAGGTAGCAAACCCGCTTGCAAACGAGCAATAAACAAAAATATTGTATCGGCCACGTTAATAATGTCGTACCATTAACTCTGAAAATGAATATATAAACTCAAATGTATTAAAAGTCAAAACGTAAAAACAGTTGCAAATAATAAACTTTTATCACAACTTCATGATTTATTAAGTTGTTTAGTTTTTTTACATACATTTTAGGGAATGCCCAAGTTGAAAGACAATTACAGCTAAACAAGATTTATGGGGTAATATATGAGCTACTGAGTTGCGGCAGTTGAAAAGTAACTATCATCCTTCATAATTTGTTTTATTTCCTCATCATGTCACTATATTATTTTAGAGAATATCCTTTGTGGCTTTTATTTATTTAAATATGGTGAAAAATATATTACATACTTTCAGGCTGAGGTCAACCCGATTCTTTGTAGATCTTCTGTTTTTACATATGAATATAATAATGAATATTTGTGCATATCTCAATATCATTATTATGTTGGAAGGAGAATTCACATAAAATGTTAATAATAAATTCAAGATAACTACACATTTTCTTATGAAATCTCCCTTTTTAATACCCCTTTTAGAAACCATTAAGAATTAATTCCGATCTGTTTTTTTAATATTTAGTTAAAAGTACAACTTCAGAAATTACGCGTACAAACTAACGATTATCAGAGTGCCCAATTAAGACATAAATTAGTTATTTCTCCGTATTATTTTGGAAGGAGAATCCCTATAAAAATGTAATAATTTCAAGATAACCCCAGTCGTTTCCTTATGAAATACCCCCTTTTTTAACACCCAAGTGCACCACTGGTGGGGACCACTAAGAAACAAATCAAATTCGTTTTATTTGATATTTAGTTAAAAATACAAATTCGGAAATTACGTATACGAACTACCGGTTATCAGAGTACCCAATTGAAACATAAAAGAATTATTTCTTTGTTTCCCCGATCTTAACTATCGCATACCAATCGGGGTTTTATGATTTATTGCAAACACTCTCTCTGGGTGTATTTGGTTCAAGAGCATGGGTTCAAATGATAATATAGGCATTGCCTATCAGGCAAGAACATTAGAGATTAACTGTTCCGCTTGCCGTTAAGCTCATTGGGCAATAATTTTGCAATACTTTTAAGGTGTGTGCACTCCGCTGAGATAGCTGCGATAACATCTGGCTGGGAGAGCGAGCGTGCGAGCGATAAGAGGGAAGTTCCGAGTACGGCATGCGTTGGAAACAGAGGCGTCACTCAGCATCATCGACTTCATCATCATTAGGAGATGTCAATAAGATCACCAGAGTGCGCTAATTAAGCCACGAAGCTGTTTTGATCTGCTGTCAGGTATGGTTGCCGCCTGCCAATTCACACTTGACACTTGAGGCGCTAATTTCCGGTGCAGTCGGGGACCGGGGATGGGGACCGGGAACCAGGGCAGATGGCTGCCAGTTTGGCTCCGGCGGAGAACATGCGCTTATCTCAGTTATCACAACACGGAGAGATAGCAGTCCGGTCCGGAGAGCAAGAGCAAGCCAGCCGATGTCAAAACCGGTCTGCGGGCATTTTGCGGAGATATCGTGTTAAAAATTTACGCAAGCAACAAAGTTATCAGCTTGAAATTGTATTTGTTGTGGGCTGGGGCGACAATAACAAGCCGATCACATGATGAACACTGAACAGGCCTCGGCAACAAGGCCTCCTCGACCATCTATTTCAGTCAGCCACTTTACGATTCGCACTCTGCCAACGAGAGATATCGTGCTGAAATTTCACAATGTCGAGAATATAGCCGCTGTACCGCAAACGGGGCCTGGGTTGCAATAATCTGATGTGGGGAACTTTATGCCCAGGCACGTATTTCGCTTTATAGCAGGCATTTCTAGCATATGTACATGACTTCGTGAAAACAATTATTACTGTTTTGGCACTAAACGAAGTTAGAAATGCCCTTCACTTTCTTCACATTTGTAGAAGCCATCTAAGTTTATACTTTAATGGTAAATGATTTAAAGAACTTGATATGAATATTTGGTTATTTTAGATTCCATATGAAGATAAAAATTCTCCTGTCTTATGTCACCTCATAACGATAATATTTATTAATAATTTCTTCATTCTTGTTAACAAAATTTAAAAGAAATAATGGCCAGTAACAAAGTGTATAAAATACATTTTATACATTTCAATATTGGGAATTTTACTCATGACAAATACAAGGGGATTTTTCAGTAGGAAAAAGTTATTTTTTTATTTTTATGAAATATATTATTTATAGTTCAATATTGGGACTTTTTACCCATGACACAAGGTGATTTTTAAGTGAGAAAAAGTCTGACTTTATCTTAACCACAAAACGTAATAGAATTTTATTAAGTTTAATATTGCATTCGAAATATTTTGTATGCCCTAGTTAGTTATGTTGATTTGTTCTCAAAGTGTCAACCATAATTTTTTTTGTTATTGGTAATACCTAAAATTGTTTGTTTTATTTGTTATGACAAAGAAGACTCGAGAAAAATATTGACACCTTGTGTCTTTCTGTTTATTTGTTCGTTAATAATCACGAATTAATTAGAGCTATAAAGAAATTAACTGCTGATGTGAAAAATAATAAAGATATTGCCCCTTTTAACAATAGGTTTATGGTGCCATTTTAGGTAAATCAGTCAAAATAAAGGTAAATTTCATTAAAGAATAATATATATATAATATATAATAATATCTCCGTTGAGCAATATTCCTCTTTGTGTGCAATACGTTGTCCAGAAACCACACAAAGAGTGGCAAAGGCAATTGCTATTGGGGAAACCCCAATTACCACCTAGCCATTTATAGTCCATATGTACAGATACATATAGGTACTTACTTATACTTACCTCTGAATATCGCCTTTATATCAATAAACTGAGTTTTTCAAATATAACACAAAGATCTCGTCGAGGACAAGGAGAAGACTTCGATATACAATAGTTTCGGAGGTAAGATAGCCTTGATTACAAAGAATTAGTGTTTTCTTTAAAAAAAAATGACTGAAATTCCGCTAAACACACATAACCGTAGTTTCTAGATAAAATATAACGGGGATGTTAAAAAACTCAGAAAATTGTAAAGTCGATATTACGAAGCTAGCCTTATATAGACCACATATATAAACTATGTAAATACATACTTGCCACTTGCCTATCGTCTTTATATCAATAGAGTTTTTTAAATAAAACACAAAGATCTCGTCGAGGATAAGGAGAAGGCTTCGATATACTATAGCTTCGGAAGTCAGATAACCTTGCTAAAAAGAATTAGTGTTTTCTTTTAAAGAAAATGACTTTGAAATTCCGCTACACAAATTGAAGTTTCAAGGGCAACTATCAATGAAAACTATAACTTGGGAATGTTAAAAATGCAAGAAATTCCAAGGATACACGTGTTGAAATGTTACTTTAACTAATCTTAGGCTTTATTTCTAGATAAATACATATATTACAATATAAATTAGATCAAAATTCTGCTTTGCAGCTTAAAGTCTAGACGTCCTTCTTGGGGTGTGCTTCCAACAGTTTCTGGGTCACCTGTCGCAGGAGCTGCAGCTGCTGCTCGTAGTTATGGACGGCGGCCAGTTCTTCGGCATGGTTGTGGTTAGGCGGCGGGTGGGCATGATCATGGTCGTGCTCGTGATCATGGACGTGGTCCGAGCCAGACCTGGTCTCAGTCTCATGGTGGTCGTCCGTATGGGCCGAGCAGCTGCTGTGACTATGACTGTGGCCGTGTCCGCCACCGGAAGCTGTAAAAGAGAAGAGAAGGCACACGAGTTAGTCACAATCTTGAGTAGTACTTGGCTTATAAATCGAATCTAAGCTGAAAAGTATGCCAATCGTAATCTCTGATAGACCCCATTTCCACATATTTTCAATTGCCAAGCCCTTCGGTACGAGTGCCTCAGGAAGTGGGTTCCATCGAGCGTGTTTCAATCACCCCGAATCTATGCGATGATTTACGATCGCTTTGTCCCGCCTTATCGAGCCTATATATTCACTATCCGACTCCCAATTCCTGGTAATCACATGCGGGTGGTGTAACCACATATTCGTGAGCTTGTGCCCCATGTTTTGATGGATCTGAGTGTCTAATCTGCCGGTGCTTTTTCGCGCCGGGGGCTACCCCGATCTCGGCAAGAGATGACTTCATGGCAGGCACGGGATTTTTGCTCCACCTGTTTGCTAGGTACACAGACAGACAGACTCGCTTGCGAAATAAACCGCAGCAAGGTCTGTTACAAGGCCAACCACGCAGTGTCCAGCGGATCAGCCACTGTAGAACCTGTTCCCAATTCACCCGAATCGAATTCCGGTTGAAGAATCTCATCTGACAGTCCGGCGACGGTCACTAATTACCCCTAAATATGAAAGCAACAGTTGTCTAATCGGATAAGAAAACACCCACTGTTGAGTTACTTAAGCCTACTTTTCTAATTCTAGTCAGGTTATGCCTTTCCTTACATTTCCTTACATTATAATTAGATAATTTATCTGAACTGTGTAGTCGGTTCTGACATTTAGTAAACAATTTTATGAGCCCTTAGTTAAAACCGCTTAATTTACATGCATTTTTTCATGGACATAAACTTTAATTAACGGCAAAAATATTAGTAATTAAAAATGTCTCATCAATTTTACGGAAAAATAGTAAACAACAACTTGATTAGAAGATGCAAATATTTAATAAATCATTTTTATGAATTTTCAAATTAAGAAAACAATTTGATCGAAGATTTAGTTATGTATATAAATAATGAAAAATATTGTATATTAGCATCCATGTTTATGAGTTAGAGACTTAAATATTCATTTGTTTTAATTAGGAAAATAAATAACTTAAATATGTTATTTAAAGAATTCTCGTCGAATTCTTATTACCTTCCTTTAGCTATTCAAAACTACCCAAAACTCTAATTCTAAATATCTCAGAATTCATGTTAAAAGAAAAGGAATACTCACTTAGCTGCTGTAGGCCGAACATGACGAGGAAGCCAACAAAGAGGGCCAGATAGGCGCGCAGACCGGACCTGTTCTTCGAGAGGATCTCGAAGAAGACCACGTATATGAGCGTGCCGCAGGCAAAGCCCTGCAAGATGGCCGAAACCAGGCTGGGTCCAGTGGTCTCCTGGCCGTGGTTTATCAGGATGCCAATGCCTATGCCGAGGGGGCTGACCACAGCAAAGGTCAGCACGTAGATCACTGCTAGCGTGAGCCTTGTACGGGCAACGATGAGTTCCACGCCCACGCAGAAGGCCAGCACCAATTTGTGGGCGGAAACGGCTCCGAACATGAACCACACGGAGCTGGCGGAGCCCTCCAATCCGATGGCCATGCCCTCGAAGAGTTCGTGAAGCGACAAAGCGGACACGATAAAGAGTCCGCGCAGCGATGAGGCCAACATGTCTCCGGCGGAGGCATCGTCTGCTATCACAGGAAGATGACTATGTCCGTGTCCATGTCCATGTCCATGGGCATGACCATGGGCATGACCATTGGCCTGGCTCTGGGGCTTAGAGGCGAATTTCTGCTGCTCAAGATCGTTTTGCAGGAGGTTCTGCACGGAAAGTGTTCCCAGCTCCGAGGTGGCACTACCGGCACCCGTGACTTGATTGGCTGGCGGCGCTGTGGCCTCTGTGGGCTTCAGCAGGTGACTATTCCGGATGCTGTGGCCACGCTCAAAGGCCGCTCCCGCCTCGTCCTTTTGATGGTGATGCACGTACGTGTGCATGGCCTCCTCTATGAAGTACATAAGGAAGAAGCCGCAACACATGAGCAGCTCCGCCAGTGGGAAGGTAAGTTCTCCAATGATGCCACATTCCTGTAGCTCTTCCACGACCTCCTGGACCTCGGGCAGTAGATGCAAAAATGTGGTGGCCAGCAGGACACCGCCGCCAAAGTAGAGCAGGCACTTGACCACAATCGCTGACCGGGCGTTCGTCTGGTTCTCCGTCCAGCGGTAGCAGCGGTTCAGCAGAAAGGGAATGGAGCCGCAGATGGTGCTGGCGCAGAAGAGAACCACCATGGCGGTGACCTTGGCCACCAGCACACCGCTGTCATCGTCCTCCTCCTCGTCATGATCGTCGTGATCGTGGTCGTGATCGTGTTCCTCGTCGTCATGACGCGATATCCAATGACCGGCGGGCTCATCGATTTGCAGGAAGCACTTGAGAAAATTATTCACTTGCGTTTGATTCATGTTGGCTGCCGCTTTCGGAATCGCTTCACTGTTTTGGTTGGTTTGTTTTGTTTGGGCTTCCACTGATCTCTCGAACCTGCTACTCGCTCCCCTGTTCCTCGCTCTTGGCTAAAACAGTTCCAGCGGCATGGGCATGTGCTGCGCTTGGAATCTCAATGGGTCTGCTCTGAATTCGAATGTTGGGGGATGGGCTCATCTGGTAGGGTCGCCTTCTGCAGTTGCATTCCGCCCGACTTTTCACTTTCTCAGCCGCTTTTCACTCACTTCATTTGCATGGGAGAGCCCGCTAAGAGTCCGCTAAGTGGTAGCACAAACGCAGCCTTTGGTGGATTAATTGGTGGGTTTGCGCGGTGGGTTGCTTGGTGGGTTTAGATTTATATTTGGGTTTTCAGATCCGCACAGGTGTTGATCGCTCGGGGCGGCCTCGCAGACTGACGGAGTCGGTTTGGTCCGCCGCCTGTTTACGAGTATCTTGCGCGGACTCCGCGTTGCTCCGCTCTCTCTCCATCTATCGCCAGACGTGAGCAGCAGGTTAAGCAGGTAAGAAACCGCTCTTAAAGCTTTCGCTCTCTAGCTCTCCGCCAGCCATTTGCTCCCACTCGCGAGCATTCACCTGTGCGCTCGTTTGGCAACAACGCTGATTGACTTGGGCCCAAGCATAAACTACAACAAAGGCCAGAGCCAGAGCTACAGCCAGAGTCAGAGCAGTTGAGTAATTGCATCCGTTCACTTTGGCTAGCATTAAAAAGGCGCCTGACCTTAGCCAAGATGTGGGATCACGACTTTTACTTTGCACCGCAGAGCAATTTTGTAGCCGGAAGCGAGAGCTTTGTGAGCATATTGCTAACGGTATTCTCTCTTGGGGCGGCAACATTTTGAATTAACGGCAACCAGTGTTGACAAATTCGCATCAAAATATCGGTTATAACAGTTATCGTTGGTAATTTTCAAACTTACTAGTTAATGCCGGCTGGAAAGAGAGGGAAAATGCAAATATGGCACAGCCTCGGCTCCAAAATCCTCCTTTCACAGACCTCCCCTGTGACAATGACAATGCATGTCACAGTTTCGGTTGGCACCGTTGATAAGGGTCGCTTATTGTGCCTCTCTCTCTCACCCACTAACCATCCCTGAATCTCTCTCTCTCTCTTTCTCTATATATATACCATTTGACAATAAAATTGGAAGGCTTAAGTCGGAAAACTTATAATTATTTTTCTGCATTTCAGGCTGTGTGCAATTTTAAACGGATTTTAAATAGTTTGGAAATATTTCGGTTTTGGTTCTTTGGCATTTCATGTGCCATTTCGGCATTAAACTTTTGCCCATTATAGTTTCCTGTGGTTTAAGTAAAGTCGGGTTATTTTACCAGAATAATAGATTACGAAGATGGTTGGTTTATTGTCAGCACTAGCCAGTCGTGGGTTAAATTTACCGTTATTAACAATTTCAAATTCTATTATTATTATTCTTTTCCATCTCTTTCCATCCATGTGGCAGCACTTTTAAATCAATCCAGATGGCAGCTCTGGCCTAACCCCTTCAATTCTAGGGATTACTCCATTTTCAAGTCTAACGGTACCAAGAGAGCACATAATTGTAATTAAATATTACATTTTTACATCTTTTTCGTTAACAAATTACAAAATAACAATAACAAATAACAAAAACTGCAAATCACATAGACATGGACCCCCGAACCTATCCTATTTTAGGACATTCGCCCGCTTAGCAAGGCGGTCACACTATTGGCCTCCCTCCCCACTTCCTTGCAAGGACAACACAATTAGACGGCGGACACATACACTTTTTTCCCCAGTTTTGTGCCCGCCAGCTAACCCAGTCTCGTCCCCCAAACTGACTGGTGAAGTCACCAGCATCCGTTAGCCTCTCGATTTCACGATGCTCCGTAGGCGCCGCGGCGATTAGATGCCGCCAAAGAAGCAGCAGCCAGACGTCCGTAGCCCCAGCCGAAAATGAACAATTTGGTGAGTGGGTGGCGCCGGGGGGATGTGGATGGGGTGTGTCTGTCTGTGTCTGTGGCCCGCGATTCCCAGTGACCGAAAGTAGTGTGGATTAATCGTTCGCCCGTTACAGGATCACGTCAAGCACTTCTACCCAGACAACTACAAATTGGATCTGTCCGAGACGATGAAGGCGGCTCTGTCCAAGGGACCCGGCGGCAGTGGAGGCGTGGCGGGCGCAGAGCTGCTGCCGCAGCCGAACGCCGGAATGCCGGGCGTGGGCTATGTGACGGAGAAGCTGTACATGCTCTTGCAGCTATATCTGCAGAACAAGGGCTGGAATCCGAGCGCCGAGCTGCTGCAGTGCTTCAGCGATCTCAAGGACAACGCCATGCTACCCAGCGCCGCCTATCTGCAGTAAGTAGAGCAGAGCTGCTCCGTTTGTCCTTCCCGTCTCAGTCTCACTCCTTCCTGCAGGGTCCTGGCCAACCGCTTGACCCTGGACTCCCAGGGTCGGCTCATTCTGCGGGACAACGGCAAGATAGTGCTGCCCTTCGAGCACTTCGCCAACGCTGTAATGCTGAAGCACATGTCCGGACCCCATGGTCTCCACCTGAGCGTGGATGCCACGGTGCGGGCCGTTATCGAGTCCTACACCATCGGCCGGGACCAGTTCGGCATGGAGAAGGAGTTCATCATCGAGGTGGTGCAGTCATGCCCCAGTCCCGCCTGCCGCTACTACAAGAACCACATGGGCATCTCGCCCATGCCGTTCATGGAGCAGCAGTATCCAGGCGTCAGCACGCCCGAGTTCCTGCAGCGTCTGCCCCACCTGCCGCCCAGTGGAACGGCTGGAGCCGGTCCAGGCAGCTCGGCTGCAGGCTCTGCTTCGAGCGTCGCCAGCAGCTCTAGCTCGGGTAACGTGGAGATCGACCTTTCCAAGTCGACGGGCGCCAAGGTGCCGCAGGTGCCAGTTCCCCCGCAATTGCAGCATCTCACCAAGCAGCAACAGAACAGTATCCAGACTCAGTTGTCCCAGATTAGCGCCGCCGCTGCCCACCACCAACAGCAGCAGCAGCAACAACAACAGCAGCAGCAGCAGCAGCAACAACAGCAACAACAAGCCCAGGCGCAGGCCAAGCACCAGCAACAGCAGCTGACTGCCGCATTAATCCAACAGCAGAACCGCGTCCTCGCCCAGCAAAGCCTCGAAAAGCTCAGCAATCTCAGCCCACTGGAGAAGCAACGTGTCTTTGCCCAGCTGGACCCCAAACACTTCGATCCCATGGCTGTGGCGGCAGCGGCCGCCAACCTGCAGATCCAAGGTCTGATGCAGTCGCAGGCAGTGGCAGCCGCAGTGGCCGCAAACCAGCAGCCAACGGCTGCCACCAGCACAGCCTCGGCAGGGAGCTCGGGAGGCGTTCCGCAAGCCCACGGTCATGGTCATCATGCGCTGCCACCGCCCTCGCAGTCGCCGCACTCATCGTCCTCGTCTTCCTCACATTCCTCGCTGGATCAGATTTCCCACAAGAACGTGACCGACTCGTTGCGGTGAGTGTAGACGATATTATAATATTATAAAGGGTATATAATTAATAAGTATATTATTATTTAAATTAGATTAGACAAGGCAGCCTAATACCTTCTAATGCCACTCTTTCAGTTCCCAGCTCAGCAATTCTTCAAAGATGAGCTGATAGCATTAAAAAAGAAAGAAAACTGCATCATTACTTTTCCTGTAAAAGCTTTAGGATTGGGTAAAATCAAAAAAGGAGGTCGTATGTAGACTTTTTTCCGCCACTGTAAAAGGATTTTTTGATATTCAATGTCGTTACAAAGTTATGTCACTAAGATGAAATGCTCTTCAGAGCAGTTTACTCTCTTGCAATGATTATTTCTTTTGAGATTTTCTTAAAACCTCGTTTTTCCCATTGGTCAACACGATTTCTTAAAACCGATTTATCATTATAGAATATTTTCAGCCTACATGTGGACTTATGATATTTTCAATAGGTCAAGTTTTTATACCCTTGGGTATTATAATTTCAGTCAGTAGTTTGCAACGCAGTGAAGGAGACTTTTCCGACCCTATAAAGTATATATATTCTTGATCAGCATCAAGTGCCAAGTCGATATAGCCTAGTCCCTCAGTTTTAAAGCTATCTGAATGAAATCGGACGACTATATCCTATAGCTGCCATACAAATGTTCGATAAATTTTTAGAAAAAAAATTATATCTTGGCTGTTTTTCAATATTTTTGCATCATTTTTGACACATAGCCATTTTATATTATTCCAGAATTTTGGTATACATTTTATGAAAATCGGTGGACTATATCTTATAGCTGCCATAGGAACGATCAGGAAATTAATAGATAAAAAAAATTTAACTTCGTTGTTTTTTAACGTATTTTTATCTACTTTGAGATATGGAGCTTTCTTTTATTATTTTAGAATTTTCGTATAAATTTCATAAAAATCTGACAACTATATCATATAGCTGCCATAGAAGCGATCGGTAGATGTAGAGAAAATGTAAAGCTGGGAATGTAAAACTGTAACAGTCAAACTGTAAACATAATAGGTATTAGTAAAATGTAGTGAAACTCTGTTTTGTGAGTGTTTTCAGTATTTAAATCTATATTATAAACATCAAAACCAATCTGCAAGGGTATAAAAACTTCGGCGTGCCGAAGTTAACTTCCTTTCTTGTTTCTATTAATATATCCATAATGGCTTGTCCTAATATTCCAATTGCTAACTGCAAGGGTATACAAACTTCGGGATGCCGAAGTTAGCTTCCTTTCTTGTTTTTAATTAAACTAATTAAATCAGCGAATAATCAATATTTTTGAGCGAAAAGTTAAAAATAAAAATCAAAAATAATGCTTAATTTTGATTTTATATTTATCCATTTTAATTTGCACCATAATTTTTTTTTTTTTTTTTTTTTTGTTTTGTTTAGCTCCAATCTGGATTCGATAGAGTCTAACAAAGATCTACTGGCGCTGCACAATGGAGCTTGGGCCACTGGCGATGCTAACCGCATTGATCACACGGCCGTGGGCCAGGACAAAATTGTGCGGATCTTTGCGGAGCTAATGCGGAACATGTCGCGGATGAAGACCTACATACGTCCCTCGATGTGCAAGCCCTATGGCAAGCAGAGCGAGAGTCTGCAGAAGAGTAAGTACCAGAGTAACCGGTTTCGATTGCCAGTGATTGTACATACAATGCTTCTCCATCCGTCCTCTGCAGCCCTCATGGACACCATTCAGATCGTGCAGACGCTGCGCAACTGCTTGCCCGCACCCCACATACCCGTCTCCTCGTGGAAGAGCGAGAGCGAGGGCAATGTGGGATCAGGAGTGGGAGTCGGCGTTGGAGTGGGAGTTGGTGTTCCACCAGGACTCAACCTGAGCGCTGCATTAGGTCTGCCGTCGGGCAGAGTGGACAATATGCACTAGGCTGCAATATCTCCTTGCAGATTCTTCCACAAGTTCGAAAACACTTGGTACTCACACACAGACAGACACACATATAGATGATAACAATGATAGCAGTTCACCCTCGTAGGCTTGGCTCCAGTTTTCCTTTTAGCAATTATGTATGTGCCACGCTCGACGCAAGAGCAAGACTTGATTTTCTTCACATTTGACTGACAATTAGGTATATGCATATGTATGTATTGGATCCTGCGGCTGGATCCGTCCGATTTAATTCTCGCTCACCACTCTGTGTTTCCCGATTCGGCATGCAACAAAATTAACAAGCAAAACGGCAAATTAGTTAAACAATTGGCAAAACGTCTGTGATATTTAAATTATGTTGGCAAACGGAAAGCAAAACTAAATTTAATTTATTATTTCGTGTGTGCCCTCTTACGATTACTTTGTGCAATATCTATCCACTAAGCATTTATATCTATTATTTAGCCTTTAGCCATTCTCGTGCAATCGACGACTTCTCGCCCATATCAAATCGAATATAGCCTATACATAAACTAACCTAACTAACTGATAATCGACATGATAGACGCATAAGATTTACATTATATTTTGCATTGGAGGACTCCTGAACGGGAAGTTTGATTGCAAATGGAACGGAAAACGAGTTGTGTTTAAATTTAAGAATCAGAAGAAGAAGGGTTGTATTCCTCCGCATGCAAAGGCTACTTAAATATATATATTTTATCCCGCCCGAGCTCACCATTAAAAGTAATTCGATTAACGACAAGCAAACAGTATTATACGCAATAATAAAAGACACTTACTTGCAAACCATAAGTATTTACCTAGATGAAGTGAGGGAATTTATCATAAAATACCATATTATCGCTTAATGTTTACCTTCCGGACTAATTACTAAATAAATATTTTATTCTACGAAAAATAATGGGTTTGCAAATGTGTGTTGGGATTAAAAATTTTGTTTGGGATTTTATTTTATACAAAAGTACGTCCTTTGCACACGAATCGTTGCCGTAGACACAAAACAAGTTGCTTGAAATAATAAAAATATTCTGGGTATTCCCTTGACGACTGAATGACTGAATTAAATAAAAGATGAAAAGCGATAGTAAACATAAACATAAATAAACATAAAAACAGCTGAAGATATCCACTAACTAATGCGATATCTCAGTCGTCAAGGGAATAACCTGATTATTAATTATCAATTTTTTATAGTAGGAAGTGAAATTACTTTTAAATACTTTTTTTTAGGGATTTTGAATGAAATGTGAATATTTTATTCTGCATCCCGAAAGGTTCTTTTGGATGTAGGAACGTTATCTTTATTTGTTTGCTTTTAAACAATAATTAATTATCATAAATTTAATTAATTTATTCGTTTGAAATAAAACAACAAAATAAAGCTCTGCAGTAGTGTAACTAGTCTTGGTTACATGGATGGACATGGACATGGTTAAATCATCAGGATGGAGATGTAAACTTAAATTTGATATGGCGAAGTTTCAAGGAAATATTTAAAATAGACATCACTTCAAGACCAACATCATAGCATTGATTTTACTGTCATGTAAAATCCCAATTAATCTCTTTCAAAATGCGCTTCATTAATGAAATCCGCTCGATGCTTTTCGTTTTCTACATGATGGAGGTGGTGGCCCACATGGTTTTGATGCGATTCAACATGACCGGATTCTATGTGGTTTACAAAAACTTTCTGCCGGTGCTCCAGGAGTTGCCTTACTTCGGCTACCTGGCGTGCTTCTATATCTTCGGGGTGGAAAATCTAATAGCCGGTGTGAATCTATGCACAAGTGTCCAACCTTCGATGTCCAAGGAAGTCCTGCGCTCGCTGATTAGCTGCTTCGTCTATGTGATCTCTTCGATGCTGATGCTATTTGACGCCGAATCGGACTTTAAATATATCAAACCCACTAAGAAGCCCAACGACCAGCTGCAGAAGCCCCTACACCCATACTTCAAGTACAATCATCTGCACTCCCAGGGAATGGCGTCGATGGTGTGCAGTGGGATTCATATGCTACACTTCCTAGTCGCCCTTTCGGTTCTGCGGTTCAGCGAGGACACGGGCACCGAATACGATTTGGGGAACGTTGTGCTGCATTTGCTTAAGTACTATCAGTGGATTTGGGACTACATCAACTCAGATCCCGAAGGTGCCACCAATTCCACCAATGCCCTTGGCTTCTCATCTCAGTAATAATAAGCTGATGTGTTCATTACAATCTCACAACAATCCCTTTGTACAATTTATCCATGACAAATACAACAAATTGTTTAAATACAATTAAATTATTTAATGTCTTAGGTATCCCCGGCCTAAGCTGAGTCTTTTAAAAATAAAATATAACGTTTTAAGCAGTTAAAAGGCTTCTGTAAAATATAGATTTTGCTTATTAGTTTTGAAATATTTAAAATTTTTATTGAAAGTTTGAGATCAAAACGAAAAGTAATTAATCCTAGTCCCACCAACGAAAGTTATTTATTTGTAATTATATAAAGCCATTCTCGTACGTTTTTATTTCAAGAGCGATCCTTGGTTAATCGAAGACATCCACAAGACCACATTTCATTCGCCTTGTAAATTTGAATATTGTAACATTTGAATTTATAAATAAATAATAGTTTAAATATTATTTTGCTTTTCAAGTTTATTCAAATTATTTACCTTAGATTATGATTCAAATTATGTAAGACGTATTTTAGAAATTATCTTTGAATAAATCTAAAAATAAGTCATAAAATTTGTAGAAATTAAAGAGATCTCTAGAAAAGACTTTAGAAGACGTAAAAATGATGTAAGATGTATTTTAGAAATCATCTATAAAAATAACTGAAGCTCCATTTACAAAAAAGTCATTTTATTAATTAAACAGATCTCTAGAAAATAATTTAGAAACCGTAAAAATCCGGATAACCGTTACTAAATCGAATTTAAAATATTTATTTTCCTGACAAAAGTAGTTAAAAGGAGACAGATTAAAAATATATATGTCCATATCAGAGAAAATACGTAGAACATGTTGAAAATTCGTTATAAAGACACTACTTATCTATTTTCCATTCTTAAAAACAACCTAATTTTAAAGAAAAATGAAAATTTAAACCGAATGATGGTGAATTACTATTATTTAATTATATTTACACGCCAAGAGGCAGAAAACAAACTTATTTTAAAATCTATATAAATAACTGAATAGAGTTTTAGTTATTAAACCTTAGTTTTTTATTAAATCTTTAAAAAAATTACAGTAGAATAAAGTAAAAAAAACCTTCGTTATTTTATGGATTTAATTTTTTCGCTTCGTTTAGTGGGGGTCACACTGGCAGCGACGAGAGCAAAACGAGTGCCAAGCGAAACGCCAGCGAGAGGCCACTCTTTGTTTTTATTGGAGTGGCGTTTTGGGATTTTCCCGTTCTCAATTCACGGTCACACAGTGCGCACCGAGCAGTGCGTTTTTCGTTGATAATTTTTAAATTTATTTATTAGTTTATTGGTTCAAAAGAGAGCTGCTCAACCTGTTTTTGACCCCGCCCGGGCACCCTCGGCCCACCGCCTCGCACGCGTACTATCGGATACCGATATCTGCTGACGGTAATTGGAGAACGTTTTTTCCATTTTATCTCCTCCTTTTCCTACTTCGTTTTGTGCCCTGCCTCCGCCCGCTGCCATAGTTCCAGCAGCTAGCCGTGTGTGTTGTGTGTGTCTGTGAAATCGCATAAAGATCGCATCGCGCGATGGCCCAAATGCAATAAGAATGTGTGTGCAATAATATAAAAGGAACGGAACGGAACACGGAAGGTTCGGTTCGGTTGGGTTGCTGCCCAAAACATGAAAATGGTGCTAGACGACGCCGTGCCGAGCTGGCATATTTTGGTGAGCGACGCCGTCGACGCGTTTTGTCCCGGCCGCGGACTGTGCGCGAGGAATTTACAACAAAAACAATGAAAATCGTATTTAAATTGCCTGAGACAGACACTGGAAATGCGAATTACAGTAAAATATCGAGGGCGCAATGTGCGAGGGATTTATACCCGAAATGTTTTTCTTTGAAGGCCCAGTCTAAATGACGTCACAAGCGTAACAAGTGCAACAGACAACAATGACCGATGAGCATAAAAGTAGCATTAACAGTAACAGCAACAGCACGAGCAACAACTCAAACTCCAACTCCAGCAGCAGCAGCAGCAACAACAACAACAACCACAATACCAACAACACTAGCAGCAACGCAAATAGCAGCAACAACAACGGCAACGAGAGCAACAAAAACTGCAGCATAATTGCAGAGGCGGCAGCAAAGTTTCTACTGAAAAATGGTCTGAACGGCAGCTTTCCCGTGCCACCGCCCCTGACGACCAGGACGCAGACGCTAACGACGACGACGCCGACGCCCTCATCCAGCTCCAGCTCCACCCCCTCAAATGGCTTTTTGCCGCATGCCAGCACGCCCACAGCCAAGACACCCAGAAGAAGCAGCAACAGTATGGCGGCCTCCGCTGCGGTGGCCGCGACAAGCGTTGGAGCTCTCGCCAAACCCAGCGTCGATGTCCTGGGCGGCGTTCTCGACTACAGTTCCTTAGGCGGTGCTGCAGCCGCCGCCGCTGCAGCCGCTGGTTCTCTGCCGTCCACAGGCTCGGCAGCGGTAGCGGGAACGGTAACAGTGACCGCGAAGAGCGGCAAGGGCAGCGGGATCAGCTCCAGCGCCAGCTCCAGTTCCAGCGGCTTTGATATGGGCAGGCATCCGATATCGACTCACAGCAACAGCAATAACAGCTGGGGCGGCTACGGCGGCCGTTTGCAGTTCTTCAAAGGCAAGTCTTAAGCTTTTTTCCACCCCCCCCCTAAATTTCCTCTGAATGATATAATTATTGTCAAATATTGTGCACCAATCAACAGATGGCAAGTTCATATTGGAACTGGCACGCTCCAAGGAGGGCGATAAAAGCGGCTGGGTCTCGGTCACGCGCAAAACCTTTCGCCCGCCATCGGCTGCCACCTCGGCCACTGTAACTCCGACGTCGGCGGTGACCACAACGTATCCAAAGAACGAGAATTCCACATCGCTGAGCTGTAAGTATATCCTGTCTCCTGAATAAACAGTTTTTAGGTGTCCCCTTGCCCGAACTTTAAAACCATTATTAAAGTGTACTCTATGGAATTCAAATATATTCCAGGAGTAAATTGGTTATTCCCTATTCTGAAAGACTTTCAATATATCCCCACTTCCCATTACAGTTTCGGATGACAATAGCTCGATACAATCCTCGCCCTGGCAGCGGGACCAGCCCTGGAAACAGTCCAGACCGCGACGCGGCATCTCAACGGAGCTGTCGCTGTACTATCATCGCCCCAGAAATAGTGCGCTGGCCACGGCTGCGCTCCGAACAGCCTCTCGCAGGCGGCGGCGACCCCATGAGCCACTGTCTACCAGCGAGGAGCAACAGCCCATCTTCGAGGCATCCGTCAAGGTGGAAAATGGCGACGAGACGCTGAAAGCGGAAGCTGTATCAGAGACAGAGACAGTTGAAGGTGGCACCACACCGGAAGCCTTAGCAAATGAGATTACAAATGACCAAGCAGAAGCGATCAAAGACAAGGAAGATGCTCCAGGGCCCAAAAAGGAAGCCAAGGTGGAGGGAAGCAATGAGAACGAGTCAGGAGAAGCGGTGCCCACTCCAAAGGTTGAGGCACAACCAAAAGACGAGACTGTGGAGAAGATGAACACCAGCGAGGATGAGGAAGTCACGCCAGCGCATCCGGCATTGGTCAGTTCGAGTGCCGTGAATGGTGGTGGCAGCGGTGACCTGAACGGCAACATGAAGGCGGTTCTCGGGAAAACAAAACCGAAACCTCGGCCCAGGCTTAGCAACATCATCCAAAAACTAATTGATGGCGTGCCAGCACGCCTTGTTCAAATGTCCAAGACACCGGCAGCAGCGGTAGCCACAGCGACAGCAGAGCGGGGCAGTGTCGGAACCATCGGCAGTTTAAGTCACTCGTTGACGCACAAGGTGAGATCCTCGAAAGCCAGAGTTCTTCTACCATTACTGACCATTACATCTACCATTTTCCTAGGTCTCTCCCCCCTCGTCGGCATCGCCAGCCAGTCGTCTAGTCGAGTACCACCACCAGCACGTGTCGCCCCGGAAACGCATTCTTCGCGAGTTCGAGAAGGTGTCGCTGGAGGACAACGGCTGCGTAAATAACGGCAGCGGGGGGGCAAGCACCGGCAGCGGAGCGGGTGGCAAGAGAAGCCGAGCAAAATCATCGACATCATCAACGACTGGCAAGGCGGCGCCTATGAATCTGGCCCCGCCCCAAGGTAAGCCCAGTCCCAGCCCCGGTTCCAGCGCCGCCAGTACATCGCCAGCCGCTGCATCCGCACCACCAACTCGACTTAACAGCTCCTACAGCATCCACTCGCTGTTGGGCGGGAGCAGTGGCAGCAGTAGCTCCTCCTCCTCCTCGTCTGCTAAGAAGAGCGCCGACCACCCGGCCGCCATCATCAGTAATGTGCATCACCCGCACCACAGCCTGTACCAGCACAGCTCCTCGAGCTATCCACGCGCCCTGCTGAGCTCTCCGAAGTCACCGGATGTGAGCGGCAGCAATGGAGGTGGCGGGGGAAAGTCCCCCTCCCATGCTGGAGCCAAGAAGCGTTCGCCACCGTACACTGCGGGGTCACCATTGCCCGTGGACTATGGTCACTCCTTCTACAGAGATCCTTATGCGGGAGCTGGAGCGGGAACAGGGCGTCCTTCCACAACGAGTTCGGCATCGCAAGATCTATCGCCGCCTCGATCCTCACCAGCTTCGCCTGCCACCACGCCGCGTACAGTGCCCAAGAAGACTGCTTCGATTCGTCGGGAGTTTGCCTCGCCTTCTGCCAGCAGCAGCAGTTGTCCCTCGCCCGGTGACCGAAGTGCCTCGCCACCGGACCGAAGGCATATGCAGCAACAGCAGTCGCACCTGCAGCGCAGCTCACCACTCCACTACTACATGTATCCGCCGCCGCCTCAAATGAACGGAAACGGTTCGGGTGGCAGTCCGACCTCGGCACCCGGAACGTCGGGAAGCGCAGCTGCAGCGGCAGCGGCGGCAGCAGCAGCGGCCGCAGCCGCCTACATTCCCTCGTCGTTGTACCACCCGTACATATCCACGCTGGCGGCCCTGCGGCATCCTCTTTGGGTGCACCACTATCAGGCAGGAGCGGCACCTCTGCTGTCTCCACATCCGCAGGCCGGCAGCTCGGCGGCCACTGCTGCTGCTGCTGCTGCGAGACTGTCGCCACCGTCGCCGTATCACACATTTCCCTACAACGGAGCGGCCGCTGTGGCGGCAGCTGCAGCTGCTGCCGCCGCCTTTGGGCAGCCCGCTTCCAGTCCTCACACCCATCCGCACCTGGCCCATCATCCCCACCAGCATCCGCACCCGGCTGCACTGACCACCACCACCCACCATTCGCCCGCTCACATGGCCACGCCAAAACTGACTGATAGTAGTACCGACCAAATGTCTGCAGCGTCCAGTCATCGCACCGCCTCCACTTCGCCGACCAGCTCGAGCGCTTCCGCCTCCTCCTTGGCGGCCGCTCCTGGCGCCAGCTCCTCCGCAATGTTTCATACTAGTAGCCTAAGGAATGAACAAAGTTCAGGTGAGCAACACATCAGATATTATTGTCGCAGAATCAGAGCGTAAAAGGTAAAACAAGATATATAATAGTTTCTTCGGTTCTCTATTAAAGTAAACTTTCGAAGGAAGACAGTGCTTAATAATGTATTTGGTTTGTACTTTATGTACTGTACCTGTAAAGTAAATAAGAAGAGCATACATATTTGGTTTTCTCTCTACTCTTTGCATAATGAAAAATAGCGTTTACTCGAATTAGCATTCGAATATTTCCAAATTTGTTTTGGAGTATGCTAAATTCTTTCAAATATTATCAATTGGAGTACTTTTTAATGTAACTATTTGAAAGAATCATTCTAGAGAACTTTAACTCTTGGCCGAGGTTGTTCCTTCTGGAGAGTTACCCCTATTCGAATCATCTCTAGTTTGATTTAAATATAGAGTTTTTAAATGGTTATGATATTTCTTTCTATATAAAAACTATTAAAACTTTGCAGTAACGTTTGGGATTTGTTATAGCTAGATATTGTGTGAATTGGTTTTATGATAGGGTATTCCTTATTAGCACTCTATAATCAAATATAAACAAAAACCCTTTATATAATTTGGATTTCTTCCTTCTTTCTCCAGACTTACCACTGAATCTGTCAAAGCACTGAGACATACACACGCCCCAGCTGCCCCAGTTTCTGGGCCAACCATTGAGTTAAGTACATTATCGCACTAGTAGCGCTTAAGATGACATTCAACTACACGTAACATTATCTCATAAGTTCGCTGCTAGTTTAGTTTTAACCTAATTGTTTTAGCCCTAATCCTTATCCTAGATTCTCGACTAAGACCCAAAATTAAAACTACAAAAAGAGAAGGAAACTACGAGAAAGAAACTCAACCAAGTTTTTTTTTAGCCGTTCCAATACGTTTCTATAAAATCAGCTACAAAAACAATGGAATTTTGACTAACATATTTAATATGCAAAGGAACTTTATTCTATGCCAACTAATGAAAAAAAAACTATTTACAGCATTTTTCTGTAGGATGTATAAAATGCAAGTCTTGAAGAATCTCAAAAAGAGTTACGTTTTTTTCATCAAAACATTTCCTTGAAACAGACTGAACCTGAATTTTTTTAGAAAAAAAAAAAACAAGAAACCCTAAGTTATAGATCGCAGCATCTAACTTTTTAAAGTGTATTTAAAAAAATAAACTACATGAACAGATTTTTATAAAAAGCTCGTGCCTTTAAAGATTACAAGAAAACTAGGGATACAAAAGAATAAATTAACAACAAATTTGCTGTAACAGATCGATAGATACGGAAACATTAACAGATATTCTAAACATTTAGATCCAATAAGGCAAAATCGCCAGCAATGTGTATTGAGTAGATTATATACAGATTCCGTATCCTATTTTTCACTTTTCACAAGACATTTTCGAATACTTTTTGGAACATGAAAAACTCCGAGTTTATTCAAAGAATGTGTTCAAGATGAATAGACTCTTAGTAGAGAATTTTGATGAGTTGCATGCTATTTGTTTTTGAAATTCATTGACTAGCTCTATGCCAAGTAAATAAAAATAAATATACATATTTTGTTTCAAAAAATCATTTGTGAAGTTGAAGTTTAAATCGTTAACCGATCTAAAGTTAACCTTCACAACTTTCTACGGAATGTATAACTTTACTTAATACACATTCACTGTCCGTGCTGACGCCCAATCAAAAACAATTGAAAATGTACAAAAATAAACATATTTACACAAAACAACGGGAATGTAAGAAAAATCCTAAAACAGACAAATTCAAACCGGAATTCGTACAACTGAAACTGATACAAATAAAACGAAAACGAAAACATATTCCTAAACGCAAAAAGACAAAAACAAAACGCGGTTTCTCATATTTTCTAAATTATTTATATAAAAATCAAATGACTATTTATATTTACTAGTATGTTAATGTGTAAGAAAATAGTTGTAATTGTAAATACAGTATTTTTACACAACAACAACAACAGCAAAGTAAACCGATACACGAAAAAACAATATATTTAATATAAATATTTTTATAAAGGATTTTAACAATATACTGTATATTTTACAGACTAAAAACTAAAGGATTCCATAAGAGGTCGATAAGGGTTTGCACAATTACGCCGTTAAAAGCAGCGTATGGCTTGCTTAAAATCCTAGCGGCTTTTAATTTCGGAAATAAAATTGTTAAGTAACTTTCGGTTACTGATTTAAATCGATCCGAAAAGCTGGTAGAATTTTGAGCAAGCGTAAAAAACATAACCCAAACGAATAAAATGAAAAATTTCCATGAAAATTCCATATACGGTCTTTACTACCTACTGATTAGTTAGCTAGGCGCCTAGGGACTATTATTTTATTTTTACTTGTATAACGGTACTGTGTACGACGTTTTTGTTTTATTGAATCGTAGTGTTTATAATTGAAATATCGGACGTCTTTCGAGAGTTGCTATGTTAAACACATGTACCATGTGCATTGTCCAACAATGTGTGGCAAAACCCGAAAAAAAATGTTGGCAACAAGTGAAATATATATAAAGTAATCGAGAGGGTTTCAAATATATGGAGTAATGCTGCATCTTTTGATGCTGAAATTCGTGTAAAGTAGCGGAAACAAAATTAATTTTAAAGAACTATATTTTATATAGGTATATATATATATACTGAAACTGAATACTTGATGTCAATAAAAAACTTACACTAAATGTATGACAACTAACTTTTCAATGTTTTTACTTTGTTTTAAATGGAAAATTTTGGAAGTGATTTTTTTTGTTTTTTAATGCGAAATGTGGGAATCTATAATCCTGTACCTGAAGTGGTATGTTAAGGGCATATATAAACTTGTTTAACCCCAGAAAAAGTAAGTAATATCTAGAGGAATGTATGAGAGCTCAGTGGCTACCAGGGAGGGGATTAGAGAACGAATTCACTATACGAACTATATAGTCTACTGATGAAATCGATCCAAAGCCACTGTTAGAAAGGGTTGCGTCTTAAGAAAACTTCGATGAAATAATCGGTGTTTGCAAATGGCAACGGCTCGCTAAAAGACTTGAAACAGATCCTGGCGGCAGACTGAAAGGACTATAATGACAGCCCAAACTGATCATAAGAGTCAGTACTACTACGAGTAATTATTTCACAAAACTACCAAGACTTCTTAGAATTGTATCGTAAATAAAATGTACTTAAAAACCCTTACTTTATTAAGTTAAAATAAAAGAACGCTTTTAAATTATTTTAACGTTTACCTAACAAGCCGATGTTTCTATACCCTTGCAGTTTTCAAGTGGATTATTCGATCGAATTGAATTGTATTAATTTCAATTTGGAAAGTTTTGTTTTAATTGGGTTAAAAAAGGAGTTTAAGCTCAAATTTTTTTTGTTGCAAAATTTTGATTATTGTTTTAATTTTAATGATGATGTAAATTTGTGTTAAAATTTATTCAATATTTTATTTTTAATAATTTAAGATATTTATTGTGATTTGATTTGAAACATATATGACTTTTGTCAATCACTTGCTTTTCAGATGCTGCAAAGATTAGATAATAAACAAGAAAGGAAGCTGACTTCGCCACCCCGAAGTTTATATACCCTTGCAGTTTGCAATGAATACAGTTGTCCGATTTTCAAAAAACTTATACCAAAATTCTGAAATAATAAAAGTTATAATTTTTTTCTATTAATTTCCCGATTGTTCCTATGACAGCTATAAGATATAGTCCTCCGAAGTTCATAATTTAGTTCATGATTTAGTACTCCTATCCGGCCCGTTCCAACATATATAGAAATGAGAGTATTCAGAGGACTATATGAAAAGTTTAATTCGAAAAGTTTTAACACTGAGAGACTAGTTTGCGCAGAACCGGACAGACGGACATGGCTAGATCGACTCGGCTGTTGATGCTGATCAATAATATATACTCTATCCGTCTCCTTCACTGCGTTGCAAACTTCTGACTGAAATTATAACACCCTGCAAGGGAATAAATATGCGCATTTTATTAGGGAATCCTTTTTATACTTTTGGTGAAATGAGAATCAACCTTGCAAGCTTTGTTTTTTATTTAAACTTTTGCGTGAATCTTGGGCTCACTTTTATGTAGGAACTCCATTTCGGGTTTCGTACACTTTTTGAACTGTAAATTGAAAAGAAAAATACGGCAATTGTAATCGTAGCAGCACATTGTGTCTATATTTTTTCATGTTTCGAATAAATTGTATACATTCGTTCGTTTATGAATTTAAATAGTTTCATTTAATTGCAATTATCCAGCGATTTACACATTACGTTACAAATATTAAATAACATTATAAAACGAAACCGGATAACACAAAAATGTTGATGGTGGCGACAGAAGCAGACACAAAAAATATGTATTAGACAATTAATTGTAATATAGGGATAGAAAATCGTTAATTTTAAACTTATAGAGTTAATGTCTCTTAAATTAATATAGCATAATAGGATACAATTTGTTGCATGCACGTGCATGCGCGAGTGTGAAACGGCAAATGAATAACTAGACATCAAAACAATTCCGGGATCCAGGGGTCGTTAATGATTCGAATTACAAGAATAGGAGAACACTTAAGTGTACAAGGTGGACAGTAAATTATATTGGAGCACTTATGGGAGCGACATTATCAGCTATGGGTTGGGGGTCGTCTGTGTATGTGGGGGGGTAGTGGGAGTGGGAGGGGGATTGTGTATATTTCGGCCTAACATAGTGAACACATAGTTTTGAACTTTATGAATTAGATGCGAAATTGTACTACGCCAGCTGCGGGGGCACAGAGAGGCAGGCGGCATGCAGAAAAAAAAGGTTGATCCATTTAGTTGAGTTGCGAGATATTTGGACTTTGAAACGATGACGATTCATGATGCCGGCGTGTGTTTACTAGATGTTTACTGCTTATTGTTTTTGGAGAAATTGTGCGAGGCCCAGTTGAGGGATGTCTTCCAGGAGTTGGCCAAAGCTTCGCTGAATTTCGCCCGGAAATGTTCGCGTGCTTTCTCCTCCGTATAGTCTAGTACCTGAAACGAAAAGGAATTAAGTTGGGAGCCAAAATTCTGAAATACAGAGGCCAAAGGACATACTAAAGTCTCACGAAGGTAGTTTAAGTCCTTTTCGGAAGACAGTTCTGGCAGTCCCGTTGAAATCATCATTGAAAACAGCGATAAAATAAGGCAGCCGTGTTTCCGTAAAACTAAAAAGGCCTGCAAAATACATTGTATTACATAGAGAATGTCTACCATCTCTTTTTCGATTTGATTCGACTTACGCGCTCGCACAATTCCTGGAAGCGACGAAACTCGTCCGACTCCCGGTCCTTGTCTTTGTCCTTGCAGCCCTTGTTGATTACGTAGACGAAGTCATGCGTTAACACGAAGGGCACTCGCTCCCGTCGTACGCCAAACTTCTCCTTAAAGTGGCCCAGAATGTGGCCAAAATCAATGTGAAAGAGCTGAGAATAACGAAAATACAGAATGTTAAATGGTTTGGCTTCTAAAAGATTCCCCCTTGGCACCCACCTGTCCGTTCTTTTTCACCATTATATTGTCTGAATGACGATCTGCCACGCCCAGCACGTAGGTGGCCACACAGTAGCCGGCACAGCTGAGCGTGAACTCGTTGATGGCTTGGTTCAGCTTGTCGGGGAGCTTGTTGTGCTCCTTAAGCCAACTGAAGAGGGAGCCCTTCTTGAACGGCGACGTGGCCGAGAACATGCCCTTCTCCTTTTGTATGTTTGCAATGGTCTCTGCGTGCCGCACCACCTCGATCATGCCGAGCCTTTGCTCCATGCTGATGCAGTTGTAGATGTTCATCCGGAAGTCCATTCTGTGGGGAGAGGAGCAAATTTCAGAGTAATCCTGTTCTGAAGGCCTTTGGTATCGCAATGTCTTACCCATCGCGCTTCCACAGCTGATCCATCACCCTCAGCATCTGCAGGGTGAGCATGTCCTGGCGCAAATCGTCGCCATTCTTGAAAATGATGTGTACAGCGTCGGAGTTGAGGTCCGCGTTCTCAAAAGCCACCCACAGTGGCTTCATTTTGCTATCCATCACCTTGCACTTGTCCGGCGAGACGCCGTTGCAGCGGAAGCTGGGATTGAGCGGGTTCTGGATGTTCTGGAAGACGCCTTCGTTGCGCTGGTCGCGCAGGAAGTTTTGCAGCAAACTCTTGACCTTCTCCTTGCTGCCGTGTTTCACTATGACGGAGCCCTGCTTCAGCTTCTCCAGCATGTGCAGCTGCTTGCGAAGCGGCGCCACGTGATGCTTGCAGCCTTTGAGGTAGACCTCCAGCAGGAGACCGAATCGCATCTGTATGGACGGCGTCTGCATCTCGGAGCGCAGATGCCAGAAGAAGTAGTGCCCAATGCGCTGATTGCGCATCGCTCGCTCTAGCAGGAACACCACCAGATCACTGGCTAAATATGATTCGTGCTTGATTGCCTGGACCAGTTGAAGTAGGTACAGCAGAAGGTCCTCGTCCCTGATGGGTAAACAATTTAAAAATGACTCGATAATTTTCGAGACGGAATGCAAGACTCCTGCGGCTAATTTGCACCACGGTTTCACTACGCAATAAATCGTTAAAGCTCAGCAATTTAGATATATTTCTTACGTGAGAGAGTGCAGACATCTGATGGCAAATCTTCGTACGGCTGGGTCCGGATAGGCGTAATCCAGCAGCTCCAGCGAGCGTTCAACGGAGATTAGCTCCCACTTGCTGAGCAGGAACCATATGTCGGCCACATCGTCACGCTCTTTCCAGTAAACGCAGTGCAGAAGGATGGACAGCTCCTCGGGCAATTCGCGTTGAATTATGTCCCTAAAAATAAAAAGAGATATAATTTTAGTTATTCAAGTTATTTCTAGTGAACTCCCTCCCCACAGCCTTACCTGCGTTCCCAGATGGCATTTCGATCCTGGTCGACCATCTCGTAGATCTTATCCAGACCCGTGTAGTTGGCTATCAGATCCCTGAGATACTTCTCTGGCTCCGCCCTGTGCTGCTGTTTCTCTTGTCTTCTGGCAAGGGCGCGCTCTTCGGCATATTGAAGCACAGTTTCCTCGGTGGGGTAGCGCACGGTCCCGCTTCCGCTGCTCTGGAATGTGATGTCCACCAGGGCGCACTCCTCTTTCAGCGGATTTGGTTCGACGGTGCCCAGTGGGTGGAAGACCTCATCCGACTGGATATCGTCCGCATACGTCCACGTGTAGAGAGTCTGACGCCCGGTGCGCAGGTTGTCCTTGTAGTCGAACAGCGTGGTGTTGACCCAAGCCAATGGGTTCTTGTTGTAGGAGACGTCTTTCAGTGCAATGTCCTTGTTGTTGGACGACTTCTTTGATCGCGACATTTTGGTCACCTCGAATATCACGATGCACAGTCGCGTCATCCGCGGCAGGTTACGCATCTGTATGTCGAAGTCCATCACGAGGTCGTTGAACAGAAACGTATCGAAGTTGCCATTGGGCGAGTCCGTCGATCGCTGGGCGCAGAGCATCCGTTCCCCGTGAAAGAGGCCCACGTGCACGCCCACCTTGAAGGCGCGCGCCCTGTCGTAGTTCACGTTGGAGATGCTGTGCAAAGTCAGCTGAAAGTAGTTGCCCATGTCCCACAGAGAAATGGGCGGCCGGGAGGGCGGAACAGACTGCTTCCGCGGCGGCCTCTTCTGCACCATGTTCTGCACATTGTGGTGATTTATGTACGACTCCAGGCGGTACACCGACTGCAGCACCACATTGGGCACCGCCGAGTCCGAGAGCATTTCCTGGATGTACAGGAACTGGATCAGCGGGTAGTTGCCGAGCAGGTACTCGTCGCGCCCGCTCACCTTGAGTATGTAGTCGGCGACCCGGTCGTTCATCTTGATCTGCGAGCGATTCATCTTCTGCAGGGTGCTCTCGGTCAGCGAGAAGGGCGTATCGTGTTCACTCACGGACAGCGTGAAGGTGCTCTGGTCATTCTCGTTCTTCACCACGATGAGGAACGCTCGGGTCGGATGCCGTTCGCGTATCAGGTCGGGCATCTTCCCCGAGTTGGCCAGTCGCAGCGGATGCTCATAGAGCAGGCGGTCCTGCCAGGTGTATTTGCCGCGCTTTGTCTCTATGTTGTCGCAGATTTGCGACATGTTCAGCCGGAAGTCGTCGATCTCGGGCGTTACCTGGGTCCGATGGTGATCAAAGGACTTGCCAATCATTCCGCTAACCATCTTGGTCAGCTCGTAGTCGCTGGAGAAGCTGTTGGCATCGGTGCGGTCGCCCAGGCTGAGCAGTCCAAAATACGGCTGGACCTCGCACAGGCGCTTCGTCTCGTCCGTGTACGGCTCGATGTTGAATGTCGATATGCCGTACACTTGGTAGTCGCAGGCGTCCTTGATCATGTAGCACGGTTCGCTCTGCTTGGCCAGCTCGACCATGTTCACCTTCACATCTCGGATTGTGGTCGTCGAGGGGGCCTTAAGCATCCTGAGATGCCCATTGGGCAGCAGGCAGATGAGGTCCACATGTTCGGGCGGATCGTTTTTCCACAGATTGACGGAGAAACGTATGCAGAACTCCTCAGTGTCGTCGTCCAACGGCGGCTTGACGCACTGGTTATGGTGCTGCGGGTGCAGCACATACGCCGGTATCTCCATCATCTTGACGGCGGCGACTTGGCTCAAGGCTCTGGGGGAGCCGGGTTCCTATAAACTACTACTTCGTCGTCGTCACGTTCACGTTCACTCTCCGCTCTTGAGGCTAATCCGGTACCACTGTCCGGCTTTGCATGCAGTTGTTAGTTTGGTTCTCGCTCTTCTCGTTATCAACAGCCTGGACTTTCTGTTGTTCTCAAAGTTTTCCATTTAAATCAGCGCCGCAGTCTCATGTTAGTCATGCCGATCTCTGTGAATAATAAATCGGAAGGTGGCGCCGGCCCGGGTTACTCGAAAGCAAATATACGGCGATTGCCGATCGGCTGTTTGGTGTTCAATTACGGAAATGATGATAATCACCCACCAGCCCCCAGATAAGACTGCGATAGCCGCCCAGCGCTTAGCTCTCAGAAGTTATCTACCTTGATTTACCTGGGGATCTCTTTTACCAGAGGATTGTGTTCCCAATAGCTATCTAAATACATCTTAGCTTCCTGTTAAAAGCCAAAAACGTCTTTATATTTAGTATGAATCACACAGCAATAAGTTAGGGGGAGGGGTCAACTTAAAAACAAAAACAAGAATTCAGACGGACCTAGTTGGGCGACCTTGTAATACCCTAACTTTCACTGCCATGGGCTTAGCCAGCGGATGGAACTGGAACTGGACGGTCTTAGGTGGTAGAATGCGAGTCATATATTTCCGAAATAATCGAAAGCAGTGTGCTCTGCAGGCACAGTTCATGGGCGGAGGTGCAAATTCCACCAACAAACAGGTTGAGTTCAGTTCGCGGAAAGGGTATACAAAAGTTACGAGGCATCATCTCCAAGTCGAAATGGCCCCAAATGGAAAGTGCACTCGCCGCCACCGCCACTGAAGACAAACATGCGCCTGCAGAGGACCGAGCATCCCCCAGAACCACTTCACCGCACTAGTATCCACTAACTTTCCGCCGCGTCCCATTTGTTTTTGTTTTGCCATCTCCATTTTGGCCATTCTTCGTCTTTATCACTTTTTCTGGGTGTGAGCTTCGCAGAGGTGCCGCCGCCGCTGCTTACTTGACTTTCCGCATCGGCATCCATTGGTGGCCATGATAGGCCATATGTGCTGCACTTTTTTTCACAAACGCACCTTACGATCGGAGCACATTGAAGTTTGATTAAAGAATATTTAATTGCTTTTATTTGGATTGTTGTGCAGTGTGACCGCGACTCGCCTGCTAAAAAATACCATACGTGTACTCGAAAATGCCATATAACGTATATTTGTACCACAAGATCGTAGTTTCAATTAAAGGCTTCTTATTATTAATAATAATTATTTTAAAAAATTAAGCTTCCCAACTGTGTTTTCCTTCTCTTTAGTCTGGAATTTAGGTAAAGACGATTCGTAAACAAACGCATCTGTAAAGCAACAGTCTGAATCAATGTGACCGTTTTGTGAAAACTTTAAGATATCACTTGGTTTTCCGTTTTCTGTGGTATTTTATTTTACAATGTAAAACTCCTGACAGATTATTGTTTGTTGTGAATAAGTAATTGCAAATGTTTTGTGGCCCAACAAGATGATGCAGTTTGAATTGGAGCCTGAAATTAATATCGTAGAATACGGTCAGCAACAGCAGTCTTCGGAAACTGCAGATGAAACTGCCACACAAGGTATATATTTAATGGACAAATTTTTCTTGTAAACCAATTTTAAATGTATATTTTTTTTAGATTGTAATCAGCTGTCTCCGGGAACTTCTGGCACACAAGGTATACATTTAAGGTATTTCCCTTGTAAACCAACTTTAAATGTGTTCTTTCCAAAGCTTTAGACCAGCAGCCGCAGACATCAGAGGAGCGCATAATTGCCGTCATTCGAGGTACTTTCTTCATTAACAAAAATATAGCCATGGTTTAACGAGCCTTTTACATTTTTCAGAAGAGAATAAATCGCTGCGCCGAGAGATAGACACTCTAAATGAGAGAGTAACATGGCTCACCGAAGCAGTTGTCGGGCTGAAGGAGTTATTGTCGAAAGGAAACCAGACCCAAGACTTTGAGCGCAGCGATTTAAACTTTCCACTAAGGACTGAATTTGATCTTTCATTTATAGACAAGGAGATTGGGGAGACACACACTTTCAAAAATGAATGCGTAAGTCAATGCATCAACTTTAATAACGTAATAAAGATCTATCATTCCGTGATTCTCAGATAAGTGAAATGCAGCGTCTATTCAGCTATAAGTCGCTGTCCAAGACATTGTCAAATGTAATGGCTGAAGAACTAATTCTAGACTATAACATTGATGGTGTAAGCAGAAAAAAGGGTCTGCGTAACTACGGGTTCTTCTTCACTGCTCTTATAGGTATAGTATCTACAAAAATACTCTATTAAACACTTAATAACCATAAAATCATATTTCAGAGGCAATTCGACTTACGGACAGTTCCCAGTCACCGATAAAGGCACTTCAAAAAGCAATGCACTGCATTAAGAATAATGCTTGCAAAAAGAAATCGAGACTTGATGAGTCCAAAAGTAAAAAGAAAAAGATCACTGAACAGTGAATGAAACTAATATCTTTAAAGTAGTTATTATATAGGTGTAAAAATATGAATAATCACATGATTGCACTCAATTTATATTTGAGTTCCGATATATTTACTTGACCAACCCTCTCGAGTTTTCTGCCCTTTTTAAAGTGATAAGTAGAGCTACGAAAGAATATTAAATCAACAAGAATATAAAGTCAAACGTGTTGTGTTTATATTGAGCTGGATTCTAACAATAAGAATGCACGCATGACAAAGTCACTGATGATTCATCTAGCAGGTTATGTGATTCAGCGGTTGCTGGTGAGGGGGGACTAAATCAGGTGGACTAAAGAATATTCCATCAATTTATTTAATCTATTTTATATTTGCTTAATAATTTGTCCCACTGGTAAGAGCAAGAGGGAGATAACTAATAATATTAAGAATAATAATACAAGTAATTGTTGTTACTGTTAATTTAATTTATAAATGAACCCATTAATTCGTTGTTTTTGAATTTTTTTAAGCGGAAACGGAAGGTCTGGCAACTTTGGTCGCTCAAGTGCTGCCACTGGTATACAAAACACAGGGTGTTCCTCAAGAACTGGTATTGTAAACTTAAACGGATTTGGTCTTACTAAGAAAAAATGTAAACAAAGTGAAAATTTCGCAAAATGTTAAAACAATAATTGCGTCGAAAATAAGGGTTATGTATTTTTAGCCCATTAAAGTAAAGAGGAAAAGATAATGAACAATGAGCGATTCGGATGAAGGTAGGATACATAAATATGTGCAAAAAGGCTTGCATATTTATTCTGCAAAGCTGGTAGTATTTAGCCTAAAGGCTTTCGAAATGTGCTAAAATATATTTAATGTTTAACTTGGCTACATGCTGGATGCCAAACGAGCTCGAACATGCGGATTAATGGTAGTTCAAGTGGCGCAATTACACTCCTACAAAATTGTTATTGGTTTTTCAACAACCCGTGTACACACAGGGTGACTACTGTGCTGTGGGCGCTGCAAAAGTGGGCGCGCAAAACTGTTTATTTGAATTGCCACCGCCCACATAGAAGCAACTGGTGTGCTGCAACCACTCTGGGCCATTCGACACCCACACGAAGGCAAACACGGCATAAACAAGCGCCACATACCCGATCCAATGCCAGTCCTTGACCACGTGCAACAGTTGCGCCATACCTCGTTAGTTGCGTCTTGCGCAGTGCGTCAAAATACGGCTTGGATCAATGACCAGAAAAAACGTGGCCCGGGCAACGCATCAATGAATGCCCATCGATTATTCCCAGCGCCGCGCCTCGGTTCAGTTCAGTTCAGTTTTTACCAGCGCCGCGGTCGGTTCTCTTCTCCGCTCCCAATGCCATAAGCTGTCAATTGGGTTCTCGGGGTTTTGGCTCGGCCGCTAGGAGCTGGGTTACATAATTATGTCTTGGAAGTTCAGCATGGAACAGCCCAAGCCTGGCACCGAAACTGCCCTAGAGGCCTGCGACTATTTCGTGGATGAGGTCATTGAGGTGTCCTCGGTCCGGGGTGGGAAATTGAAACCGCTACACCGTCCAGGACATATGTTTGATGAATGCTACTGCTATCATTTTTCAGACGCGCGGGAGGAGGTGCGCCAGATCAAGCACGGAGAGCTGCGAGCTGCGGTAAGTGCCGGAGATGAGCGTACGGTTCGCGTTCTCTTGGCGGCCCTGGGAACGGAACGGCAGATAATTGTCAATATGGCGCCGTCGGGAGCCAACACCCTGCTCTTCATGTGAGTAACTATACACAGCGTGTGCTTCAGCGAGGTACTATCCTTAAATTATCTTCAGATCCTGCCAGTCTGGCTACGAGAGCATTACTCAGCGACTGTTGGACGCCGGGGCCGATGGCCGCTCGCACGCTGTCACCAAATACTCCCCGTTGTACGCCGCCGTTCATAGCGGTCACTTGGGGATCGCCCGGCTGATGCTGGACCGCTTCCCGGAACTGATCCAGCAACCGACTGTGGAGCGCTGGCTGCCGCTGCATGCGGCCTGCATCAACGGACACATCAAGCTGCTGGAGCTTCTCATTGGCTACAGCTATCCGGACTACCTCTACCAGACATATCGCGACGAGGAGGGGTTGTGGGAGTGGAGGCTACCCTTCGACGCCAACGCCCACGATGTGACCGGTCAGACTAGTCTGTATATAGCCAGCATCCTGGGCAACAGGCAGCTGGTCGGGGTTTTGCTCAAGTGGCAGCTCCACTGCCGACGCACCCTGGGAGACTCGAATGCCGCCAGTTCGGTGAGCACTCCCATCACGCCCACCAGGAAACGCATTTCGTTTGGCATCCAGGCCATCATGTCCAAGCTGCATATATCCGGCGAATCGGATGGCCCCGAGGAGCAGGCTACCCCAGACTCCTCGGAATGCCAGCGGTGTCCGGTCAACGTCAATCTGCTGTGCGGAGCGGCGAGGGAGACGGCTCTGCTGGCCGCGGTTCGTGGCGGCCACCTGGACGTCGTGCAAGCTCTGCTGCAGCACGGAGCAAACCCGAATATTGTCGCCAAGCCAGTGGAGGATCACAACGACCCGAAGTGCTGCGAGGAAATCTACGGGCTAAGTAATGTCCCGATTGCAGAGGCCTGCAAGCAGAGGTCGTTGGCCATGCTGGACCTCTTGCTGAAGCATGGAGCCCGCGATGACAACGGTTCGGCCATCGGAATGGCCATTTCTGGCGGGGATGAGGCCATCCTTAGCCGTCTTTTGGCCCGACGCGTCCACCCGGACTCCGACTACAAGATCAACAAGAAGGGACTGCCCACTCCGGTGGAGGTGAACGTGTTCCTGCCGTCCACCAGCAACATATCGTACAGCGCCATGTTCCCCAATGTGCCGACCATCATTGACTGGCACAGCCTGGGCTCCAGTGTCCAGCTGTCCGTAGTCAGGGTTCCCTGGCTAGTTAGTGGAGTCCTGCTGCTGAATCCCAAGCTACAGTCGCATCCGAGGCTGACCGAGGTCTCGCTGACCGCCATCACTCGCATCGACTTCTCGCACAATGTGCTCATAGCAATTCCGCCGGAGTTGTTTCACCTGGTTAGTCTCAAGTATCTGAATGTGGCCCAGAATAGGATTACAGAGCTGCCGGCCCCCATGCAAGGCGCCAAGGAATACGCCTGCCCCGTGCTGGACGAGCTTTTTCTGCAGGATAACCAGTTGACCCTGCTGCCGGCGGCCGTCTTTCACCTGCCCGCACTCACCATTCTCGATGTATCGAATAATAAGCTGCAGCAGCTCCCCTTTGACCTGTGGCGCGCGCCCAAGCTGCGCGAGCTCAACGTGGCCTTTAACTTGCTGCGAGACCTGCCCGTGCCGCCCATGCAGACGAGCAACTCGCTGCTGAGTCTGGACAAGCTGCAACTGCAGTCGTTCGAGGAGCCTCCGTCCAACAAGCCGCGGAATGTGACCCAGCAGCGGCTCACCCATCGCAATCTCTGGTCGGCCTCGCTGGACATAACCGACAACGATTTGAAGTGGCAGCAACACGAGCAGGATTTCGGGGATGGAAAGACGGGCCCGGGTGTGGGGAGCTCCTCGCAGCTAAGCAGCCTGAACATAGCGAACAATCTGTTCACCAGCATTCCGGCTGCCTTGCCTTGCCTGGCGGTCAGCCTGACCAGGCTCAACATGTCTTACAACAGTCTGCGCTCCATGGGGCACGTGACCAGCTATCCGGCCACTCTCAAGCAGCTGGACTTGAGCCACAACGAGATCTCATGCTGGCCGAGCTTGCCGCGTATCACGGAATCGGATCCGCACCTGCTGTGCTACAGCTGTGTCCAACTGCCGGAGGAGGAGGTGCCCTACAAGTCGTCGTCCTCAAAGGGCAGCTGTACATCCGCCAGCTCCTTCCGAGCATCGGTGCTGAAGAGCGTGTGCCGGCACAGGCGACACCTGCGTTTGGAATCGCTGCGCACGCTGATCTTGGCGGACAATCTCCTCACCCGCATCCAGCTGTCGACGGACGACGCCAGCACGCTGTTCAACGAGAGCGAGGATGCCGACTGGAGTGTGGTGGGCGTGAACCGGTCCAAGGTGATTTTCCCCAATCTCTCCATGCTCGACATGACCAACAACTGCCTCAAGGAAATCCCCGCCTCGCTGCACGAGCTGAGCAGTCTGTCGGTGCTGAACATCAGCGGGAATGTAAACATTACGGAGCTGCCGCCGCATCTGGGACTGCTGTCGCGGCTGTGGAACTTGAATACGCGCGGCTGCCTCCTGCAGGAGCCACTGCGCTCCATGATCGAGAGCAAGAAGCACAAGACTATGGACATCGTGGGCTACCTCAAGTCCATCTACGAGGACGCCCAGCCGTACGCGCGGATGAAGCTGATGGTGGTGGGCGTGGCTGGCATTGGGAAGAGCACTCTGCTCGATCTGCTGCGCCAGGGAGCGGGCTCTGGCTCAAGCTCTAGCTCGCACCGATCCCGCGCCAGTGAGAACCACTGGGCCAAAAGAATGGGCCACGCTCGCAGTACATCCCGGTCGCAGCGCAACTCCTCCGCGTCCGCCGCGAACATATCCACGGTGGGCGTGGACATTGGCACCTGGATATGCGAGAAGCGGAAGCGGGCACCCGGTTCCCATGGCCCGGTAGTGTTCCGCACCTGGGACTTTGGCGGCCAGAAGGAGTACTACGCCACCCACCAGTACTTTTTGTCCAAGAGGAGCCTGTATCTGGTGCTCTGGCGCATAAGCGACGGCCACAAGGGTCTGGCCGAGCTGCTGCAGTGGCTGGGCAACATCCAGGCTAGGGCTCCCAACTCTCCTGTGATTATTGTCGGCACCCACTTCGATGCGGTGGGCGAGTCCATCTCTCCGCAGAAGGCGGAGCAGCTGCAGCAGATGATACGGGAGAAGTTCATAGCCATTCCGGATGCGGAGAAGATCGGGCTACCGCGGGTGATTGACTCCATAGAAATAAGCTGTCGCACCCTGCACAATATCCACCTGCTGGCCAACATCATCTACGACACCGCCATGCAGCTGCGATCGCCGGGCTCCAAGGAGCCCATGCTGCTCCAAAAGATTCCCGCCAGTTATATCGCCCTCGAGGATATTGTGAACGTAATTGCCTGCAATCTTCGCGCGGCTGGCCGAGATCCGGTCCTCGATGGCGAGCAGTATCGACGCCTGGTCACCGAGCAAATGCGACTGCACAACTACAAGAGCTTTCGAGATGCCGCCGAGCTGCAGCAGGCAACCACCTGGTGCCACGAAAACGGTGTCCTCCTGCACTACGATGACGCCACGCTCAGGGACTACTACTTCCTCGATCCTCAGTGGCTGTGCGATATGCTGGCCCATGTGGTCACCGTCCGTGAGATCAATCCGTTTGCCCCTACGGGCGTGATGAAGCTGGATGACCTTCAACTTCTGTTTCGGAGTGTGCAGGTTCAGGGAAATACCAATCGCAGGTGGGTTTTACAACAGAAAACTTCAACCAAAGGCTTTATAATTACAAACAAATGTAATTACTAATCAAATGTTTCCAGCTACATTGTCAGTTTATTGAACAAGTTTGAGGTTGCCCTAACCTGGGACTCACGAACTCTGCTCATCCCCTCACTGCTGCCACTGCAAGAGGCCAGCACGCCCAACGCTGGCACCACAGTAAAGCTGTCACAGCGCTCCCGCGGTCGTAACTTGGGTTGCTCCGTCTCACAGGAGGTGAATCTCAATAACTTGATCTACGAGCCGAGGTCAGCTCAGACTTCTTCATCTTCTGCGGCTGCTGCTTCGGCTGTCCAGGGCCTGAGGCGTGTTCTGCTGATGACCTATTTCCCCTCTGGCTTCTGGTCTCGCCTGATCACGCGGATACTGGCCGATGAGCAGATCATCGAGGCGATCCGTGGCGTCTACGTGGCTGCCCAAGATGTAAGTAGGAATATAACTTGAATCATTACTTGTTGCTTATGTTATATGTATTCCAGAAATTCGTGGACTTTGATTTGCGTACCTCCTTGGAGCAGGACACCCAGTGGAATCTGTGGCAGACGGGCCTGGCCCTTTATTATGGACCCATCCTAATATTTCGGATCTGGGAAGTGCCCTTTCAGAGCACAGAGCGTACGCAGCCCTTTCGGACAAATGGCAATCGCTTCAAGCTTAAGCTGGACGGAATCTGGAGCGATGTTAACCTGACCTCTTCCAGCATTTTGGAGGTTTACTTTCCCCTGCTCCAGGTGAGCATATCGCAGGAGGTGGACGATAGAGAACGTCAACTGCTGGCCGAACTGCAGCCACAAATGTCACAAGTGGCCAAGCTCTTAGCTCTGGCAGTGGACCACATCGACTTGCTGCTGGAGGATTGGTATCCCTCGCTGGGTACTCGGTTTGTGCACACTTCCGAGGGGCGCTTCTTGATCACCCGCCTGGTGTTGTGTCCCCGCTGTCTCTGGAAGCTGCAGCTGCAGCAGACCAGCGAGCCAGCAGATCGGGAAATGCCACCCATCGGATGCAATAGGCCAAGTCGGAGTAGCCGGCGCGGGGCAGGCGCCTATTTTCTGCATGGCGTTGGCGACCCCGGTGAGGACGGCGCTCTTAATGTGTTCTCCGCCTATCTCAACGCCACAGCCCGGCGGGAGCGCCGCTCTGAGGACTCCCTGGGCGCTGGCTCGGATGCAGACTCGGGCGTGGGACCTGACTCCGCCGGTTCCTCGCGCAACACTTCGGTGGACGGACACCCGGGCTATCCCCTGCCAGATAATTCCAATGTCTGCTACGCCTGGATGATCGAGGAGTGCATCCTGTCCGTTTACAATCAGAGCAAGCTCAGCTGTCCCGTGCACCTGGAGCAGTCGATGGCCCAGCTAGCTCCGGATGTCATATTTGCCGACATACCCGATAAGCACACCATTCCCACGGAGTGCATCATCAAGGGGTCCCTGCTGGGTCGCGGAGCCTTCGGGTTCGTTTTCAAGGCCAGTTGCAAGATCAGAGGCGCCAGATCCTTTAAGGCGGTGGCCATGAAAATGCTGCAACCAGTGCCACCAGGAGCCCGGGCCAAGGAGGTGAGTACTATTCACACTAGGCATTAATCGAAGGCAACATATAAACGATTCTCGGATGTCGAATGCATTCATTCATTTGTACGCATTCATTCGGGAGAATTACCCATATATATCCGCTTAATTTCCAGAGTGCCCTAATGGCCTACAAGGTGGCTCTGGGCAAGTGGGATCGTGATCCGCTGCAGCACTCCTGCAAGGCCTATTGCACTGCTCGCCAGGAGTTGGCCGTGCTGCTGACCCTCAAGCATCCTAACATTGTGCCCCTGGTAGGGATCTGCATTAAGCCGTTGGCTCTGGTATTAGAGCTCGCTCCTCTGGGCGGTTTGGACGCCTTGCTGCGGCAGTACCGGCGCAGTGGAGCCCACATGGGTCCGCACACGTTCCAGACCCTCGTTTTGCAGGCAGCACGTGCCATCGAGTATCTGCATCGCAGAAGGATCATATACCGCGATCTCAAGTCGGAGAACGTGTTGGTCTGGGAATTGCCGCAGCCGCACACGGAGGACAGTCCACGGAATCATGTGCACATCAAGATTGCCGACTACGGCATTAGCAGGCAGACAGCTCCCAGCGGAGCGAAGGGTTTCGGCGGCACGGAGGGCTTTATGGCCCCCGAGATAATACGCTACAATGGCGAGGAGGAGTACACTGAGAAGGTGGACTGCTTCTCATTTGGAATGTTCATTTACGAAAACATCAGCCTGCGACAACCGTTCGAAGGCCACGAGTCCATCAAGGAGTGCATCTTGGAGGGCAGCCGTCCGGCTCTTACACAGCGAGAGACGCAGTTTCCCACTTGCTGCTTGGACCTAATGGTGCTCTGCTGGCACGAGCAGCCACGTCGCCGGCCGACGGCGAGTCAGATTGTCTCCATACTTAGTGCCCCGGAGTGCATCCACCTGCTGGATGTGGTTGCCCTGCCGCATACGGAGAAGATCGTGTGCGGAGTCTTTCGGTCGCTGGTGGGCGATGAGGAACAATCGGGCCTGGAGCTGTGGCTTCCCTCCTTTGGCTCCCGCATTGACATCCTGGACTGCACGCCCTCGGGCAGCCTGCTGCAGTGCAGCAGCATCAGTTGTTCGCCGCAGCCACAGGTGGCTCCGCCCAAGACGCCTGAGAATGGCGCCCACTCTCGAGCCCGGTCCGCTCAGCGTTCGCCGAAAGTCAACATGCTGTGCTGCTGCTTAGTGGGCGAAGCCATTTGGATGGGCGACGTTTCCGGCAACCTGCATGCATATAGCACCTCTAGCTATGCCCACTTGTTCTCCTATATGCTCGATCCGGCCATCAAGTCAGCTGTGATAAGTCTAGTCTACATGGAGAGGATTGCCCGCGTGGCCGTGGGCACGCACAATGGCCGCGTGTTTCTCGTGGATGCCACGCAGATGCCCAGCAATTGCGCTTTTGCCGAGGGCTCCTTTGTGCTCACGGAGATCTGTTCCGGCTTTGTGTTGCACGCCGCCTGCTCAGTCTTTGTGGATGGGTAAGTGGCTACATGGTCATATCCTGGGATTGCTGTGATTGTCCATTAACGCTCTTTTCAGCACCTACGAGCTGTGGTGCGGCGAAATAGCCGGAAAGATCAATGTTTTTCCGCTTAACGAGACGGGAGTGTCTGGTCATCAGGCGCTGTGCCACAGCGAGGAGCCCAACCTGATAGAGGACGTCAAGGTGGCCCGGATGTGCAGCAACGACAGTCACGTCTTCAGCTGCCTCTATCCCGGATGCATGGTGTACCAGTGGGGCGTTGCCTCCAAGCGCATCGAGAACAAATTGGACTGCTCCAAGTTGCTGCCGTGCTCCGAGTCCCTGCAAAGCATCGCCATCGATGAGCACGTGAATCTGATCAAGTGCCAGATCTCGGCCCTGGCGGCTCACAATACGGAGCTGTACATTGGCACCACCTGGGGTTGCCTGATCGTGGCCGAGCTGCAAAGTCTGCGACCGATAAGTGTTTTCCGCCCCTATGAAAATGAGGTAGGTCTAGAAAATCTTTTTTTTTAAGATTGATACTAATCGCTCTTCCTGCTTCCCGCAGATAAAATCCATCATAACGCTGACCAATGACAAGGTGCCTTTGATTGCCACGATTGGTCGACGGTACCGCTCCCTGATCTCTCGCTACGTGGACTCGGCCGATTCCTCCGCCGCCTGCTCGGCCGTCAGTACACCCACACATGGTGCAGGCAAATCCTTGCCACCGGCGGATGTGGACAATCACATCCACTGCCTTTTGTGGCGCGCCAAGCACTGGACATAAATTCGATCTCGCAAGGATTATTTGTTGACGTTTTTTTAATAATAATATTAATTCACTTAAACGACACACGGACAAATCTTGAAAAATTTGAAAAAGTGCTGGACATGAGGGATAGATAGTCGTTGATATTTATACCCTTGCAGGGTATTATAATTTCAGTCAGAAGTTTGCAACGCAGTGAAGGAGACGTTTCCGACCCTATAAAGTATATATATTCTTGATCAGCATCAACAGCCGAGTCGATCTAGCCATGTCCGTCTGTCCGTCTGTCCGTCTGTCCGTCTGTCCGTTTCTACGCAAACTAGTCCCTCAGTTTTAAAGCTATCTCAATGAAACTTTGCATATAGTCTTCTATATGCTCTCACTGCTATATATGTCGGAACGGGCCGGATCGGACGACTATATCATATAGCTGCCATAGGAACGATCGGGAAATTAATAGAAAAAAATTATAGATTCGTTGTTTTTCAACGTATTTTCATCTACTCCGATATATAAGATTATTTTATTATTCTAGAATTTTGGTATAAATTTCAAAAAAATCGGACAACTATATCATATAGCTGCCATATAAACGATCGGTAGATGTAGGGAAAATGTAAAGCTGGAAATGCAAAACTGTAACTGTCAAACTGTAAACATAATAAGTATAGGTAAAATGTAATGAAATAATATCTGCAAGGGTATACAAACTTCGGCGTGCCGAAGTTAGCTTCCTTTCTTGTTTTAATTTGTATTAAAACTACAAATATTTAGGTGCAATATAAATAATATACGCTTTTATTATATTATACTATATTTTATATGTATACACATATATTTGTATTTAATATTTTAAAAAGGTAGCTCCATTTATGACTCCAGTTTATTGTCTTTCGAATTTGTATTGAACGAATTTATATATTTAACGGTAAAAGTTCAAGCACTCAACCGAATTATTATTGTTTAAATGAAAACAAGAATTTTCTAAATAGATCAAATATTTATTGAACAAATTTTAAAGGATTTATTTCAGTATTATTCAAACTAGTTTTATTTATTTACTATACGCAAGCTGTTCTTTCACCATTCAGTGGCATGGCTGAATATTTTTAGCGACGACTATCTCTTGTGTCCCCCAAATGACAAGCATTCCATTTTTCGAAATAAACTTTTAATAAAATAAAAAATAAAAACTAAAAAATAAAAACAAAGTTTTTAACTTTCTCCAGCCTGCGATTCCGGGGCCATGGAAGCCACGGAGGACTGACGGCTGCGGGAGTATATTGAAGCCGAGCTCTTCAGCACCCGAATATAATTGTTGAAATCGATGACAAACCGGAATTCCTCCTTGAGGGCCTCGCGTAGCGGCACCTAAAAGGCAAAACAGAATCCTCAAGGATTTTGTAACAAAATCAGTTTAAAATCTTACGCGGTAGTGGTGGGCTTTTTTCATTACGAACAATACCCAGCTGATAATTCCGTAGAGCAGGGCGCAGCAGCTGCCAACGAGTAGCACGAAGAAGACACCTTCCAGGTTATTCATGTCCAGGGGCGTGGCATCTGGAGCATCCTCTTTGGTGGCGCAAATGCCAGTGCCCACCTCGTTCCACCACTTGTTTTTCATCTTTTCCAGGACACCCTGCTCCTGGAGCTCTAACAAGGCGTTGTTGAACTTGTCGCGATGTGGCCAATCTGAAAGCGAAGCATCTTGGTGGAGCAGGATGATTTCAAGAGAATATTTCTTGAGTATCTACTTTTTCGCATGGCTATGCCATAGCCCTTCTCGTCCAGTGCGTCGCCGATCTTCTTTAGATTGCATTCGCGCTTTGTATTATACTCGATGGAAGTCGATTCCATGAGGAAAGCGTAGTGCGTGTTCGTCTTCACTCTATTCACGCCCTCCTGGTTGTCCTCGGTGAGGTGTTCGGGATGCTCGGTCATGAACTTGTTCATCCTCTTGTAGCGCTCATCCTCAGATGTCTGAAAACAGCAATCAGCTATAATACCGAAGACGTAAAGCACTAGGACAGTACCAAAAAGAAGTTTCTAGTGGATCCAGTTCGCTTGGCGCCGTAAACCACACCATCCTTGTTGTCAGCCAGATCGTCAACGCTATTGATCAGACTCTGAGGCTTCTCGATGGTCAAAAAGGCAGCCAAGTTGGCGGTGTACGAGGACACCACAATCAGGGTGAAGAACCACCAGAAGCTGGCCACAGTGCGGGTGGATAGGGCTCTGCGTTAGAGATTAGGAAAAACATTGAGTTCAGTGATTTCTGGAAGTAGAATCTGTATACTTTGGTCCGATCTCCGATCCCTGTTGGAGCAGAGCTCCGGTTGTAAACCAAATGGAATTGCCTATGGTGAATTGATTTTCCAACTCCTCGGGCTCCTCAATGCACGGATACGGATTGTCCCACTCGCTGGGCGACAGGCGGCCCAATATAAAGAAGCTCAGGGCCACGCCCAGAAATGAAAAGCCCAGGAACCACCAGACCTCCTCTGAGAAGGGGTCCATGAAGGTAAAGAGCTCAGGAGTGGCCTTCTGAGGCTTCAGATACAGAATGGCTATGCCTAAAATTTCAAGTAATATAAATGTACTATATACTCTTAAGTAAATCCTCCTCCCTCCTACCTAGATTCATGAAGGGAATGGTGAAGTCTATGGCCTCTTCGCGTTCCGAGGTAATGGTCAAGTCTGTGATGGCCAAGTCAGCGCGCTGCAAGGGGAAAGGGTAATTAACTGGGCTTCCTTGTTTCACATTCCTCACCCACCCCCATCATAATCTCCCTCAGCATGCCCGTGGACTCATTCGAGGTCTTATTGTATGACCCGTAATCATTTCCACCGTTCACGAAGGTGAAGTTAAATCCCAGTTTGTCGGCCAGCTCCTTGATTAGATCCACGCCATAGCCCTCGTACTGACTGTTGCCCTCCAGCTGTTTGTAGGTTTCCACCAGCTGGGCGTACGGTTTGTTCTGCAGTTGGAACGCGTTTCATCAAGATTGGAAAACTTGTTTTGCTTTCTGGTGGCTGAGGCTACCTACCGGCACCGAGAGCAAAATTATGAAGGTCTTGTTGGCCAGCGAGTTGTCGATGTTGTCGAACTGGGCGGTAGTGGGAGCTAGTCGCTGGGCTCTGTAATTCCTCTGCTCGTCCCAGGTGCCCACCTTGACAATGCCCGAGGGCTGCAGCTCTATGACATCCAGGTGGTACCCCTTGCGGACGTTTCCCTCGAAGTAGATGGGTCCGGTGAGTAGGTGTTCTGTGAGTCGAAGCTGAAATCAGAGCGAGAAAATAAGTATTCATTACGAAAGGAGCTTTATTCGATTCATCGAACCGTTCGCATGTAGTTCTTAAAAGAGGAGCCGTCATCCCGAACGCTTTCCGTGCGCTGCGAACAGTTCTGGGACACAGGCTTGAAGGGCAGGTTTTTCAGGGTTTCTGCAAACAGCTGAACTGCATCGTAGGTCAAAGCCATTTCCACGGTTATGGGACAGGAGCCTTTATAAACATTTAAATTTAGAACAGTGAAAATTAAATATTTTTCTGCTCACCGTTTCGGAACTCATCTTGGTCGGTGGGATAGCCCAGTTTCATGAGCAGCTCCTTGACGGCCAGCTTTTCCGGCGAGAAGAGGCGCAGACCGGTTATGTTGGCCTCACTGTACTTGTACTCCTCCAAATCGAAGGAGTGGAAGTCCAAGTTGCCTATGATGTACTTGTAGTCTTCGTTGATAATTCCAACCTGCTGGGCCTGGTTCAGAAACTCCGGCATGGTTTCGCTGGAGCCGACGACCACAATCCGGTTATCGACGGACTTCCGCACCCGGCGGAGAACCTGCTTGTAGTTGCCATTCAGCTGCATATCGTATCGCAGCACCGTGACCACGGGCCCATTCATGCCGAACATCGTGGTCAGCTCATTCAGAATGTTGAGGTAATCGGCTGCGAGCGATGCTGGAATTATTAATCGCTCTATTCAAGTCCTGGACAAAGGCGTCTCACCGGATTCGTAGAGGAAAATAAAGCGCGTCCAGTTAAACTCCGTTATGAGGCTATACAGGGCCTTGGCCAGGTCGGCCGGATGCGGATGCAGATTGAACCCCTCGGCGTACTCGCTCATGTAGGAGTAGATGTGCGGTATGTCCATGGCATCGCAAATGGACATCAGGTGGACGGCAGTGTGCCGTGATGAGGGTCCAAATACCCCCGCAATTCCGGTCTTTAAGTGGAAATAAATAAAAATTTATTTTTGAAAAATAAAAAATGATAATAAACAAATAATAATAATAAAAAAACAAGAAAGGAAGCTAACTTCGGCACGCCGAAGTTTGTATACCCTTGCAGATATTATTTCATTACATTTTACCTATACTTATTATATGTACAGTTTGACAGTTACAGTTTTGCATTCCCAGCTTTACATTTTCTCTACGTTTATATGGCAGCTATATGATATAGTTGTCTGATTTTTATGAAATTTATACCAAAATTCTAGAATAATAAAATAAACTTGTATCCCGGAGTAGATGAAAAAACGTTGAAAAACAACGAAGTTATAGTTTTTTTCCTATTAATTTCTCGATCGTTCCTATGGCAGCTATAAGATATAGTGGTCCGATTTTCATGAAATTTTTATTAAAAATTCTAAAATAATAAAAAAAGGCCATATCTAAAAAATTGTGCAAAAATATTGAAACACAGCCAAGTTATAATTTTTTTTCTAAAAATTGATCGAACATTTGTATGGCAGCTATATGATATAGTCGTCCGATCCGGCCCGTTCCGACATATATAGCAGTGAGAGCATATAGAAGACTATATGCAAAGTTTCATTCAGATAGTTTCAAAACTGAGGGACTAGTTTGCGTAGAAACAGACAGACGGACAGACGGACATGGCTAGATCGACTCGGCTTTTGATGCTGATCAAGAATATATATACTTTATAGGGTCGGAAACGTCTCCTTCACTGCGTTGCAAACTTCTGACTGAAATTATAATACCCTGCAAGGGTATAATAATGAAATTTAAATTTAAAACAGTTTGTCAGGAAAGGAAGTCAAAGGGGTATTCCAGTGGAAAGAAAGGAAGATATATTTGCTTAATAGATAATTCTATAAAATATTTAATAGTCTAAAAGTCTAAAAAAAGTAATGAGTTACTTTAAATATTCTTAAATAAAAAATATCGTTTAAATAATAATTCATTAAATATACATATATTATATTAGCATCATTGTGTATTACCTCAAGCATCCTGCACAGTCTGCCGTAGCTCTGATAGGCATCCCCGTAGTTTACCTCCGCTTTCAGAGATGTCAACGCAGTGCCCACCTCCTGGTTAGCCACGTCAATGGCATGGTCGAAGACAATGTTCATTTGGTCCGTGTTCTGGTCGGTGAGAAGGCCTGAAATCAAGAATTTCCCACTCATTTACTCAGTTCCGCCGTTTCGCTCTTGCCGGTTTGTTTATAAACAACAACTTGACCTAATCGCCGTCCCATTCGGTCGGAAAACCCAAACAAACAAACAAATACTAAAACCGTTTTATGAGCTTTCGGCGTTGATGGAACGAAAACGAACAGCTTGTTCTTGTTCCCTTTATGAGAAATTAAAAATAAATCGCGCGTTGAAAACAGTTTGTTTTGGAACTGCATAAAAAAAACTTTGCCCGCGACACACATTTTTCATTTGAGTTAATTTTTTTGGCTTCTTCGAAATTACTTACCGATTGGCACACTTTCCAAATTTTGGAACTTTTTGTAGCCGCCAAAGTTGTCATATTGAGCGTTTTTCGCAGAGATTTTAAGGAAAATAATAAGCAAAGCAATTTTAAATTGATTGAAAAGCATTCCTAATTGAGTTTATTTTCAACACAAATATATATTTATATGTACATATTAGTTTAGAGAAATAAAATCGTTCGCGATTGCCGCACAACCGAGCACGTTGAGTAAAAGGCCGCAACTGAGGGATGCTTCCAAAATGTCAATTTGGACAATATTCCGAGTGAAAGTTTCAGAAAGCTTTGAGAGAATTTGTAGAATACCATGCAAGTATCTCAAAACTAGTCCTCAGGTTGTTCGTTCTCCTCGGAATCAGTTTGCAGCGAGTCTATCGACTGCGACGAATTGCGGCTTCGGGAATATATAGACTGGGCGCTCTTCAGGGCTCGTTCATTTTCCGAAAAGCGGATGACAATTTTGAATTCCTCAACCAGGGCATCGCAGAAAGGAACCTAATACAGATTACCCAAATATATATCTCGCAAGAAACAAAGGTTTAGTATGATATTTACCGCATAGAACTTGGCCTTCTTGAACACAAAGAAGCACCAGCACAGGATGGCGACGATTATCGAGATGACAGAGCCGACGGCCAGGACAGCGTAGATGCCACTGAGATTGTCCACGCCCAGCTCTGAGGGTCCATCGGATTCGCTTTTCGCCTATGGCAGTCGCTTAATTACTTGCTCTAAATATCCATCAGATACTTACGCTACAAACTCCTGCTCCAACCTCGTTCCACCATTTATTTTTCAGCCTGGCCAGGACACCTTGCTCCTGCAGCTCCAACAGGGCGTTGTTAAACTTGTCGCGATACGGCCAGTCTGGAGGATCATAAATAAAATTACAGGGAGCTTGGGAAGTCTCTAATGGTACCCACTTTTAACCATGGCTATGCCGTAACCCTTCTCGTCCAAAGCGTCACCCACTTTGGTCAGGTTGCACTCTCGTACCGTATTGAATTCGATCGAGGTGGACTCCATGAGGAAGGCGTACTTGGTGCCAGACTTGACCTTGTCCACTCCATCCTGATTGTTGTCCATCAGCATCTCTGGATGGGCAGTCATGTACTCATTCATTTTCATGTAGATGGGATCCTCTGATGTCTATGAGAATGGGGATCTAATCATTTAATCACGAGAGCCTTAAGTGGGTCTGTTTACCAAAAAGAAGTTCCTTGTTGATCCCGTGCGCTTGGCTCCGTACTGAACGTCATCCTTATTATCGGCCAAATCCTCAACGCTGTTAATGGGACTAGTCGGATTTTCGATGGTCAAGAAGGCAGCCAGGTTGGCTGTGTATGAGGATACCATGATGAGAGTGAAGAACCACCAAATGGCAGAGATTGTGCGGGTACTCAGGGCTCTAAGAAAAGAGTTTTAATTAAAGCATATAGCCGGTGTGTCATATATATTTCTACTTGGGAGCAATTTCCGATCCTTGCTGCAGTAAAGCTCCCGTTGTGAACCACAGAGAGTTGTTGATGGTAAACTGATTCTCCAGCTCCTCGGGTTCCTCTATGCAGGGATACGGGTTGTCCCACTCGGTGGGCGAAAGTCGCCCCAGAATAAAGAAGCAGAGGGAGACGCCCACATAGGCTATGCCCAGATAAAGCCAGACCTCCGAGGAAAATGGGTCCATGAAGGAAAAAAGGGCAGGCGGAGCCTTCTGGGGTTTCACATACAAAATAGCTATGCCTGGGATTTTAAGAATATATTTATTTAGAGTTGGCTGAACTATTTTTATAGATTTCTTATCTCACCCAGATTCATAAAGGGTATGGAGAAATCGATGACTTCCTCCCGCTCCGATGTAATGGTAAGATCGGTGATGGCCAAATCAGCTCGCTGATAGGAATATATTTGTCAGTGAGGGCATTCAATGATGTGTTTACGATAACTCACCCCTTCAACAATTTCCTTGAGCATTCCAGTGGTGGTATTGGTGGTCTTATTAAAGGAACCGTAGTCATTGCCACCGTCGTGGAATGTAAAGTTAAAGCCCAGCTTGTCGGCCAACTCCTTGATCAAATCCACTCCATAACCCTGGTACTGGTTGTTGCCAATAAGTGTGTCAATGCTCTCCACGAGACTGGCATAGGGTTTTGTCTGGAATGTAAGTTTTTCTTAGGTAATTGCAAAAATAGTATATGTGGCTTCAATCAACCCACTGCAACAGAGATTAAAACCTTGAAGGTTTTGTTGACCAGCGACCCGTCGTCAATGTCATTCAAGTTGATCACTTGGGGTGGCCGCTGGAACTCAAAGTCCTTTCCGTCTTCCCAGGTGCCGACCTTGACCAGTCCACTCGTCTGCAGTTCGATGACATCAAAGGTGAATCCCTTGCGCACATTGCCTTCGAAGTATATGCGGCCTGTTATTGTTTTCTCCTTTATCTCCAACTGCAACGATTCCAAAAAATTCGTAGGATGATATTGTTAGATCTCGAGGGTTCACCTACCGATCTCATATAATTCCTAAAGGTAGAACCATCGCGCTGAACATTGTCATGACGCTCGGAGCAGTTGAGCATCTGGGGTTGATAGGGAAGGTGCTTGGTTGTCTCCGCGATGACTCGCACAGCATCGTAGGTGAGGGCCATGGACATGGTGATCGATGATGAGCCTACAGGGGAAAACTATTACTAACCAACATCTTATTTAATTTGTTGATCTTGTAATATCCCAAGGAACTCTAAAGTTCCTGAGAGACAAAAAGTTGTTGTACCATTATTGGTGGGTTCGCTTTCGCCCAGCTCATGGTGCAGCTTCTCGACCAGATCTCGCACCTCCTCCTGGTCAGGTGAGAACATTCGTATTCCGGTTATATTGGCCTCGCTGTACTTGTACTCCTCCAGCTCGAAGGTATGCAGGTCCAGGTTGCCGATAATGTAGGTGTAGTCCTCGTTCATGATTCCCACTTGTTGGGCCTGGCGCAGCAGCTCGGCCACTCCCTCTGTGGAGCCCACGACCACGATGCGGCTGTCCTCCGATTTTCGAATTCGACGCAGCACCGACTTGTAGTTGCCATTCAGGTTGAGATCGTAGCGCATCACCTTGATGACGGGTCCCTTGATGCCGTAAAGGGTCATGAGGTGGTCCAAAATGTTCAGGTACTCAGCTTAAGCAAAAAGTTGGGAATTAGAAATGATTGTTCATGGCTTCTGGGATGTACCTACCGGACTCGTAGCAGAATATGAAGCGAGACCAATCGAACTGGTTGATAATGTCGTAGAGGGCATGAGCTATGTCCTCCGGATTCGGGTGCAGGTTGAAGCCATCAGAGTGGGCACCCCACGAGAGGTGCGGGTATATGAAGGGAATGTCCTTGGAGTCGCAGGCGTTCAGCAAATGCGCGGCTGTATGCTTGGCAGCCGGCCCAAAGACGGCACCCACTCCGCCCTAGAAAGGCGTGTTTATTAAAAAATTCTCAATGCTTTTCGCTGTCTCACCTGCATTAGCCTGCAGAGCTGGGCAAAGGCCTGGACTGAATTTCCGTAGGCCACCTGTTCCGTTTCGCCCGCCAAAGGAACGCCCAGCTCATTGTTGACCACCGATATGGCGTGCTCAAAGGTCTGACGGATTCTGTCGGTGGTGTCGTCGGTGATAAGGCCTGCGTGCTTTGTTTGAGTCGGATAAATTCGGGAGAGGAAGCTGCCGAGAGCTCTTCGAGCTCTTTCACTCACCAAGGCGAATGGCTTGGCCACTAGGTGAACCGAAGGAGCTGCCGCCATAGAACTGACCCTGCACTCTGTGAAGGCAGAGTATAATTGGTATCAGCCAGCTGAACTGCATTGTCCTCATTTATTGAAGTTTCGAATGGGAATCTTTCATTTCCCCTCGCCGACGACGGGTATATATAAATATATAGGTATATTTTTGGATCACCCACTAGCGCGATATCTTTGAAGTTCCTTAGTCGCCGAGCGCACGTTCCCAACTGAATGGGCGGCCACTCATAATTGCCTTACGAATTCCACTCAAAAAGTTTCCAAAAATATTTGTTTTGAACTTGAAAGCTGCCAGTGTTGAGCAATCATGCGTACTTTCGTATTAAAAAAACAAAGTGCTGGTGGTTTACATTTAATTAGAATTATCACAAACATAAATTGCATCGTAAACTAAACTATTGCAAGTTACAAATATAAATAGTTAAGGGCTATCGAAAATATATAAAGTAGCAAGTTATAATTTTTGGCACATATTCTTTGTTGTGAAGGGGGTCATCCCGTTCGATCCTCGGCACACATCTCTGGGACTTCGCCAATTTGCTGTTCTGTCAATTGAAAAGCTGCAATCGAGATGGAGGCGTTAATGGTGCTCTTTGGGGGAAAGATAAGCTATATGTGGGACTGCACTCCAACCCCGGTGGCATTCCAAGTGTCACGCACCAATTGCAGCTTCATTGGAAAGACAATTGGAGAAGTTTGTCCCCCTGTCTAGAAACCGAACCAACTGCTGCGCATAAATCACCATTAATTAAGTGGGTGCCGGCGCCCAATTGAAGTGCGATGTCGTTGTTGGCACCACAGCACCAGGCCGGGTAACGAGCTATAAGGAGCTGCGTACACACCCGACACCGCCACTTTCTCCACTAAGTGGCGCTCGAAGTGGAGCAATTAGAGCCTCGCCCGGGAGGTGCCACTGGGGTTGGGGTTAGATGTGAACTCACCAATTGGCATGCCTTCGTTCTTTGGTCTAGGACTGCGTGGCATACGTCGTGAATAATACTCTTAGGCTATAGCTGTAGACTTCCCGCATCTACCACACGCTGCACTTCTTGGAGGGGTTCATCGGCGAGTCCACGGGACAGCGGAACTCCCGGGCAAAGTCCACGGAGTTTGATAGCGTGCCGATCACCCGGAAGCGACCCGGACTGTGAATAGCCGTGTTCAGTTTGTTCCGTATGGCCTCGGGCCGCATTGCTCCACACCACACCTGGCCAAAGTTGAGGAAGAAGAGCTGTGGTCCGGTCATGTTGAGGCCCGGCAGAACCTCGTCCGGGACCTCGTTGGGGTGTTCCTGCATCCAGCGCTGATAGGCATGGAAAGCCTGGCGCAGGCCACCATTATCTGCGATATTCTCGCCTGGAAATAAATATATAAATGATATACATGTTTGTAGTATTGGGATACATTCAAGGAAATGACAAAATAGAATCCACATTACCTTGCGTGCTTTCGCCATTGAGGACGATGCCCACCTCTTCCACTGTGTAGTTGCTGTACTGGGCGATGATGCAGCGGGCGCGTTCGTCGAAGCCCCGGATTGAGGAGTCCGTCCACCACTTGTGAATGTTGCCGTTGCAGTCGAAAAGCCGTCCCTTGTCGTCAAATCCGTGGGTCAACTCGTGGCCGATGACCACGCCGATGCCGCCGAAGTTTAGCGACTTGGGGAAGTGGCGGTGGTAGAAGGGCGGCTGCAGGATGCCGGCGGGAAACATGATCTGGTTCTTGTTGCGGCTATAGTAGGCATTCACAATGGCCGGCGCCGTCTGCCAGTTGGTCTTGTTGACCCGCTCGTGCAGTTTGGACTGCTCCGTTTTGGCCGTGTGGAGCAGGACATTGAGCGTGTTCTCAAAGTACTTATCCGGGTGGATATCGATTCCCGCGTACTTGCTGTTGAGCTCACCCGGATTGAGGATAAAGTCCGGGTAGCCGATTTTCAGGGACATGGCGTTGACCTTCTCCTCGGCCAGCTGCTTTGTGGTTGCGTCCAGCCAGTCGGTGGTCTTGAGGATGTCTCGGAAGGCCTGCTGCAGGTCGTGCGTCATCCGCAGGGTGTCCCGCTTGCTGTTGTTGTCGAAGTAGCGGCTCACAAACATCGAGCCAACCGCCATGCCCATGTTCGTGTTCACCTGGGCGATGCACACCTTCCAGCGCTGCGGACTCTCCTCCCGGCCGAAGAGGGCGTGGTAAAAGTGCTGCTTGATGTCGTCGAAGCGATCGTCCACGTTGTTGATGCGATGCCGCACGAAACGCCACATCATGTAGTTGGCCACGGTGCGGGGCTCCGTCTCCTCCAGCAGGGTCACCAATTTGCCCATGTACTCCACCGCGTAGATGACCACCTCTTCGGCCCCGCTCACCTCACGATCCTGAAGGCTCTGTAGGTAGGTAAGCCACTTGATCTCCGGCACCAACGCCTGCAGCTGGTCCAGGGACATCCGTTTGTAGAGCTGCAGAATGGAACAATAAGAAAAGTCTCGATTTTCCAATTGATTTGCTTACTTTGGTCACGTTGAGCCGCTGCTCCGCCGGAGCCGTTATCCCCGCCAGCTGCGTCTCAAAGGCCACCAGCTCGGTGGCAACCCGCTGAGCGTCCGCCTTGGAGGCCCCCATCTTGTGCATCACCTCTGACATATAGCGCTGGTAGGCCAGCAGGTACTTGTTGTTGCTGGGCTGCAGGAAATACTCCCTGGTGGGCAGGCCCAGGCCCGTCTGGTCGAACTGGACGATGTTCTCCTCGGAGTTCTTGATGTCCGCCCCCACCCACTGGACGATGAGGATGTCGTTGTTGTAGCGCCGCAGAGTGGCAGCCAGAACTTGCCAGTTGAAGTTGGCGTCGCTCCACTGCTGGTCCAGGACGGGCCAGCCGCCGAGCTCCTGGATGAGAGTGTGCAGTGGCTCCAGGCCCCGCCTGGCTAACAGCTGGCTGTTTACGCAGGATCGGTACAGATTCTTGGCCTTCAGCTGGGCATCGTGCTGGGGCTGGAGCATGTTGTTGGTGGCCGCTACGTTTATTGGCTCCTCAGTGTCCGATTTCTCCTTTGACTTCTCCTTCGTCGCGACGGTAGGTGCTGCAGCTTCCTCCTCTTTGGTCTTCTCCCGGGTGGCATCGATGAGGCGTTTCCGCTTGGTTCCGTTGGTGTATCGTTTGTACCGCACGAGGATGCGATTGAGCAACTGCCTCTGGCTGACGATATGCCGCTTCAGACGTTCAGCCCGCAGCTCCGCCGCTTGGTCCGCTTCGCCCTCGCCCTCTCCCTGCTCGTTAAGCTTGAACAGCGTGTTCCGAACCCGGCTCTTCCTCGGCTCGGCCGCTTGAGCAGGCGAATCATTCTTCTCCAGGAGATTGCGCAGCACAAGGTCAAGGCTTTCGCGCAGCATTTCGAAAGTGTCAAAGCCAGCCTTGTCCTTAGGTATCGGGTGCAGCCTCTCCCAGTTGCCACAAGCGTACTTGTAGAAATCCACACAGGGATCCACTTTGGTGTCCATGTAGCGCTTCATGGTCATGGCCTGCGCCATGCGGATGCCCTCGCGGGTGCCCTCCTCGTTCCAGAAGCTTTGCAGTGCAGCGGTAGGCTCGTTGATTTGGGACGTCTGCTCTGGATTGGCCTCGCCGGAATGGCCTTCCGCCTCGCGCCGTTCCCGGTGCTGCCTGCTCCGCTCCAGCCAGTAGGCAGTCTCGTCCTGGAACCGTTTTTTTTGGGACACGCTGGGGTTGCTGTCTAGGGGTTTGATGTCCAGGTCTATGCCGAGACACTCGCGCGGAATGCCCTGCGGCAAGAAGGAAGTGCGCGAGTCCTTCATCAGTGTGCTGCGCTCCTCTAGCTCCAGGGTCTCGCCGTTTCCGTACCGATAGGGCTGACATCGTCGATCGCGCTCCGCGGCCTCAAGCTCATGATGGGCTCGCTTGCCCGACGGTAACAGGAACTCCTCGTTAATTAGCTCATTGTATGTGCTGCCCTCCGCCTGCAAAGCCTCGTAGTTCTCCAAGTAGCTGGGCACCTTTGCAGCGGACTCTCGACGTTCGCGCATCCTCTGCTCGTTCAGCTGCAGCGCCTCCAGCATTCCGTCCAGCCGCATAATCAGGATAAGCACAAGCGTCAGGGGCAGCATCACCACTGGAAGCAGCAGAAGTAGTTTGCAGCAGGTCAGGCCAGGGCACCACTGCACCCGACCCGTCCGCTGGTTGACACCAAGTCCCAGCTTCACGCTCCGATCCTTCGACGGATGCGGATGCGGAGCAGGAGCTGGAGACCCGTGCACCGAGGGCATCGCTAGCTTCAGCTGGCTGTGGCGACTCATCCCACGAGCTGCCGTAATTGAGGAGCTCGCTGGCCTTTATACTTTAATTAAACGCAATTTTCGCGCGACGCAGTTTGGCGAACCGAACGGGACGTAATCTAAACCGAGAATGGAGAGCCGGAGAATGGCAGCCGGAGACTGGCGACCGGGGGCCGAATTTCGGAGACCAGCGATGGGAGGCTGGAGATCGCAGACCAGAGACTGGACGGCACAGAACTGCGGCCGAGTCGCGCTCGCATTGCCAACTGAAAGCGGCCGCATGGGATGCGCAATCACGGCGCGCGACAAGCAATTGAGTGGCGAGAGCAGCAACTAGCGACATCAGCGGTAGCATCAGTCGCAGCAGCAGCAACATGAGCAGCAGCAACTAGCAACATCAGGCAGTAGCAACATCGGCGGCGACAGCAGCGCTTCAATGAGTGCCTCGGGGGTGGGTCTACTTATCTCGTTCGATCCAAGATTTATGCAATGCTGATCTTGGGACAGGAAATATCTGGATTTCCCAACAGATACCTGCTCTGATTTGACCCATTAACCTCAATCGTTTCATTAAATCGCCTTTATTTTGCCGTTAATCAACAGGAACGGTCACAAAGCAGATCGTTCAGAAATTTATGTCATTATCACTGGGTCTAACAATAACAAACGCGACGCGGTGGCAGGTCTACACAGAGAAAATCTATAGGTTTTTCCTAGTAAATATTTAAAAATGTATTTGCTTAAATATTTAAGATCATTTAAATACTAGTATACCTGCAATAGTATTTAGTGTTCTAAATGTGAATAACTAATAAAAATAACCTCGATGTATGTACTATCTGCTTTCAGCCCCATAGAAAAGAAAATGAGGGTGAACCACTAGAGACATCGTATCACTGAACTATCTATACACTATAGGGTATATATATGTAAATATATATGTATATATATATATATATATATATTCATATTTCTCTCTTCACCTTAACTTTAAAACAACTCATAAAACATTAGTAATAAGATTAGTTCACATTCGAAAATAAATATTTAAAAATTAGTTTAATTTACATTTGCTTGTATTTTTGAAATAGGTGTGCTTAAAGCCCTAATGCTCATGTCTGCAAATTTCTCCACCCGACCTCTACAAACACCCGCACATCAGACACAGATTTAAAATTGTAATTTAAAGGCAAAATCTTCCTCTATTTTCCCCATATCTAGCCACTGTTCTCATATTTACTTAAACAAATGCAATTCTAACATTTATTGCCTGGCCTCCCCTGTTTTAGAACCGCAATCATAACCCATTAATCTTAAGTTTTGAATTAATTAAGACATTTCGCTTATATTTGTTTGCCGTGCACAGCGACTACCCCATGCACCTCCGCATTGACCTCTGCCCGAATAGCGTCTAAATTCAATCAATTTAATTTAATTTCACAAAACAATTGCCCGGACCGGCGACGGACACACTCGCGTGGATCCACTGGCTCGAAGCCAAGTGGCTCTCGGAAGAATCCAAAATAGAGACAGATTCGCTCCGTTGCGAGACGGAATCGCCGCCCTTCGAGGGGCGGCTGTCAGCGGCTCTCATAACTCAGCCGTTAAGCCTGGCCATTCAAGTGTAATGGAGATGGCGTCATTGGGCGCCACTAACTACTCCAGTCACACGTGTTCGGGTGGCTGTAATCCCCGTTCCACATAGTGTGGCACTATTTAAGGGGAATTAAAGCGCTGCGAGGCGTAACCGAAGCCCAAATTGGCCCTTCAGTGTGCGAGGCAGGCGCGGGAGTGGGAGCGGGCATTTGGTTCGGGTTAGTATTACAAGATTATGCGGGTAATTGGCGGCATGCGATGCCATCTAATGTGCCCGGGCTCCGCCTCCCTTCGCACCCAACGCTTTGCATATGCCCATTTATAGAATGGGAGGTGAGGGAGCCGGCTTTTGTTCACGTCATGTTGGGGTTTCACTCTCATGGACAGCGAACACGCAGGTGGGCACATGTAAGTACGTACATATCTGTGCGAGATGAGGAGTACCCGTGCCCGATGACGGGGGAAATGACCATTGCTTCATATGCTAATTTCAGCCTTAAACCTTTTAATTAGCGACACTGACCGAGATTAGCCGGGACCGGGGTCCATCTATCAATCTCGCACACTGCAACTGTGCCCGGGATGGCCTGCAGGCCCTGGTGCAAATGTTATGCAATTTGCCAACGCTCCGATGGATTCTAATTTCAATTGGCTTTTGTGTTCACTTGATCTGCGGTTCAAGACCAAATCGTCGACGAGTGACCCACTGAGCCAACATGTGATACCGCACAAGCACCCATACTCATTCGGTGGCGGCATCAGGTTTGCCAGAGGTAAACGAACGAGTCGTGAATCAATCAATTGATGTAAATAAACCCAGCACCGGTTGGGTATCGAGTATTGCTAATACTCGTACTCGCATATAGTGTATGCAATCAATTGCGGTTCCGTTTCGGGGAACTCCAGCTTCAACTAAGGTCGTCGACACCGGATCGATTAGGCTAACCCGTAGTCAGACATTAATCAGTAGATGCTAACTCGGTATTAGAGATGATTAACCCTTTTCAGAGCAGGGTGATCACCTTGCATAAGGACTATAGAATTATAGATAGATCAATATAGAGTCTAAAATGTAAAACATTTTGTACTGAAATTGGTACATGGAAGCTGGGAAAACCATATAGAATCTGGATTTGATATTAGGATTTCATATATAGAACAAAAGGACTATTTATCAGGGATGGCATTTGCCAAAAATGTCATCTAATGTGTTATAAGTGTTATAAGTAAAGTAAAAATTTACAAATAACTTTTATTTATAAATTTGAATATAAAGTTGTCGAATAACTTTTTCAATCATTTTTAAACTGAGCGGTCTTTTAAAAAGACTAGCACATATTATTATTCGTTTGACGTGTATAATACTTAATAATCGAATTTGCATTAAATGGATACATTATGTAAAAAAAAAAAAACGTATTATAGGTTGGTAAATAGATTCCAGGAAGCACTACATACATTAAACGAAAGGTGTTGAAACGTAGGTAAATCTTGTATATATTGCGACCTCTCCAATTTTTAAAGGAATATCTGATTTTCTGCATTTCATAAAAAGCTTGTCTTGACTTGGATTAAGTTTCCATACTAACAGTTTTCCCAAACCTTTAGTTTAAATCTTTTCACTAAAAACATATTTGTTTGCAGGGCGCTTTTCCGCAATTCCGCACTTCAAGGTTAATCCAATGCAACCGAAACAAGTTTCCACCTGGATTGCAACACATCGTGATGTATGAAAGTGTTCCTGGTTTTTCTCCTGGGCAAACCGGTCGAGTACCAGCCATAGATTTAAGCCGAATGACAGACTGTAGCTCGTGGCCCTTGGAACAGTCTGAACTTCGACTCGGAAACTGTCAAAAAGTCGTAAAGAACACTCACTCACACATTTTAGCCAACTGCGGTTGGACCACACTTCGCCACGTTGGATTGTAAGGACCACCGAACACTGCTAGATGTATTCTGTATTTGTTAGGTTGAGATTATCCAGCTTTACCGTCGCGTTCCAAAGTCGTTCTAAAACTGAATTGAGGTTCGGAGTGGAGCAAAGCTTTGCGGTCACCGGCGTGCTTGGTACTGAGGCATCTGCTTGTTATTGCTCGGGAGTTGCTGTTTTAGGGCCCAAAAACATTTGATAACAGCTGGTGCTACTGGGTTCCAACTGGCTTATATTGATTTCTGACTGATTCACGGCCATTAACTTGGCTGTCCACAGGAGATCGTATATAAGCTGAGTTTTTCAGAGTTGATCTTCCTTACAAAGCCGCCTATATGTAAAGTGATTAGGACTAGTTTTCATTTTTAGTTCGTATTATGGTTCGTATTTGAACTTAAAAGAAGGGGGTTTTTAATTATAAAAGAATAAATAAGTTTTAAAAATACAGGTTTCTAAATAAAATAGAGTAATTTCTATAAATCCACAAACAAAAGTTTGTAAATCCTGTATGGTTGGTATGGGATTTTTCATTTAAAGCTATTCCCATTGATAATTTTTTTTGACAAATCAAAGTTATAAGAAGCCCATAGCTAAGAGCATTTATTTAAATCTAATAGTATAAAATTTATTAAATCTAATAATAATAAAAACATAATTTAAAATAAAATAAAAAAAGACCAATTAAAAAAGAAGTGCAACACATGTGTACTTATAAGACACAAATAATTAGTGTCTTGAAATAACTTTAATTTAACAATAAATGGTATCATAATTATTGCGTGTACCTTGTGTATGTTTGTACTCATGTTTTCATACCTGTTTCATTATTAAAAATGCTAATTACTTTCATCGAGCACAATGGCGCTATTGACAACTCCAACTGGCAGTCGGACATTATATTATTAATTTAAACCGCGCTCAAAGATCATAAATCAGTGGAGTTGGCTTTGTCTCCGCTTAGCCGCACAATCGTTGATTTATCCACTCACGTTAATTGTTGTCAGCTGACAAGAACATTTCAATTACACTTTGATTGGCTAAGACCACACCTGAACTTGGCTATTGTCAGTCATGTTAGCTCGGCGCTGCCCTTTCCCTGGGAATTTAGAATTTCAGATGACACGAGCTGTTTGCCGAATAAATTGATTTGTTTTATACGATTGCCCTTTATGGGGCCATTTAATAATTAATTATAATTTAGCACTCGCATTGTGCCCCGTGGATGTTTAATTAACTTGAGTGGACGACGCTGAGAACTTCGTTATGTGCAGCTAATGTATTTAAATTCTTTCATGACGCGTCGGCGGTGAAGTAACTTTTTTAATTACATTACCATCAGCCTCGGCACAGGTCAATTAATTTTGGTTTGTGTGTGTGGCCACTCACGTTTTCCGCATTTCCATTTCACTAATGCACTTCCCAGCACACCAGCATTGCGGCCTCATTTATTAGTCTAATTATTTGTGAAACACAACCGTCAGCATCGACAGCGGCGACCGTTTTGACTGAAACCGAAAGCCGGCAAATAGAGCCGGCTTTATTTTATTAAGCGCCAAAAAATCGAATAATGGCGAAACCACGGCTGTGGCGACTATAAATTTTGCACTATCGATCATTGTCAGGCTGCCAGATAATTTGCAATAAATCTGCGCCGCATTTCAGAATCGCGGGGCAGATAGGCCCGGGCAGCAGGAGCGGTCAGAGCCGCTAAAGCTGCATTAAAACG